TCCAAGTACGAGCCCCCGGGGGGCTTATATTCGGAGGGGCGATTTTACGGAAGGTTTTCTGTGCTACGAGTTTGGGGGGCTTATACATGGAGGGGCTTATTTTCGGAATTTTACGGTATGTGACTTTATGAGATTTAATGACCATAGGCGGATTTCGCGATTTTTCTGTGAACAGGGCTTGCACAGTCTTGAAAAGTCCTCGAATTTTAGGGAGAGTCCTTGATAAGTCCTTGAATTACATTTTTCCTTAAAAAGTCCTTAAATGTCTGTGCAAGTCCTTGAATTTTCTTCAACTTTGAATTTGGTGGCCTGGAAAGTATTTTTTAATGCTTTTTTAGTTTTCCAAGACAGAATATAAATCATAGCTCAGAGACGTTCAAAGTGATTTACTGAAAGCGTTTTTTTTTTTGTTATATCATAAGAATTAACTGTTAATTTAAGACAAGTGAACTGAAAAATGAAGAGAACTTGGTGGAGGAAACAGTTTAAGCCTTATAGTCCTGTTACGGAATGGACTGAGAATGTGCATTTTTTTTACAATGTGCAAAATTACATTCCTGGTAGATGGACCTTGATTTGTTTCATTCTGTTGCTTTTTTCCCTCAAGCTAGGAGGATCATGGTATATTTCCAACAAATGAGTGAAGCCTGGTTTTCATATGGTGCCGCCGCCTGGTTAGCTCAGTTGCGAGAGCGCCGGTCTGCTCGGATAAGGACGAAAAACCGTAGGTCCCGTCTCACAGCACTTTCACTGATTTGTTCTCGTGGGCCGTAAAATAACGCACATCACTATTCGAAAACAGTAGGGGTCGTAGACCCCGGTGGTGTGATCAACCTTTGCGGGTTGTGGGATTGGGTAGGGATGGCGCCCTGCATGGGACCAATGAGTCCCCTTCGTGCACTTTCCCCTGGACAGGCCTGTGTCCAGAAAAGCTGGTAAATAAATAAAATAAATAAATACCGTATTTATTCGATTAACCGCCCTGGCCGCTTATTAAATTTTTGGACCTTGAGGGTGGGCGCTTATTCGAAGCTGGGCGCTTATTAAATTTTCACTATTTTCGGCAAGTGTAGTATGTTTATTTTGCAACAAATCAAAAAAGGCAATGACAAAACGCGAAGATGTAACAAAGCAAGGTTTCTGTAAAATACTCTGAAGAAAACTCCGTCTTCAGCGAAGTCTGTTATTAGTACTTATTCATTTTTGTTGGGTGGGAGGGGAAAGGGGGTTGGGTTTTTAGTTGTGGGCGCTCATTTGAGTTTGAGTGGAAGGGGGAGGGGTGGGCGCTTATTCAAGGCTGGGCGCGAATTCGAGGTTGGGCGCTTATTCGAATAAAAACGGTAAATCTTTCCCACAGTACAGGCGTTATTTTTTTCGCGTTTTTCAGGCGAGCGAACGGGAAAGGGCAAAGCGAGCGAAGAGCGCCAGACATACACGCCCGACGCGGGAAGGTACCTCGCGCTCCACGCCCGCTTCGCGATTCGTTTGCCCAGAAAACCAAAAAAATAACACCTGTTCAGCTTGCTATACGGTCGCCTGTACTGCATGGTATACTGTACCGACATATAAGAACATACCGGGTATACATACACCGCTGGCAACAAACATTGTAGTTCGTTTCCGCCGGTAGCCTGTGCTATGAGAACTCCCATGCAAGGTGGCAGCAAAGCAGAACAATATAGCCTGGTTCTCATATGTCACCGGTGCCCAGGATACTGTTCCCCACTCGGTAAAGTAGTGCAGATTGCAGGGGGCGAAGGGGGGGCAGAAGTGACCTGCCGGATAGCTAAACAAACCAGTGCAAACTGCAGCTGCAGAGAATTGAAAATTTTACTTTCAATCATAAAACTCCTTGCCAATCGCCAGAGTTGGAAAGGTATTATGTTTGGCATTTTTTTTTTGATAAAAGAAATGCCGGATTTTCCTTACTGAAGTAGAGAAATGAACGATTTACCAGTGTTACCGAGGCTTCAAATAGAATTTCCTTCAATTGTGCATTTTAGGTAAAAGAGCACGAGTAAGAAAAATTACGTTGTGTACAATAACCAAATGTTTAACACAAAACCTTTTCTTTCCCATATTGCACGTGCTATATTATTAAAGTGTGGCTCGCTGTTGTTCGCAAGAAGAACACGTGTCGGCAGTGAATTTGAAGTTGAAAGGGAAAGCGAAAATTACTGTTTATACTCTTTTTAAGTAAATGCACAACATCCTAATTCGCTAAACAGATTCAATTAGCAGAATTGTACGCGTATGCCCGCAATTTTGACGCCTGTTAAAAGTACGGCGCAATGTTGTTAGTTTTTGAAATCGCTTTGGGCACTGAATTTTAAGTGAGTTCCCAGATCGGCAGGTTTATTGCCGTGACCGGTGTTTTTCGCGCGCTTATTTGCATTTTCATTCATAAAGCTCGTTAATTATTCGTATTCTGTCAGGGTCACAAAAACAAAGACACGAGGTTTATTTCGGCAGATGTATGGTTCGATAGTGAACTTCAAAGAGCTCTCATACCGAAGATATCTTCGACAGCTTCATAAAAACTTTCCACACCGCAGCAAAGGACCTATGTTTCGCATCCATCGCTGCTATTAATTACAGATGAAGCTCGAGTTCGCTCTTGAAGTTTGGTGAACCAGGAAAACGTTTACTACTTTATAAGATGAGGGCGCCAAGTTCTACGTCTTTGTTGTCAAAAGCCTACAACTTTCTCAAGGGCAAAACGTCTCAAAATGATGAGAACTTCTACGCTAAGACAAGGAGCCCCTTTCCAAGCGAGATTTACCACACTCTTAGCGAGCCGATCGATCAGAAAAGAGGACCAAGTATTTCGCGGAAGAACAGGCAAATTCTGGGAGAGATTAGCAATCGGCCTTGGTCTGTGGCCATGGACCGTGAACAGAAACAACAAAGTTTGAGTAAAGGGAGATTCAGTCCCCGCGCGATGGTCAAAAATTATTGGACGACAAGTAGAGAAGACAAGAAGCTGAACAATGAGTTACAGCAACAACCAAAGAACGGAAGATCTCAAGACCAAGAATACGACGATATCGAAGAAGAAGGAATTTTTAAGATTCAGGTTTGTGATCTTTTATTTCACCTGAAAGTTTCAAACTCCCACTGGAAGTTAGGTTTTCTTCAATTAGGTAATTCAGTGCGATATCGAGGGCCTTAGACTGATAGTCCTTCAATCTGTTTGGCTACATTCTTAAAGAAAAAAAATTCAGCTTCATTTGAGAAGGCAATCTCGACCAGGGATTATACGCGGGTCAAACAAGACTTTGAATGGAATTAGCCACTCCTATTAACAAATAAGACAAAAACTCCTAAAATCGCCACAGCCCATAAAAACTGGAATATGAATTGACATTTTGTCTGAAGTGGATTACGGTTCGTCATATTTTTTTTATCCATAACGTAAATTAAGGGAACTTTTACCACACCCCAAAAATTTGTAGGATCTTTTCAAGTGAAACGAGTTATTTGTATATGATTAGTTAAAAGTGCCTCTGTTTCCGGGATAGACTAAACTTAATAATCGAAACTAAAAACAAGGTTTGAACTTAAGTTGGAAAATGTGGCACTGAAGAAAGCTCTTCAAAGGAAATATAAACAAGAAATAAATCAGGTTTAGCAAAAATACCCTCTAAACTTAATATGAAGTAAAATCAAAGCGATTTGAATTTAGTTCGCACTCTATCTTGAAAGGTAAAAACGTTTTGGACATACATACGCCAAATGAAAACACAGTTTCTTGAGGATTATACGTTCTTTTTTTACTAGATTGGCCTTTCAGAACTTGTGCTCCGTTTTGGAAACGTTGTTTTCTAGGCCGCGCAGTTGTGGTGTATCACTGTCAAAATTTCAAACTGTGAAGACAAAAGAACTTTCTATGCTTGAAAGAAACTGTTTGTGTCTTCCTATATAGTCTATATACGCTATTGTGTTAACACGACCACCGTTCACCTTGAGCGAAAAGGGAGTCAAAAGACTAAAACCCAGACCAAATATATAGAAGATGTATCACGATACACAAAGTTTTAAGGAAGAATTTGTTTTTCCGGTATCATTGTTAATTTTAAGGTTCTACTTTCATCGACAAACAGAGGAATTTCTTAATTCTGGTTAAAAACCTTGTAATAAGCTTTTTCGTTTTATATCCCACTGAAAGCATGCATCTATCACATTTTTAACTTAAAGAATAGTCCAACTCTTTTAACATTTGCTAGACCAAAAACCGCTCAAAAAGTGTGTCTTAAAAACTCAGCGGCAGCGTGGCAAAATTGTATATTGTATTCTGCCACGCGACCTTTTGTTTCTCTTTTGTCGTGTCATGATGAATTTGCTATTGAAATCAATAATTGATATCAAGGATTTTTGGTATAAGTTTCTTACTTGGCTATCTCAAAACATCCGATCGATTATGATGTTAACAGTATCCCACTGACATGAATAACAATCTGTTTGTCGAATGTACACAAAATTTAATTGACCCGCGGCAAGTAACAATACCGATGAAAAATGCGGAATTCTTGGCTATGACTTTGATTGATAACGGTGAATTGTTCAAGACATGTGAAAATTTGGGAGTAAATACGATCAGATACTCAAAAGGTTGTTGTTTATTGAATAACGCCGGAATAGCATTTACTGCATTTACTAAGATGAAACCGGAAAGGTTTTAACGGATCACACTTTTGTTGGAAGCGACCACGATGAATGGAGTCCATTTTCCAAGATTTACGCTTAAGAATGCAATGTGAGTGTAGTCCGCGTTCGAGTGATAACTTAACTCTGAAAGACTGCGGGAAATTTGTAATTCGTCTATCAGGTTCTTAGTCATTAACACAAAAGGAAATCAGGCAAATTGTTCTAATGACTACGGAAAAAGTGAAGCAAGATAAGAGCATTTTCTGACCGAACAAAACGTACTCGACATCTATTTTGAATGAACTACATGGTTCATTTCCCGTTTGTTCATTTGAGCCGGATTAATCGGATAAGTACAAGAATCAACGGACAAGTGCATTAAAGAAATCTTTTCAATGTGATGTGACACGGCACCTGTTTACATGTAAAGCACGTGTCAAAATCTGGCTTTATTATGCTAATTTATGTCCGTGTGGTCTTATCTATGTTCGGGTGGCACGAGCCATTGCAGCAATGCAACTGAAAGGCGGGAAATGATTAACTGAACACGCGTGTAAAATTGTTTGCGTAATTTGTCTTGATTTGCGGTCGTGACACTATCTTGTCTTACGGCAATTAAAAATAAAAATAAACCTGCGGCAGATGCCATAGTTTTTCAATATTCAACAGGTTTTAATTGAAAAGCTAACTAAATAGCACATAACGGAAATTGTGGTTTTGCCCCAGTAATAGTAAAATATATGGATAAAATCTCGATGTAACGAAACCTCGTTATAGCGAACAAGTTTTGTCAGTCCAGAGCGAAGAATCGAGGTTACTTTAGACGTTTTGCACACTTCTTCGAGATCAAGCTTTATTGACATCCCCCATTTGTATCAATGTCTTACTTGAATGCTATGACACAAAGCTTCACGGAAGAAAACTATACCAAAAGTTTAGAAAAACTATAAACTAAAATTAAATTGTGTGACAAGTTTCAAATAAGACCTTGGCGCCACTTTGTGTCCGTCAGAAGAGTCAAGATTTATTGTTATTTTGTGGCTTAAAATTTTAACTGTCCACCTTTGTGCTATCTTTTTGCTGATGAGAAACTTTCTTGAGACTCCCTCAAAAAATCACGAAAAAAAAAACTCTCCAAAGGCACGATTTCTCTTGCTTCGAGGCACCATAACTTGCTACTGAAGGCGCACCGTGGACGGGGGAGGGGAGGGTGCAGTGGCGTTTTGCGAACACTTTCTTCCACCGTGTGGCTCAATAAGGTTGCCAGTTAAAAATGGCCAACTTAAATTTCACAATTGTCACAATGAAAAATATATTGTCAACTGTTCGCCATGTCTTACTTACTGGTCAGGGACAGGTACCGATATGTACATCTACCACCTTTTGCAAAACAGCAAGAGGCAAGGCTGTGGAAAACTTGAACAAGGTGCGCAAATGTCATGCAAATGTGGGCAATAACACGAAAATTCTTCCAAGTGAACGTTATTGGATTTCCATGAATACAATCACTTCTATTGGATTTTTAACTACAGATTGTTTAAAGTCCTTTTTTTATAGTATTTTTGTTAAATGAGCACGCGAACTTGACATGCGTATCAAAGCGGGGTTTGAGGGGGAAGGGTGCGCTTGATAGCCATCCTCCACCCCACCTCTCTCAGTTTCTTGCCCTTGCCCCTCGTGCTCGCTTCGTACGCTGATTGTTGATCGAAATGCAACTAAAATGGTCTATCTTTTTTCATCTACAGCTGATCAAACCTCACAATGGTTTTCTTGGCATCGTATTGATCGGCGGAGCTGACACACCGCTGCAATACCATTACGTCAACGATATCCTACCCAACTCTTCAGCTTCCAAATCAGGCCGCGTTAGAGCTGGAGACCAACTGCTCGAAGCCAATGGTCATTCACTTGGCGGGAAAACACACGCCGAAGCGCTGACGATCTTCCGATCTTTACCCGCGGTGGTAGAGTTACTGGTAGCGAGAACCAAGGACGCCAATCGCTCAGTTCTAGAGCGGTTGAAACACGAGGAGAAAGAAAACAAGCAAGTGAACAACAATATTGCATTGCCAGACAGGAGGCGAAGCGTTATTGAGGAGGCCGCCAAGACAAGTGTTATCCCCAGATCCCCCGCATCTGTTGTTGACGTCACTAAGACAAAGTGCCCATATGTGAAAGCTGTAAAACGGAATTCGCGGGTGTCGTCTTTTGTTGGGACGGAAGAGGATAAAGTGGTGGCCAACTCTACTGTGAGTACCCATTATGACAGGCAGAAACGAAATCAAGAATATCACGAGTTTGGAAATGAGAAAGAAGACAACAAGATTCGGCGAATGGGAGAGGTTAGTTTGAACAGGAAATCAGGGTGATTTTAAAGTAACAACATAACGAAAACGTCCAAACGTTTCCAGAAAAAAAAGTCCGTGAAGTGTCCCTATTAACATTATTGATGATGTGAGACATTTTTCCGTTATGGACATGAACTCAAGGAGGTTTGTAAAAACACGTTGGGCAGTGCTAAGCAAGCACTTATTATATGTAATAAGCTTTTTGCAACGTCCTTGAGTGTGAATGTTAAGGTTTAACAGCAAAGCGTCAACGTAAGCTACTAAGAATTGCCGAGTCTGTGACAAAAATCTAGAACAGCAAAAAAATAAGACATCACAACGTTTGCATCTTTACCCAGTGGAAAAAAAAAAACCAAAAATTAAAAAAAATTATGGCCTCTCACCAATTTCTTTCCATGAAAAACTTCCTTTGGCAGAGCGAGTCTCTTGAGAAGAGTAAACTGGACGGAAAATGGCACGTGTTGATAGAGGTGTTGTATGTAAAGGCCTTTCGCACAGAAAGATGTACGGGCGACATGTTAAAACGTACGGTGAAAAAGTATTAAGGGAAGGGAGGAAAGGAATTATTTACGTGCTGAAGTTTTCTTTTTCTGTGTAGGTATTTATGCCATCCACTGACGGCGATAACGAAGACCTGGAAGTCTTCACAGATGGTCATGTTATAACCTTCGACCTGCCACAAATCCAGGAGGATATGACGCTACCATATGCCACTATAAGACACAAGCGAAATTTAAACGTTTCACGAAGCGTCATTGAAGGAGGTGACATAACAGCAACCTGGCCTGCCTTTACGACGAAGCAGCGTCTCCCACTCCCCTGGGATTCCTCCGCAACTCCGAGGCCAGCGACTGTTGGCCGAAGCTCCTCGGTTCGCGTTCGGCGCAGCAACGCCGCAACTTCGGCATCGACCTTAACCCTGCATCAAACCTCTTTGAATCGGAAGTCAACGGCAAAGCATTACATCGATAAAAAAACGCTGACCTTTGAGATTGAGCGGGCAAACACGAGCGCTGATTGGGGCTTTTCAATCGGAGGTGGGGTATTTTCCCCGTACGGGGACTTGCCGATTTCTATCTCCGAAATCTCAGTCAGTGGCGGTGGACCGGAGTTTCTACAGAAGGGCGATGAAATAGTGGCTTTTAGTGGGGATAGTTTTGAAGGTACCACATTTCTGGAAGCAGAGAAGATGTTAAGGAGATGTAAAAGGAACAGAGCTACAGTAACAATTAAACGAAAATACCTTGAACGTTGTCAGAACCCACAAAGCAATCCATACATAGAGGCATGGAGTTCATTGAATTCAACGAAAATTACGCCAGTTAAAAAGCAGAGAAGACGGCCAAAGTCAGTGCACTATTGACAGATTACATACTGGTGCAAGATATGACGAGTAGTCGCTACATGTGCTGGATTATTTTGAAGGACAAGCTGAGAGCAAAAGCACTACTCGGATAATGAACCAATCAGAATGAAAAGAAAAAACTGTAGCCGTTCACGTGCCTGCTCAAATGGGATCCGCTCAAATGGCGGGAACAAACAGCGCAGATTCTAATCAAAGAATCTGATTGGTTGAAACAGGAACAGCGTGTCCGCAGTAATTAGTTGGAACAAATACTAGCAAAACACTTCACACCGTCCCCCGCAAAAACGGAATCGTGGAAAGTAACGCGAGAAAAAATAAATAAATAAAAAATAGCAAAGTAATACTGTTATGAGAATATTACTGCAAAACTGTGAATTGCTAGATTCAAATTTATATTTTTGCTGTTGTTATGCACATGTGATATTTTAAGCTAAAAGGAAAAAACTCTGCGTTATACTCTTTGTGAAAAGTTTCCATGATATTTTTAGCATTTTACATGAAACTTCCACAGATCCTGCCTATAATTTTTGAAAATTCACTCATTGCTATTGGTAGTTTGTTTGAAGTGGTGAATCAAATTTACGTGTAAGAAAATAATTAGTTAGTGAATGGAGATTTCCAAAAAATCGACTTCGTCGACCTATTGCTCGCTCTCGGACAACTTCAGGTTTTTTTATGACTGGGCAAAACTGTATCTAAAAAAACAAACAGAAGGTTAGATCTTTCTTCCATTTCATATTTTACTACCAATTGTGTCCAAAATAGATATCATTTTCAAGATAAATCCTACAGAGTGAGACCAGAAGCTTTTTTTTGAATGGTCACACTGAATCTGAGTAACAAACTAAAGACTACACATCAAAAAGTAACAGATATAAAAAAGGTGAACTGTTTTTGAAACTTTTAGGTCAGAGGATAAAATCTTATGGTGTGACCATTCGAAGGAAACCTCTTTTGCAGAACTCTTGCAACAAAAAATTCAACAATGGAACAATTATCGTTTGTGATGTTTGGCTCTAAACCAAGCAACTAGTATCAATTCGTATGTAAAGTATTTTGGTACCTTATACTGGCAAAAAGAAGCTCGTTGCATCTATATATACATTAATAATGGCTCTGCAATACAATTCATTAAATATTTTCTACTTCTACCTAGTATCATTTGTGTTTAATCTGCATTCATGTTGTTACTCTTTTGGCCTGAGAAAAGTCTTTATGTATGATGACTGGTTTTCTTAAAAAATACCGAGAGTCGTTCAATACACAAGAACATACAATTAGTCAAGATAACACTCAGAAACACGTAAGTGATGGTGACGTCCAGTATTGAGTACACATCCCTTTCATATACGACCCCTTTCACAAGGTAGACAGCCGGTGCTGGAAAGTCCTTGAATTTCAATGCTTACTCTTTAGTTTTAAGTAGAACTCCAAGGAGAAAGGAGCAAACACAGAAAGACCTTCGGGATAAAATTGCTCATGTTGTGGAAGAACAAGGCTCTTTTTTGCACTGAACAGAGTCCTTGAAAATGGGAAATAAGTCCTTGAAAGCCCTTGAAAAGTCCTTGAAAAGCCCTTGAATTTTTTTTGTTCAAAAAAGGGTCTGAGCCCTGTATTGGACATGTGTACCAATATCCCAACACAGAGAAACAGGTGTTTGTTGAGGGTATGCAAATGTCAAAGTTCATCTAGAATGTGTGCAACTACCATGCCGAAATTTTGAGACAAAATTAAGACGTTGGGATGAATCAGAGAGGTGTAAAGGTTATGTTACATGGGAAGATTCGCAACGACAATTTAGTGCAACACATCGTTGCAATGTTGGAACAATGTTGTACCTCGTCGAAACAATGTCGCTACAATGTTGCAACGCTGTGTTGCACTAAAATTTGTCGTTGCAAATCGTCTCGTGTAACATCACCTTAAGGCCTTCAGTAAGGCCTATAATCTTCAATGTGCCCCTCAAAGAGGCAGGTCATCTTCTCCCCCCTCCTTCCTCTTTTTTCTCTCCCTCCCCCTAGACTGTACATTCAACCTCAACTACTGTAATTTGTCTTCTTTTGGATCAAAGATGGTGGTAGTCTTTGAATGAAGGTATTTCCAGTTGTTTCTTCTCCCCTGTGAATAAATCAAGTGGGTAGAACTGAAAAGCTACAGACCCTAAACCACTGTGCATCCATTGAACTACAGGATTTTCTAATAAGTTTCATTTCGCGCAATTTATCAATGACATATCTACTACCAAAGGGTATTAAAATAAAGAATGGCATGCAAACTTCACTTCAGTTCTGTGGACTGTTGTAATCTGTATCACTGTCTGTTGTATTATCCAAACGAGGACCAGATCAAGTGCATCCTTCTGCATATTAGCAAAATTTACCTGATATGACAGCAGAGGAAAGAAGACAACAAGTCTGTGTGACAAGTTTGACAATAATATTATGTTTAAAAAAAAAATCCAGCCAAACTTCACCTTCCTTTAATAACAGATCTTTTTGTAAAAGACCAGAACATGTTGATGTAAAGTGAAGATCACGACAAAAAACAGATTTGCAAGTACAGCTGTAGTAGCCCTGTCACATTTGTTGCACACAAATGTTAATGCCCTCCTCTTCTTTCTGCCATTCCCTTACAAAAGGTCTCTATATTAGTTCAGGAGATTTGATGGATTGCAGAAGTATCCATATTTGTTACTTGCCCAATGGTTTACTATTATCTGCATCACTGTACAGTGTTTCATTTAGGAGAGCATTGCATTCTTCATCTTCTGGTGTTACTTCTGGAGGGATGAGTCCAAGCATGACATGAATCTTCTTCTGTAAGATAAAATTATTTCACAGTTTCAGGTTAATTGTTAAGATGTTTATATACAGTGGAACCTCCCATAAGGGGACACCCTAGGGACCAAGGGTACGTGTCCACTTACGGAAGGTTGAAAAAAAAAACTGGTGCACTAGAGGGCATACAATGCACCAGACATGTCTCTTAGAGCTTTTAAGATCACTTGTGGTTGTATTATCAACTACAGGGTTGTTGGATGTTGCTTTTTACTCATAAATTAAGAAAGAATCCATCAGGAAATTGTGCAATTTTAATTTTCAGTGGACAAAAACCTTGTACCAGAATAAGTTTAAAAACAATATGCATTTTTTTTTTGCATTTTCAAGGGCTATAGATGTAATTAGTTATCTGTAATAAGACCAAAGAAAATTTCTCATGAGAGCCCTAGAAAATAAACGTCAAGTTTCACAAAATGTACACCTTTCACAATTCTCGTGAAATTTGACATTTATTTCCTTGGGCTCCCATGAGAAATAGTTTTTGGTGTTATTACAGATAACTAATTATAACTATAGCCTTTGAAAAATGTACAAAATAATGCGATATTATTTAAATTATTCTGGTACGAGGTTTTGTCCACTAAAAATTGAAATTCCTCAATGTCCTGATGGATTCCATCTTAAGCTCTAATTTAAACACTACAGTTCAGTATTAAAAGCCGTTGGATATATGTACATGTGAGCAGAAGCATACTCAATCACCAATGATTTGGAGGTGAACAGAACAGAAGAAGTGAATATTTTATGCCCCTTTGCAAGTGTCCTTAGGTAGGTAATAAGAAACTATCGATCAGTGTCTGCTTTTGCAGTTCCTGAATGAAATAACAATTCGTATGGAAGTTGTTGTTCTATTGAGTGACAAAGTTCCTGAAGTGTGCCATCTAATTAAGCAACGGTTGTTAATTACAGAGAAGCAGGATACGGCTTGAAATTGTCAAGTGCAAGTTCAAATTTCAAAAAGACAAATTTTCATGCAAATGGCTTGAAGAAAATGAGTTATAAATTTTAAAGAAACTTTGTGTGCTGTAATGAAAAAAAAAAAACTTCTTGGAATAGAAATGACTACTTTAATGTTACCTCATGTATAACTGTAGGCTAAAAACACTGCTTTTGTACTGGTCAGTGTGTGATTTAACCATTAAAACTGAACCCATTTTGTTACAAATTTTCTTGATATTGTTTAGTACCCATTTATGAGAGTTTCTTTTCATTATTTTAGACCCTGTGGACCTCAAATAGGTGTCTGTGTCCGCTTACTACAGATGTCCGCTTACTGGAGGATAAAATAATATTGTACTGTGAAGAGAGAAATTGCTGGGGCTGCAGTTTGGTGTGCACTAACGAGAGGTGTCCACTTAAGGAAGGTGTCGGTTAGTGGAGATTTGACTGTATGTCTTAATAGATTTAATAAAATGGAAAATTTTATAACCATGGATCAAGCAGCAGTCTGCCATTGGCTTAAATGAGTGGGGAATGGGGATACCATCATAACATATCATAAGGGAAAATCCCTTAAGGGCCTTTTGGTGCATCCGAAGCTGTAAGGAACAATAAAAAATTTCAGGTCTTGTGTAATTTGAGCACCCCATGGTCGAGTATTGGTCGACTCTATTGGCCACTACTTGGTCGACACGTCAACTGCCATATCAGCTGACTCTCAATTGCCATATCGGTTGACTGTCGGTCGATATATCAGCTGATGTATTAGCTGACATCTTGGCAGACATGTTGGCCAACACTTGACCGAATGTCAGCCGACATATTGACTGATTTGTTGACTGAGTATTGGTTTTTGCCAGTATACTAGTCAACATTCGGTCAATACGGTTTCAATAATATTATTGTTGGTGGAATATCAGTTGACTGTTGGTGGAAAATTGGTCGACTGTCATATGATATAATTTGTGTTAATCAGAAGGGCAGTTCTGGTGCCCGTGAAGGCAAAGACAGAACACATACACTAAAAATATAAATAAACATCAAAGCACACAGCCTTCTGAGATTAGATTAATTCTTCTGGATCTCTAAATTTTCATTTGATACAGCACAGAGTGCAATCAATTATGACCTTTTTAAGCATGCAAAAGAACGTTTGAACAAAAAATTGTGACAGACACTTGCAATAATATTATACTCTCACAGTAGACTGGTCAAACCTGCCAGTACCCTTTAGAAATTGCTGCATGGACAATGTAACAACAAAAATTTGAGTAGACAAAAAATATACCTCCACAGGTAAAGTAGACTAAGTATAAGTGGAGTATTGGCCGAATGTCGGTAGCCTATTGATCAAAATGTAGGCCGACTATAGGTCAACATACTGTCCTACACCATCGGCCCATCTGTTGGTCAAGACGTCTGCTGACCCTTAGTTGACTATCGCCTGACGTGCCCAGGGGGGGTATTCCGGATTTCAAGTGACAGGGATGTTCGAATGGGGGCAAAAATCAAAACTCAGAATAAAGCCCTTGGGCTTCAAATTAAACCAAAAAAGTCCCTGGACCAAAATTTAACCCCCAGAAAATCCCATGCCGAAATTCTGAGCCATAAAAATTTCTAGAAAGCATTAAATGATATAACATGATGAATAGAAACATTAGTTTTGAATACCCCAAAAAATCCCTACTTAAATCAAACTACCCAAAAATTACTTGCCAAAATTTTCCTGTCCAAAAAAATCCCGAAATCATCCCTGTCACTTGAAATCCGCAGCTGGAATTGACTGATGCATAAGGGCCAAATCTTGGTTTCTTTTGTTTTCACGCTCTGGGGGGACACAAAACAAAAGAAACTTACCCCACTAGACCGGGGTCCCCCACTCCATGTAAACAGGGTCTTAATCTGTTTGTTCTTACATGCGGGTGTATACTGTATTAAATATTGCGTTTCGAGTAACTATTTGTTTTATTTACGAGCTGCTGATTGGCCCACAACCAGCTTTCTTAGAATGTATCGCTATTTTCCTGTACTCTTATTGAACAACTTTGTCTAAGTGGCCCAGGTGACAGCAGTAGTATATATACTTACCCGATTTCTCCGACCTCTTTCACCATACATTTGATATACGAGAAAGGAATAAAAACACGTTCCCCAGAAACACCACGCAGCTGCCAGTAAGGGCAGTCTGCCGTAGGAACGAAGATCGATGGCCATTAACTCAAATTCGAGCTATAACAAATTCAGTCAAACCTCAACCTTCTGCCGCCATTTCGTGGAAGGCGGTTTGAACGTCATGTAGTTAGTCATGTAAGATAATTCATAGATACTCGGCCCAGGCCAGCCTGCGCCTGTTCTACTTTGGCGGCGCACTGTCAATGTACACAAAAGCCCAAATATCCGAGGCAGATCAGTAAAGGTAATAGGACTGGGTGTAGAACAATTCAGGGAATAATCGAGTGAAAAACTTTTAGTAAGAATCTTAGTCTTATTAATGCGAGCACAGAGTTCTTAGTACATCAGGGCCGAGTTGTTCAAAGCTAAGTTAAGATAACCCAGAGTTAGTGCGAGATTTGAATTCAGATTTGAAAGCTTAAAAAGCATTTCAGTTTTAACTCTTTTTGTCTACAAGTTGATGATTGGAAGCTCTAAATTTTCAACAGGTTTTGATTTCAAAATTGGCCTTCGCACTCGAAAAGCTACCAGGCCTTTTGAGAAATAGGCCCCAGGATGCAAAATACCGAATTTAATTATAACATCAAAATAAGACGAAAACGGCTCAGCTGTGTCATGGAGGGTTCCACATTTTTCGGTCAAAGTTCAGCCGCAGTTATAGGTACGTATTCTCAGTCATCTTTTCTCAAACTTGGTACTCTATAAGGTAGCAAGGAATGATCATTTTTTGGTCATTTTTCGACAACAGACGAGTTAAACTTGAATTTTTTCCAAGTTTCAATCCGTTTACATAATGGCCATCGACAAACTTTTATGGTTGAGGTATAGTAGAAGGGTCATTTTAAATAAAACTGCACACATATTTTGGGGGATTTCTTTCATTCCTGGCCACTTAAGTTCAAATTTTAAAAATTACCGTCCGTTCGTGAGGCTACAAATGTAAAATTCAACCCGTTCGTATCTTGCTTTGAGTCTCAAAGCAACTTGCCTCTTTAATTCCGCTCTAAACATGGTTGCTATTTACGTACTCAGAGATGCCAACCACTGGATCCAAAATCTAAAGACTCTCTTTTGCATCCAAGATGAACTCTACCCTCCAAAATGAACCTCCCCAATCAAACATAAACCATCCCCCGACAGAAAAACGTAAATTGAAGCGGTCCCCCGATTATAATATGGGTGTGGCTCAGGACATTATGCAAAGTCTTACATGACATGCAGGTCGTCATAATTCGCGAAATCATCGTCCCAGTGATAAAATACTTGCACACAATGTCTTTTCAATATTTTTTAATCTGTTTGGTCTGGAGACACTGAAACCAGCCTTGTAAATTATCATTCAAGGTCGTGAATGTAAAATGTCCTTAAAAAGTATGCAACTCTTGGTACATAACACCATCCTTCAGTGCAAAATTTTACAAGAGTTCAATGGTAAAACCAGCAGGCATTTGACGAAATCTTCCAGCAGCTCTTGACTGTTGTGTCTTGATGGGGACCAATATGGGCGATGTCTCAAATGCTCAACTGTGCTAACTCGACTGTATTTTATGTGCTAAAGGGAGAAAAAAAGAAGAAGAAGTCAGCGGTAACCTCAAACTAATATCTTATATTTTATGCCAGTAAGTAACAAAGTCTTTTTTAAGCCCTAACCTGATTTCACCTTAAAACTTAAAGCTGCGATAAAGGCCTTAACAAGCCCGGTGCGTTGTCACGACAGCAAATTTCAATAGGACATTTGCAGATGATGTCATTGTTACTGCAACTACTAGACTCCTTCAATTTGTTATCGTCCTGTGCAAATTACTTACATAATTAGGGCTAGTTTCTTCTAAGCCTCAGCGTGATTGACAAATTTAAATACGAAAGCAAAAACGAGGTAGCCGTTCACAAGGTAGTTCTTAGTTGTTGAGCAAAGAAGAGCACCGGAGTATCCAAAGAAGAACTTCCCAGAACAAAGACAACCAACAACAAACTCAAAATCCTAAACTACAGCCACATCAGTAGGAGGCGAGTGCTCTCTAGACTACGAGTAGTCCCCCACTTTTCCTCAGGGATAGTAGAGCCAGCGAGCGCGAGCGCGCGTGAAAATCACCCCACAAGGCGACACGCGGCAGCGAGAGAGGTGTCGCCTTGTCTCGCGTGGGGTTATTTTCACGCGCGCTCGCGTTTCGCTCGCTCTACTATCCCTGAGGAAAAATGGGGGACTACTCGTAGTCTAAGTGCTCTCACCACTACGCCATTCCTTGCTCCCCTACATTATGGTCTATGTGAAAATGGCGAATAGGCGAATAGAGCAGGATATCTTACATTGTTTTGGTATTCTAACAGGTTCATTATCACCGACTGTCACTTCGTGAACCGCTTCTCTGAACAAATATCTTATTCGTAGCATCTTTTCCTCGTCAGGACACGGATCGTAAAATCCACTTAAATTACTCTGAAAGAAACAGAACAAAACATAGAAAAACAGGTGTTACGCAAAAGACTTTCAATTCAATTCAATTATCTTAGCCAATCATAGCAAACAAAGACAATCCGATAGACCAATCAGAGCTTAAATAAAAAAACGATAAAAAAACCTCTGGTCCGTGGCTGAATCTATGAAAAAGCGCAGGAAACATAGGAGCAAGCCACGTTTAATCTGGTTTTACCTAATTGGCTTGACAAGTGACACGATTTGGCACGATTTTTAAACCAGTCATAAAGTGGAGAAGTGCCAAAAATGGCAAGTAATACAAGCACCAATAAGTTTGCAGTTGCTGTGGTTTTGATGAGGATCATTTAGCGAAAATTAGTCAACACCGCTGAAAAGAGCGCCTTAACATTAATAAACTTGCTAAATTTGAAAGTAATAGGGCTAAAGCGAGCGTACATATAACTCCCTTAAGTCGCGAAATTTTACAGACGTTGGTATTGTCCTCCATCATACAAACGTCTGTAAAATTTTTTGACTCTGCCGAGCTACATGTATATCTTGGTTCTATTTCAACAAATCACTAAAACTTGGCAATTTTACTTTTTACGTTCTCTCGGTGTCGATAGATTTTCACTGACTGGGCCATGTTAAAAGTAAAAAAAAACCGTGAAAGGTTCTTTTGTCAAAGTTTACGACTGTCTAATCATCGCGCGTAACTTTCTCGACCAATCAGAAGCAAATGCGTGACCTTTAGCACAAATTTTCCCGCGCTAAGCGCCGGCTCTCGCACCTTTGAAGACTCGGTGAGGAAGAGTCGTGAATCCTTAACTTGACACTGCACAGGGACCGTAACATCGATCACTTTACTGGGGCCTCGACGAGCGTCCTGTGAACTACAAGTACAAAAAGAAAACGTTTGTAAGAGTATTAAGTTACAATACGATACACAAAGACAGTCTGTGAATAGTTTGTTTTGGGGCTTACCTTTCTCCTACGGATACTAAATGGCCATACCTCGCATTCACTATGATTAAGCCTAAAAAGCAACAAACAGACTTCAGGTTTCCTCTTCAGGGTAGTAACCACGATAAAAACAAAATAGCTATTAGATTTCTTAAAAAACGTATTTTAAAATTCTTCTATTTTAGCACGTCCTATGTCTAAGGCGAGGCGCGCCAAGTTTCTTCGAAAAAGGTCCTGTTTGGTTTAATCTTTCGTAGTGCTTTACTTTTCGTATCCACTTTGCTGTAAGTCATTAATCATGGCTTTAAACAATTTTGTTTTTCGTGCGCCTTGTTTGGTGTTTTAAGGCAATTTGCAGTAGTCTGCTTAAAGTGCCGTGTATAAAGAAAACAAGTCAGGTTTTTCTGGTCAAGAGGCAACTGTCATTACCATGTCTTGACGATTCGAATTCTACTATTCTCTCACATGTCTCCTGCATAAGACGTATCTAAAGATAAATTCAAATAAAAACCAGTTAGATGATGGAACGAGGAAACCACGGGAGGCAGCAAAAAATCACCTTCCGACACCTTCCGAAGACACGCGACACGAATGGAAGAAACGTGGAAACGTTTTGTAATTGCAAATGTATTCCAGTTTCTATAATATTTGTTATATGGTGAAACAGATCAGTAACATTAATAAATGAAGAAGAGTAAGATATGGTGGAAATAAACAAATTTATTTGGAGGGATAAATGAGAAAAAAGAGAAAAATGAAAAAGAGAGGAAAAGTTACAAGTAATAAAAAATTATGAGAGTCGGCCTGGTAGTAATAAAGACCCCAATAAAGTACTGAGCAAAAGAATAATGATAAACAGCTCTTTTAAATAATGTTTTAGCTGTCTTTTGAGTTTCACATATAGATATAGGAATATCTTTTTAATAAAAACATCGTATAACTGTTGGACTGAATTTTCTTATATGTTTTAGGTACTGGGAACAACATGCTGCGGCGAGGATGCACTTTCGGTGTCAAAATTATGCTGCTGAGCCTGAATACGAACGACAACTGCTTTTTATAAAGGGGCATAAACAGGCGCAAGATATAACTTACACTGCTCTCTGCATCCTTCTTTTGCTCTGCCATCTGTTTGGCATATTTCGCTTTATTTGCCTCTGATTCCCTGAAACAATTAAGATTAATTTTCTTCTTTTAGCGATTATTACTAATATTCACATTTTGATGTTGTATTTTTAATGTTATTTTGTGCCCTGAAATTAGTATGAGATCTTTTGTCTCGTCCGTCGGCTCAAACCGTCCATCCCTTCATCTGTTTGTCAGTCTATCCGTCTGTCAGTCCGTTACCCCGTCCTCCATTTGTCAGTTTGTTTCTCTGTCGACCCGTCAATCCGTTTATCCTTCCGTTCATCCATCCGTCTGTTTTTCCTTGTATCGTCTGTCCGTCCGTCCGTCCTCCTTCCTTCAACTCTTTTGTCAGTCTATCCGTTTGTCCGTTCGTTTGTCAGTCCATTCGTTTTCCCGTCTGTTTGTCCTTCCATTCATACATTTCAGTGTCCGTTTCTTCGTCCATCAATGCGTTTGTCTATCTGTCCGTCTGTTCACCCCGTACGTCGATCCGATCTGTCCTTCTGGCCATCAGTCCGTCCATCCGTTTGTCTGTCCGTCTTTCCAACCACCCATCCCTTTGTCCTTTCGTTCGTCCGTCCGTCCATTCGTCCGTCTAACCATTTATCTATCTACAATGGCTCCTGAGAAATAAACCTCATTTCCAGAAATTTATCATTACTACTGTAAAGGTATAGAAGAAGATGCATGTGTACAAAATCCTACTTTAATTGCCTACTATGCAAACCAAACCTTGGGTTTTGAAGAAAACGTGGACCGTTTACAAGTTAAACCTGTACATGTCAGTCAAACATTAGACATAAGCGAATTAACTTACTTTTCCTTCTCCATCTGCAAAAATGGATTAACAACAAGAACCTTGACAACCCAAAAGACAGTTATAGGAACCACAGTGCCATAAAATATGGCCGCTGGATGAATCTCTTCTGACAGGTTGATGGGGAAGCTGTATACTTGATTCGCACGGGTCAATCTAAATCAAAATTTGTTACATCCAACAATTAGTACAAGCTCTGTGAAAAGTCAGTTTACTGGGTAGTGTGTATTCTTTTTGCCTAACGGAGTGTGTTGGCACCCGGCTCAAAGCATTCAGGCAAAATAACGCAATGTTCTACTTAACTGAATGTGCGATCAACAGAACGGACCTGTAACCAGATTTACGAAGGCTTTCTAAGTAAAGCAAAACCATATTTTCTCAATTAATAGCCGCGACGTTTTACTTTATATTTTGACCTGGCCTCGGTTGTTGTGTTTGGTTTCCCTAATGCTTATTCACTAGATCGTGATTAATCCGGGGGATTGCGCTATTTAATGTTTGAACAAGCGGGACCTGGTGAGTAAAAGCGTTTGCTTGTATCTGCAATTTATCGCGTTTTACAATTCTGCATGGCACCAAAATGTCGTATCATGTAGCTCACTACATGATACATCATGAAAGTAGAAACACAACGACAGTCTACTTACTTGACTTTTAGCAATACACCAATGGGCAAACCAATGCACATTGTGGCAGCCAGTCGACTGTGTTCAGAAATTTGCTTTTCACATCCGTATTCAACCACAGAACCAAACGTTCCACTCCTAAAAAAAAGCAATGAAAAGATGCAGTGATCATACAATGAAAGGAAAAAATAAAATTTATTACAGGACACCAGAGGTATATGAATTTCAAGTAACAGCCTAGCCTGGGAAAACAGCAGACATTCCGCAACCCTACCACTAGTTTTCCCGCGAAACGACGTCTGAGAAACGAGCGCAGAAATTCCATACTGATGACGCGTCAGTACCCAGGTATGGGTAGTGTTTCTGATTGTTCATGCTGCGCGGGAAATTTGTTTCATCTAATCAGAAACGCCACCCATACCTGGGTACTGACGCGTCATCAGTATGGAATATCTGCGCTCGTTTCTCAGACGTCATTTCACAGAGAAAGCAGTGGTGGCGTCGCCAAATGTCCTGTTTGCTGAGGATAGTTTTATTCACCACACCAAAATTGACCCACGGATGATGAAAACTCAACCCTGATCAGGCACATATACGTGATCATTGACTATATAACTTTGAAGATGAATTTAAATCTGCCTTGATTAATTGAAAAGATCATCACATCTTTCTTTGCTCTTTTTCTATCTATCAAATATACCTTTCAACAGTGATCGTTAATTTGCCTAGTCCCTGTACTGCGTTTTCCAAGGCATCCTTGGTCAATGAATGCATTAACCGGGCGGAATGATCCTCCGTTCGGCGGATGGTTTCGAATAAAGGTTCTACGCCACACAGGAAACACACAAGAAACTAATGGCCAAAATAGTGGTGGCAGGGAAGCACTTAAATCTAGGGGTAAGGGGACCAGGAAAGAAGCCCTCCTGGAGGTAGACGAGATCGAGTGGTACGGGGGTAGCCACCCTGGGCAGGAGTCCTGATCATCTCCGGTGGCGTGGCCCATATCCCCAAGACACTAGGAACTAAGGGGACACTAGGAATCAGAAGGGGGCCTTACTGGGTGGAGTACACACCAGGTGGAACCGGGGATCATTCTGGAGTGGATATTGAACACAAGGCACCCTCAAGCGTCAGTGCCTAATATCTTGGAGACTAGGTGAATCTAAGAGAAATACATTATGTACCCGTGAAACAAAAGAAAAACAATACATACTTTATAGTGCCTTTAATTTTCGTGTCCTTCTCTATTTTTCTTGTGTAGGAACCTAATACAAATGAATTTGGAATTCCAAGCTATAACCAAAAACAAAAAGACAAAAACAAAAACAAAAATATAATGATTAGATGGCCAACCAGTAAAACCAAAAACAGTAAGGGAGAAAATTATTTGCAGTAATGACATCAGAAATGACATATTCGAAGTCATGACATTTTGGAATTCAAATGTTTGAAAAGATAACATTCCGAGTTTAAATGTTCGGAATTCAAATATTTCGAGTGATGACATTCGGATTTCAAATGTTTGGAGAGATGACATTTGGTAATCAGATGTTTGGAAGAATGACATTGCGAATTCAAATGTTTGAAGTGATGACATTCGGAATTCAAATGTTTGGACTGATGACATTCGGAATTCAAATGTTAGGAGTGAACATTCGGTATTCAAATAATTGGAGTGATGACATTCGGAATTCAAGTGTTTGGAGTGATGTCATTCGGAAATTCATATGTTTGGAGTGATGACATTCGGAATTCAAATGTTTGGAGTGATGACATTCGGAATTCAAATGTTTCGAGTGACGACATTCGGAATTCAAATATTTGGAGAGACGACATTCGGAATTCAAATGTTAGGAGTGAACATTCGGAAATTCATATGTTTGGAGTGATGACATTCGGAATTCAAGTGTTTGGAGTGACGACATTCGGTATTCAAGTGTTTGGAGTGACGACATTCGGAATTCAAATCTTTGCAGTGACGACATTCGGTATTCAAATCTTTGCAGTGACGACATTCGGAATTCAAATGTTTGGAGTGATGACATTCGGTATCCAAGTGTTTGGAGTGATGACATTCGGTATTCAAGTGTTTGGAGTGATGAAATTCGGAAATTCATATGTTTGGAGTGATGACATTCGGAATTCAAATGTTTGGAGTGACGACATTCGGAATTAAAAAGTTAGGAGTGACGACATTCGAAATTCACATGTTAGGAGTGAAAATTCGGTATTCAAATGTTTGGAGTGATGACATTCGGAATTCAAATGTTAGGAGTGAACATTCGGTATTCAAATGTTTGGAGTGATGACATTCGGAATTCAAGTGTTTGGAGTGATGAAATTCGGAAATTCATATGTTTGGAGTGATGACATTCGGCATTCTAATGTTTGGAGTGATGACATTCGGAATTCAAATGTTTCGAGTGACGAATGTTTGGAGAGACGACATTCGGAATTCAAATGTTAGGAGTGATGACATTCGGAATTCAAGTGTTTGGAGTGATGAAATTCAGAAATTCAAATGTTTGGAGTGACGACATTCAGTATTCAAGTGTTTGGAGTGATGACATTCGGAATTCAAATGTTTCGAGTGACGAATGTTTGGAGAGACGACATTCGGAATTCAAATGTTAGGAGTGATGACATTCGGAATTCAAGTGTTTGGAGTGATGAAATTCAGAAATTCAAATGTTTGGAGTGACGACATTCAGTATTCAAGTGTTTGGAGTGATGACATTCGGAATTCAAATGTTTCGAGTGACGAATGTTTGGAGAGACGACATTCGGAATTCAAGTGTTTGGAGTGATGAAATTCGGAAATTCAAATGTTTGGAGTGACGACATTCGGAATTCAAATGTTTGGAGTGATGACATTCGGTATTCAAATGTTTGGAGTGATGACATTCGGAATTCAAATGTTTGGAGTGATGACATTCGGAATTCAAATGTTTGGAGTGACGACATTCGGAATTCAAATGTTTGGAGTGATGACATTCGGAATTCAAATCTTTGGAGTGACGACATTCGGAATTCAAATGTTTGGAGTGACGACAATTGGAATTCAAATGTTTGGAGTGACGACATTCGGAATTCAAATGTTTGGAGTGATGACATTCGGAATTCAAATGTTTGGAGTGATGACATTCGGAATTCAAATGTTTGGAGTGACGACATTCGGTATTCAACTGTTTGGAGTGATGACATTCGGAATTCAAATCTTTGCAGTGACGACATTCGGTATTCAAATGTTTAGAGTGATGACATTCGGTATTCAACTGTTTAGAGTGATAACATTCGGAATTCAAGTGTTTAGAGTGATAACATTCGGTATTCAACTGTTTGGAGTGATGACATTCGGAATTCAAGTGTTTGGAGTGATGACATTCGGTATTCAAGTGTTTAGAGTGATGACATTCGGTATTCAACTGTTTGGAGTGATGACATTCGGAATTCAAGTGTTTGGAGTGATGACATTCGGTATTCAAGTGTTTAGAGTGATGACATTCGGTATTCAACTGTTTGGAGTGATGACATTCGGAATTCAAGTGTTTGGAGTGATGACATTCGGAATTCAAGTGTTTGGAGTGATGACATTCGGAATTCAAGTGTTTAGAGTGATGACATTCGGTATTCAACTGTTTGGAGTGATTACATTCGGTATTCAACTGTTTGGAGTGACGACATTCGGTATTCAACTGTTTAGAGTGATAACATTCGGAATTCAAGTGTTTGGAGTGACGACATTCGGTATTCAAATGTTTAGAGTGATGACATTCGGTATTCAACTGTTTGGAGTGATGACATTCGGAATTCAAGTGTTTGGAGTGACGACATTCGAAATTCACATGTTTGGAGTGACGACATTCGCAATTCAAATCTTTGCAGTGACGACATTCGGTATTCAAATGTTTGGAGTGACGACATTCGGAATTCACATGTTTGGAGTGACGACATTCGGTATTCAAATCTTTGCAGTGACGACATTCGGAATTCAAATCTTTGCAGTGACGACATTCGGTATTCAAATGTTTGGAGTGACGACATTCGGAATTCACATGTTTGGAGTGACGACATTCGGTATTCACATGTTTGGAGTGACGACATTCGGTATTCAAATCTTTGCAGTGACGACATTCGGTATTCATATGTTTGGAGTGACGACATTCGGAATTCACATGTTTGGAGTGACGACATTCGGAATTCACATGTTTGGAGTGACGACATTCGGTATTCATATGTTTGGAGTGACGACATTCGGAATTCACATGTTTGGAGTGACGACATTCGGTATTCAAATCTTTGCAGTGACGACATTCGGTATTCATATGTTTGGAGTGATGACATTCGGAATTCAAGTGTTTGGAGTGACGACATTCGGTATTCAAGTGTTTGGAGTGATGACATTCGGAATTCAAATCTTTGGAGTGACGACATTCGGAATTTATATGTTTGGAGTGATGACATTCGGAATTCACTTGACAACAAGGTCATCAACTCTCAATCCCTCTCCTCTTTTAAGAAAAAACTGAAGATTAAATTATTGAGTGAGTATGAAAACAGTTCATAAGTCTTACCATTTTCGACTTTTCGCCTTCTTTTCTTCAATTGATGTGAAACAGCTCTAGCTCATAGTTCGAGGAGGCCTAACCTCTCATAAGCTCCTATAGTCTCTGTTAGGTCTCCTCGCCACTTCTTTTTTTCTTCTTTTCCTTTGTTTTTTGTAATTATTGTGTGGCAAATAGAATAAAATAAAATACAAATAGATAATTTATATGTTTGGAGTGATTGCATTCGGAATTTGTATGTTTCGAGTGACGACATTCGGAATTCAAATGTTTCGAGTGACGACATTCGGTATTCAAGTGTTTGGAGTGACGACATTCGGTATTCAAGTGTTTGGAGTGATGACATATGGTATTCAAGGGTTTGGGGTGATGACAGTCGGAATTCAAATGATTGTAGTGATGACAGAATTCAAATGTTTGGAGTGAACACATTCGGAATGCAAATGTTTTGAGGTATGACATTCAGAATTTAAATGTTTTGAGTGATGACAGTCAGAATCAAAGTTTTTGAGTGATCAGGTCAGGTGTCCCTTACCTGCTACCAGTTAACCATGTCACCTAGTACAACCTGCTTTATGCGTTAAGCCGTCGGCGACTAAACCGGCAACTCCACTAGGCTTATCTAAGGGGGGTTAAACTGGGTATCCAGAGAGAAGGATACAACATCTGTCTTAAGGTCTACGGTGGCCCACCCCCAGTTAGGTGGACTCTGGCATCACCCAAAGGTGGAGATAAAAAGACCTATCCACCGGTCAGCCGCTGCAGCATGGCATAAATGCCAGCTTGTCCCGACCCGTCCTTGCCCGCTGGACCACATTTTTGCCCTGCCGAGTGAGTGACCCTAGTCAATTGAAAAGCTGGTTTCCCTACAATCCTTTTACATACAGTTCTAAGGTATAAATGGCACAGAAAACAGGCTCCCATACAGGCTCAAACGTCGCCTGGGTTAACAAAGTTTGTGCTGGCTCGCTCCTATTCCAGTGACCTGTGAAAAGTGAGCTACGAGGACACGGGATCTCTCTGAAACTCAGAGAATGGAATGTCAGAACGTTGCTAAATAAAACTGACTAAAGAGGGCCTGAATGTCCGACAGCATTGGTAGCAAAAGAATTTGAGAGTTACATAAATGATATAACAGCGCTAAGTGAGACTCAACTGCTATCATACGACGGCATGGTAGATCATGGCCACACGATCTTTTTGGAGTGGCAGGGAGAGAACGAGCGAAACGAATCTAGACATGGTTTTCCCATAGGAAACTCCATTGCTGAGCAGCTGAAGGAAGACCCGACACCTGTCGGTGACAGGTTAGTCACCATGAGACTTCCGCTGCAGAGGAATGTCTGCCACCATAGCTGGGTGTGTATGCTCCAAAACTGACCAACCTCTGAGAGATCAAGGAGAAATTCTACAACAGCCTGAGAGAAGTACTGCAGAGAGGTCTATTTCTAGTACTGTTAACTGATAATGCTGGTGACTTCAATGCCAGGGTTGGAAAAGGGGTGGACAAATGGGCATGTGTGATTGGCACGCATAGAGTTGGGAATTGAAACTGAAACGGTGAACTTCTGGCTCTTTGCTCGGTGTTTGGTCATCACAAATACTATCTTCAAGCGCAATGAACACCACATGAAGGAAATGGACAAGACTTTGGCAGGATTGCAATATCAGGAGTCAGAAATTGCTGCAGAAAACTGAAGTTCTTTAGAAGCAACTATATATGACACTACTCTCAGTGTCTTGGGTAAATCCAGTTGCAAACACCAGGATTGGTTCAATGATACTGACAAGAAGCTATTAGAGGAAAGAAATACTGCAAGCACTATTTCCCTGGTGTACTAAAGCAGTACACCAGGGAAATGAAGTCTCAAAGATGGGAGGCAAAGGAAGCAGAAAAAAAAGATATGAAAGAACTTTTAAAATGATCTGACAGAAGTACATTGGACATAGAAGAGGGGTACAACACAGCTTACAGACCTTGATGGTGAGACAGTAATAAAGAAGAAAGCTGAGATTCTCGACAGATTTACAAACTACTTTGACAAGCTACTTAACATAACTGGAGGGGTTGACCGCTCTGTCTTGGACACCACTGCACTGAGACCAAACATTGCATCTCTTAATGAAAAACCTGAAGTCAAAGAACTGTTGGATGCCATCAACGCAACAAACAGGTATACCTGCAGAACTCAGAAAACATGGCCGGGTTAAACTCACCTCTAGCCTGTACAAACTGGTTTTGCACATCTGAGAAACTGAATAAAGACCACAAGACTGGAAAGATGTATTGTGTATTGTGTATTGTGTATTCTAGTATTGTGCCAGTTTTCAAGAAGGAAAGCATAAAGGACTGTGGAAACTATCGAGGTATTTATCTCTTCTCAATGGCTCGCATACTCCTGAACAGAATAAACAAACGCATACCTCCTAATATATTGCCTGAGACTTAATGTAGTTTTCGCAGTGGTAGAGGCACTGTGGATCTGATCTTCTGCCCGCGACAGTTACAAGGAATTTCATAGACCAGAACCTGCCCCCGCATGTTCTCGTTATCCTGCTAGGAATGGAATCATCACCTTATCATGGTGGGAAAGTTTGCGTGTGTTAATGACTCGCTGAGCTAAGTCGGCTGGAGTCTTATACTCCAGGTAGGGCCACCCATGCCGAAAAGGACGAAGGGTAGAGACCAGACAGAGAATGACCCCCTGGTCCTCCAGGTTGGGGGTTGGGCCTAGGGCTAACAACCCTACCACATAAAAACACTAATTGTTTCAGAAAGTGGAAACGCTTTTAACACTAACTGGGGATGTCGCTGCTAGGGCTACAATGATGCTCTTGGGACAAAGCCAGCAGGACACCTAAAGGCAGATAGAACCCACAGTAGACCCCAAGTGACAGACCATCGGTTGCTAATACGTGAGGACCATCGCAGAGACAACATGCCCAATGCAAGTAGCTAAGGAGATGAAAGAGTAAGGGATTGAAGTGCCGGACAAGTCAGGTGGAAAGGGATAGGATCAGTAACACCCCAGAGTAAAGAGAGGGTGTGTACATAGGACATAATGAGGTGCAACAGGGAGGAGTTGCCACCATGATGAGCCCGAGGGCAAAGGGACCCTTGATGAAATGGACGCCAATTAGCAAAAGAATTATTACAGCACGGTTCTACTCAAAGTACAAAAAGCTGACGGTGGTACTAGCATATGCACTAACGAATGATGCGATGGATGAGGAAAAGGATAAATTCTAAAACCAGCTGCAGGACACTGTTTCGAGCTGCAACAGAAATGATATGATTGTGGTGATGGGTGATTTGAATGCTATGGTAGGAAACAACAATACTGATGGTGAGGAGGTTGGGGGAAAATTGGCGTTAGTGTTATGAATGACAAAAGAGAGAGGTCATGTGACATCCACAACCTGATCTGGAGGTCACCAGATGGGAGGAAAGTAAACCAGATTGACCATGTTTTAATGAATGGAAACATGAAAAGATCTATCTTAGACACCAGAGTAATGAGAGGAGCAAACGTGTACAGTGACCATTACCTAGTGAAAAACAAGGCCTGGCAGGGGGAAGAATGTAAGAGAGGGATTCACATAAGTAAACTGCAAAGTGAAGAGATCAGGTAGAGATACAATATTGACTTGAGGAATAGGTTTGAAGCTTTAGGAGACAGAGGATCCGGAGCAAGGACCATTATGATTTTGTCAACATACAGTAAGCCATGGATAGGAAACAAACCGTGGGAAAAAATCAAGGAGAGGAAAGAGGCGAAACTGAAAATAGAGGGTAAAAGATCGAAATGACTGAAACAGATGGAGAGAGAAGTATAATGCGAAAAACACTGAAGTGAAACGGAGTGCTAGGGAAGAGAGGAGAAACGAAAAGATGTTACAACAGGTTTTGGGAAAATGAGAGGTGGCCGAAAGTGTGGAAGAAGGGACTTGTTGTAAAGGTATTCAAGAAAGGTGATTTGTACGAATGTAACAACGGAAGAGGAGTGACTTCACTACCCGCCATTAAAAAGATATTCTTGAGGACGCTGTTAGGTGGACCAAGAAAGGCATAGACAAGAAACTTCGAAAGGAACAGGCTGGGTTTCCAGCCAAGAGAAGTATAACTGAAAAGATCTTTATACTTAGAAACATCTTAGAGCAGGCAAATGAGTGGAGGGCGTGTCTGTATACGCACTTTCTGGACTTCGAAAAAGCCTTTGACTATGTACACATAGAAAGCCTAGGGAATATCATGAGAAGAAATGGGATACCAGACAAGACGGCGAAAGTGATAGGAGGCATTTACATGGGTTTAGCTTGTGCAGTCGTTGACAGGAGTGTGACATCGTACCGGCTCACAATCAAATATGGAGTTAAAATGGGGTGCATGATGTCAGGATTCCTATTCTTACTGTCTTGGACTGGGTCATGAGAAAGGCAAAGCAGATAAGAGCGATAAGGTGGAATCTGACAAAAGTGCTGGAGGACCTTGAGATTTCGCAGATGACATTGCACCACTGTCATCTAAGTTCAATGAATGCACGAGAAGACTGAAAGATTGGCCAAGGAAGCAGCCAGAGTAGCAAGCAAACTTGATGCGAGAAAATGCAAGACACTAGGGACTGATTGTGCTAGAAGCAGGGAGAACATTGTGGTTGACGGTGAAGAAGTGGAAGACGTTGAGGAGTTTTACATACCTGAGTGCTATTGCCGACAAGGAGGGTGGACGTAGCAGAGGCACATGGTGCATTCCAAGGACTAAGGAGGGCCTGAGCAAATAGAGGAGAACCAAGATACATCTGTTCAAAACTTAAGTTTGACCGGTCCTGCTATATGGCTGAGAATCTTGGAAGATCACCTAGACCGATAGATGGAAGCCAGTGCGTGAGACAGATAGTACCGATTAGATGGCAGCAGAGAATAACAAACAAAGAGAGTGGTTGAGTTGGCAGGGACCAATGCCACAAGTTGTAAATTATGACGATGAAAGTGGAACTGGCTAGGTCACATACTTAGAAGAGGGGCCGTGAATGACTACTTTACAGCAGTAGGGTGGACACCATAAGGCCGGAGGGCGAGAGGAAGTCCAAAAACTACTTGCAGAAGGGCTGTTCAGCAAGAGCGAAACAACAAAACAGAGTGGAAGAGTTGGGAAGTAACCAAAGTGGTTGCACGAGTCAGACAGCAGGGAGGCCTTATGTGCCTTTTGGCACGGTGATACATGATGATAATGATGCCGTTTTTATCGAACTTAACAAAGGCTTTTGATACAGTGTTTCCTGAGGGCCTATGAAAAGTGTTCCGAAAGTGTGAATGTCCTTCTAAATTTATCAATCTGGTGAAGGCACTGCACGACAAAATGCAGGTACATGTGGCTCAAGAAAATACATCTTCGAGGAATTTGCAGTCACCGGTTGATGTGAAACAAGGTAGTGTGCTTGCTCCGACACCGTTCTCTCTCTACCGAACAGCAATGCTAGAAGTAGCCTTTGACGGTGTTGGGAACAGTATCTACATCCAAACTAATGCTAATCCTGACCTGTTTGATGTCACGCACAACCCAGATCCTAGTGAGGGAAATGCTGTTTGCAGGTGATAGTGCTATAGTTGCCCACAGTGTTGGTGACATTCAGAGTCTATTGGACAGGATCGCCAGAGCTGCCTCCCAATTTGGCCTCAACATCAACATCAAGAAAACTGAGTACTTTACCGGCCAATGCAACACCTAGATCCAGCTGCTGACCCAACAACCATAACAATCAATCAAGAGGCCCTGGTACAGTGTACCCACTTCAGATACCTAGGAAACAGTCTCCAACAACGCTAGCCCAGACAGTAAACTCAGAAACAGGGCGGGAAATGTAAATGCTACTTTTGTAAAATTACATAACGGAAATGACAATGGAGAGGTCATGTGACTTTTGAAGTACAAGTGGGTTAATCATAACAAGAACAATCTTGCCTCAAAAAGACATATTAAGGCTGACCTGTAGGTCACCAGATGGCAGGAGAGTAAACCAGATTGACTATATTTTAGAGTATGGAAAGATGAGAACCATCTTAGACACCAGAGTAATGAGACGAGCAGACGTATACAGTGACCATTACCTTGTGAGAACCAGAATAAGTCTAAAGTTGGCAAGGCCTGAAGGAGGAAAGAATGTAAGGTAAAGGTTTGACCTAAGTAAACTGCAAAGTGAAGAGATCAGGTACAGATAGAACATTGAGTTGAGGAATAGTATTAAAGCTTTAGGAGACATAGAGTATTCGGAGGCAAGACACGGTGAGATTTTGTCAACATACAGAAACTTTCTAAGCCATGAATAAGAAAAAATTGTACAAAACATGGGAAAAGATCAAGGAGAGGAAAGAGGCAAAATTGAAAATGGAGGGCGCAAGATCGGAACGACTGAAACAGAGATGAAGAGGGAAGTATAATGCGAAAAACACTGAAGTGAAAAGGAGTGCTAGGGAAGATTGGAGAAATTGGTTAGAGAAGAGGGCTGCAACAGAGGAAAAGGCTGCTGCGAAAGGTAGGAACTATTCAAGGAGCTGTTCAGCATTACCAAGTCAATAACAGGAGAATGGCAGAGACGAGAAGTAGGTGTTAAAGCCAAAAAAGGGGTCCTTAGGACTGGAACACGAGAAAGACTACAGAGATGGGTGGAGCACTTTAGTGAAATATTAAACAGAGATGACTCAACAAATCCTTTCAAATCCTGTGAAAGAAGATAAGACAGTAGAATCAGAAGAGATTGAGGAAATAGATCTAGGAAGATCGCGATAACAAGAGGTCAAGGATGTAATGAAAGGGACAAAGCCAGGGAAAGTGGCTGGAGTAGATGAGGTGTGTCCCGGGTAACTGAGAGCTGACATTGAAGACACTGCAAGTACGCTGACTAGATGTTACAACAGGCTTTAGGAAAATGAGAGGTGGCCGAAAGTGTGGAAGAAGGGAGTTTTTGTCAAGGTATTCAAGAAAGGTGATTTGCACAAATGTAACAACAGGAAGGTCGCTGTTAGGCGGACCAAGAAAGGAGAAGGCTGGGTTTCCACTGAAGAGAAGTACAACTGAACAGACCTTTATACTTGGAAACATCTTAGAGCAGGCAAATGAGTGGAGGGCAAGTCTGTATGCACAATTTGTGGACTTTGAAAAAGTCTTTGATTCTCGACACAGAGAAAGTCTATTGAATATCATGAGAAGTTATGGGACACCAAACAAGATGGCTTTTGATACACTGTCTCATCAGGGCCTGAGGAAAGTGCTCGGAAAGTATCAATGTCCTTCTAAATTTATCAATCCGGTGAAGACACTGCACAACGAAATGCAAGCACATGGGGCTCAAGGAAACCATATCTCCAAAGAATTTGCAGTCATCAATGGTGTCAAGCAAGATAGTGTGCTTGCTGCAACACTGTTCTCTCTCTAAATAACCGCAATGCTAGAAGTAACTTTTGATGGTGTTGGGGACGGTATCTACATCCAAAGTCACACTGATGCTTATACCTACCAATGCAAAACCTACATCAGTTCCTGAGCCAACAAACACAACCATCAATCAAGAGGCCTTAGTGCGGTTGTTCGACTTCAAATACCTAGGAAGCACTATCTGCAACAACGCTAGCTTAGACAGTGAACTCAGATACAGGGTGGGAAATGCAAGTGCTACTTTTGGAAAACTACATGACAGCAAAAGGAAAACCAACATGTCACTAAAACAAAGTCAACTGCAAGGTCTTTCAGGCCGTTGTCCCCTCTTCACTCCTGTATGGTCTGAAACATAGACTATATATCAGAGACAAGTGATGAAGATCCCTGCTTACATGATGAGCGTCTAACAGTCAAAATGAACGTACCCTAGAAGAAAAAGATCACGAATGTGGAAATTATCTGCCACACAGTACTAACATCAATGAGACTGTTCTCAGCGAGAAAAATCTCAGATGGCCTGGTAAGTGCATAGAATGGTTAACAACAGACTATCAAAACAGCTGTAGAACTCTTAACTCTGTTTGGGAATGAGTGATCAAGGGAAACCTAGTTTAGGGTTCAAAGGTGTTCCAAAGAGAAACATGAAATGAAGAGACATCAATCTTCACTGACAACAGGAGGGTGTCAACGATAGACCTACCTGGAAAAGAACTATAAAACATTTGTAATTCCAATTTTTGGAGTGATGACATCCGGCATTCAGATGCTTGGAGTCATGAAATTCGGAATTCAAATTTTTGGGGTGATGACATTCGGAATTCAAATGTTTGGACAGACGACAGTCAGAAGTGAAATGCTTCGACAGGTGACATCCGGAATTCAAACGCTTGTAGTGACAACATTCGGAATTCAAATGTTTGGAAAGATGACATTTGGAATTCAAATGCTTGAAATGATGATATTCGGAATTTATATGTTTGGACGGATGACATTCAGCAGTAAAATGCTTGGACAGAAGACATTCGGAATTCAAACGCTTGTAGTGACAACATTCAGAATTCAAATGTTTGGAAGGATAACATCGGAATTCAAATGTTTGAAAAAATGACTTTCGGAATTCAAATGTTTGGAGTGATAACATTCGAAATTCAAATATTTGGAAAGATGAAGTTGGGAATTCAAATCTTTTGAGTGATGACATTCGGAATTCAAATGTTTGGAGTAATGACATTCGGAATTCAAATGTTTGGAATGAAGACAATCGAAATTCAAATGCTTAAGATGATGACATTCGAAATTCAAATGCTTAAAATGATGACATTCCAAATTCAAACATTTGGAATGGTAACATTCAAAATGAAAATTTTTGGAGTGATGAAATTCATATTTCCAATGTTTGGAATAATCCCATTCGGAAATCACATGTTTGAAATAATGATATTTGGAATTCAAATGTTTGGAAAGATGACATTTGGAATTCAAATGCTTGAAATGATGATATTCGGAATTTAAATGTTTGGACGGATGACATTCAGCAGTAAAATGCTTGGACAGAAGACATTCGGAATTCAAACGCTTGTAGTGACAACATTCAGATTTCAAATGTTTGGAAGGATAACATCAGAATTCATATGTTTGAAATGATGACATTCGGAATTCAAATGTTTCGAGTGATGGCAGTCGAAATTCAAATATTTGGAAAAATGAAGGAGGGAATTCAAATCTTTTGAGTGATGACATTCGGAATTCAAATGTTTGGAGTAATAACATTCGGAATTCAAATGTTTGGAATGAAGACATTCGAAATTCAAATGCTAAAATGATGACATTCCAAATTCAAATATTTAGAATGGTGACATTCGGAATTAAAATTTTTGGAGTGATGACATTCACAATTGAAATTTTGGAATAATCGCATTCGGAAATCACATGTTTGAAATGATGACATTTGGAATTCAAATGTTTGGAGCAATGACATTCGAAATTCACATGCTTGGAGTAATGACACTCGGAGTTCATATGCTTGCAGTTCTGACATTCGGAATTAAAATGTTTGGAAAAGTAAGGTCAGAATTCCAACGTTTGGAAGGATAAGGCCACAATTCTAATATTTGGAAAGATAAGGACAGAATACCAGTGTTTCAAAAGATAAGGCCAGAATTCCAATGTTTGGAAAGGGAAGACCAGAATTGTAATGTTTGGAAAGATAACGCCAAAATTCCAGTGGTTGGAAGGATAAGGTCAGAATTCCAGTGTTTGGGGGGATAAGGTCAGCAATCCAATCTTTGAAAAGATACGGTCAGAATTCTAATGTTTGGAAAGATAAGGACAGAATACCAATGTTTGGAAAGATAACGCCAGAATTCCAATGTTTGAAAATATAAAGCCAGAATTCCAATGTTTTGAAAGATAAGGCCAGACTTCTAATGTTTGGAAAGATAAGGCCAGAATTCCAACGTTCAAAAGGATAAGGTCAAAATTAAAAATGTCTCGAAGGATAAGGTTAGAATTCCAATGTTTGGAGGGATAATGTCAGAATTCCAATGTTTAGAAGTATAAGGCCAGAATTCTAATGTTTGGAAAGATAAGGACAGAATTCCAATGTTTGGAGGGATAAGGACAGAATTCTCATGTTTGAAAAGATAAGGTCAGAATTCCAATCTTTAAAGGGATAAGGCCAGAATTCTAATGTAAAGGCACTCGTCACTTAATGACACTCAGAATTCATATGCTTGGAGTCCTGACATTCGGAATTAAAATGTTTCGAAAAGTAAGGTCAGAATACCAATGTTTAGAAAGATCAGGCCAGAATTCCAGTGTTTCGAAAGATAAGCCCACAATTCTAATGTTTGGAAAGGTAAGGCCAGAATTCTAATGTTTGGAAAGATAAGACCAGAATTCCAATGTTTGAAACGATAAGGTCAGAATTCCAATGTTTGAAACGATAAGGTCAGAATTCCAATGTTTGGAGGGAAAAGGTCAGAATTCCAATGTTTGCAAGGATACGGTCAGAATTCTAATGTTTGGAAAGATAACGACAGAATTCCAATCTTTGAAGGGATAAGGCCAGAATTCTAATGTTTGGAAAAATAAGGCCAGAATTCTAATGTTTGGAGCGATAAGGGCAGAATTCAAATGTCTGAAGGGATACGGCCAGAATTCTAATGATTGAAGGGATCAGGCCAGATTTCTAATGTTTGGAAAGATAAGACCAGAATTCTAATGTTTGGAAGGATACGGTTAGAATTCTAATGTTTGGAAAGAAAGGGACAGAATTCTAATGTTTGAAGGGATACGGTCAGAATTCTAATGTTTGGAAAGAAAGGGACAGAATTCTAATGTTTGGAGGGATAAGGAAAGAATTCTAATGTTTGGAAAGATAAGGTCAGAATTCCAATCTTTGAAGGCATAAGGCCAGAATTCTAATGTTTGGAGGGATAAGGCCAGAGTTCTAATGTTTGGAGGGAAAAGGCCAGAATTCAAATGTTTGAAGGAATAAGGCCAGAATTCTAATGTTTGGAAGGATAAGGCCAGAATTTTAATGTTTGAAGGGATAAGGTCAGAATTCCAATCTTTGAAAAGATACGCTCAGAATTCTAACATTTGGAAAGATAAGGACAGAATACCAATGTTTGCAAAGATAAGGACAGAAAACCAATGTTTGGAAAGATAAGGCCAGAATTCCAATGTTTGGAAAGATAAGGCAAGAATTCTAATGTTTGGAAGGATAAGGTCAGAATTACAATGTTTGGAAAGATAAGGTCAGAATTCCAATGTTTGGAAGGATAAGGTCAGAATTCCAATGTTTTCACAGTTAAGGCCACAATTCCAAATAAGGAGAGAATTCCAATGTTTCGAAGGATAAGGTCAGAATTCTAATGTCTAGAAAAGTAAAATCAGAATTCCAATGTTTGGAAAGGGAAGATCAGAATTCCAGTGTTTGCAGAGATAAGGTAGGATTTCAAATGTTTGGAAAGACAAGGTCAGAATTCCAATGTCTGGAACGATAAGGCCAAAATCCCACTGTTTGGACGGATATGCTCAGACTTCCAATGTTTGGACAGATATGGCCACATTTCCAGTGTTTGGAAGGATAAGACCAGAATTCCAATGTTTGGAAGGATAAGGAGAGAATTCTAATGTTTGGAAAGATAAGGTCAGAATTCCAGTCTTTCTAGGGATAAGGCCAGAATTGTAATGTTTCGAGGGATAAGGCCAGAAGTCTAATGTTTGGAGGAATAAGGCCAGAACACTAATGTTTGGACAGATAAGACCAGAATTCTAATGCTTGCAAGGATAAGGCCAGAATTCTAATCTTTGGACAAATTAGGCCACAATTCTCATGCTTCGAATGATAAGGCCAGAATTCTAATGTTTGGGAGGATAAGGCCAGAATTTTAATGTTTGAAAGGATAAGGCCAGAATTCCAATGTTTTAGGGGGATAAGGTCAGGATTCTAATGTTTGGAAAGATAAGGACAGAATACCAATGTCTGCAAACATAAGGACAGATTACCAATGTTTGGAAAGATAAGGCCAGAATTCCAATGTTTGGAAAGATAAGGCCAAAATTCCAATGTTTGGAAAGATAAGGCCAGAATTGTAATGTTTGGAGGGATAACGCCAAAATTCAAATGTTTGAAGGGGTAACGCCAGAATTCTAATGTTTGGAAAGATAAGGCCAGAATTCTAATGTTTGGACAGATAAGGCGAAAATTCAATAATTTGCAAAGATAAGGACAGAATTCAGATGTTTCGACAGTTAAGGCCAGAATTCCAATCTTTGGAAAGATAAAATCAGAATTGCAATCTTTCACAGCTAGAGCCAGAATTCTAATGTTTGCAAGGATAACGTCAGAATTCTAATGTTTGGACAGAAAAGGCGAAAATTTAACAACTTGGAAAGATAAGGTCTGAATTCCAATGTTTGGATTGATAAGATCAAAATTCAAATGTTTGGAGAACTAAGGCAAGAACTCCAATGTTTGGAAACATAGCGTCAGAATTCCAATGTTTCGACAGATAAGGTAAGATTTCCAATGTTTGTAAGGATAAGATCAGAATTTAAATAATTGGAAAGATAAGATCACAAGTCCAATGTTTGGAATAATAAGGCAAGAATTCCAATGTTTAGAAAGATAAAATGAGAATTTCAATGTTTAGACAGATAAGGGGAGAGTTCCAGTGTTTCGAAGGATAAGGTCAGAGTTCCAGTGTTTGGACGGATAAGATCAGAATTCAAATGTTAGGACAAATAAAGCCGGAATTCCAGTGCTTGGAAGGATAAGGTCAGAATTAAAATGTTTGGAAGGAAAAGGTCAGAATTCCAATGTTTGAAAAGAGAAGGTCAGAATTCCACTGTCTGGACAGATAAGGACAGAATTCCAATGTTTGGAAAGATAAAATAAGAATTCCAATGTGTTGACAGATAAGATAAGAATCCAATGTTTGGAAAGGTAAGGTCAGAATTCTAATGTTTGCACAGACAGGATAAGGTTTCCAATGTTTGGAAGGATAAGGACAAAACTCCAATGTTTAGAAAGATAAGGTCTGAATTCCGTTGTTTGCACAGGTAAAGCCAGAAGTCCAGTGCTTGAAAGGATGAGGTTAGAATTCCAGTCTTTGGACAGATAAGGTCAGAATTCCAGTCTTTGGACGGATAAGGGCAGAATTCTAATGTTTGCAACGATAACACCAGAAATCCAATCTTTGAATGGATAAGGTCAGAATTCCAATGTTTGGAAAGATAAGCTCACAATTACAATGTTTCGGCAGCTAAGGCCAGAATTCCAATGTTTGGAAAGATAAAATCAGAATTCCAATGCTTTGAAGGGTAAGGCCAGAATTCTAACGTTTCGAGGGATAAGACAAGAAATCCACTGTTTGTAAGGAGAAGGCAAGAATTCCAGTATTTGGAAGGATAAGGTCAAAATTCTAATGTTTCGACGGATAAGTTCAGAATTCCAGTGTTGAGACAGACAAGGCCAGAATTCCACAAATCACAATTCTAATGTTAGGAGAAATAAGGCCAGAATTCCAATGTTTTGAAGGATCAGGTGAGAATTCGAATGTTTGGAAAAATAACGGTCAGAATTCTAATGTTTGGACGGATAAGGTCAGAATTTCAATGTTTGGACACATAAGGCCAGTATTTTAATGTGTGAAAGGATAAGGTCAGAGTTCCAATGTTTCAAAGGATAAAGCCAGAATTCCAGTGCTTGGAAGGATAAGAAGAGAAATCCAAGCTTTGAATGGATAAGCCCAGAATTCCAATGTTTGGACAGATAAGGCCAAAAATATCAATGTATGGAAAGATAAGGTCAGAATCCCAATGTTTGCACAGATAAGGCCAGAATTCCAATGTTTGGATTAATAAGGTAAGAATTCAAAGGTTTTGAAAGATAAGCTTAGAATTTTAATGTTTGCAAAGATAAGGTCAGAATTTCAATGTTTGGATGGATAGGTTCAGAATATCAATGTTAGGACAGATAAGACCAGAATTCCAATCTCTGGAAGGATAAGGTCAGAATTCTAATGCTTGGACGGATAAGGTCAGAATTTCAAAGTGTGGGAGGATAAGGTCAGAGTTCAAATGTTTGAAAGAATAAAGCCAGAATTCCAGTGCTTGGAAGGATAAGAAGAGAAATCCAAGCTTTCAATGGATAAGCCCAGAATTCCAATGTTGGGAAACATAAATTCAGAATTCCAGTGTTTGGACAGATAAGGCCAAAATACCAATGTATGGAGACATAAGGTCAGAATCCCAATGTTTAACCAGGTAAGGTTAGAATTCCAATGTTTGGATTGATAAGGTAAGAATTTTAAAGGCTTTTAAACATAACGTTAGAATTCCAATGTTTGCAAAGATAAGGTCAGAATTTCAATGTTTGGACAGATAAGACCACAAATCCGATCTTTAAATGGATAAGGCCAGAATACCAGTGTTTGGAAAGATAAAATCAGAATTCCAATGTTTGGAGGGATAAAACCAGAAATCCAATATCTGAAAGGACAAGGCGAGAATTCCGGTGTTTCAAAGGATAAGGTCAGAATTCTAATGTTTGGACGGATAAGGTCAGAATTCCAATGTTTGAACAGACAAGGCCAGAATTCCAATGTTTTGAAGGATAAGATCAGAATTCTAATTTTAGGAGAAATAAGGCCAGAATTCCAATGTTTTGAAGGATAAGGTCAGAATTCCAATGTTTGGACCGATAAGATCAGAATTCCACCGTGTGGAAAGAAAAAGACTGAATTCCAATGTTTGGAAGGATAAAGTCAGAATTCTGAAGTTTGGACGGATAAGATCAGAATTTCAATGTCTGGACACATAAGGCCACATTTTTAATGTGTGAAAGGATAAGGTCAGAGTTCCAATGTTTGAAAGGATAAAGGCAGAATTCCAGTGCTTGGAAGGATAAGAAGAGAAATCCAAGCTTTGAACGGATAAGCCCAAATTCCAATGTTTGGAATCATAAATTCAGCATTCCAGTCTTTGGACAGATAAAGCCAAAATATCAATGTATGGAAGGATAAGGTCAGAATCCCAATGTTTGGACAGATAAGGTCAGAATACCAATGTTTGGATTGATAAGGTAAGAATTTAAAGGTTTTGAAAGATTAGGTTAGAATTCCAATATTTGCAAAGATAAGGTCAGAATTCCAATGTTTGGACGGATAAGTTCAGAATATCAATGTTAGGACAGATAAGGCCAGAATTGCAATGTTTGGAAGGATAAGGTTAGATTTCCAATGTTTCGACAGTTAAGACCAGAATTCTAATGGCTGAAAAGATAAAATAAGAATTCCATTGTTCCGACAGATAAGGTAAGACTTCCAATGTTTGGAAGGATAAGGTCAAAATGCCAATGTTTGGAAAGAAAAGGTCAGAATTCCAATGTTTGGATAGTTAAGGCCAGAATTGTAATATTTGGAAAGATAAAATAAGAATTCCATTGTTCGGACAGATAGGGTAAGACTTCCAGTGTTTGGAAGGATAAGGTCAAAATTCCAATGTTTGGAAAGAAACGGTCAGAATTCCAATGTTTGGACAGTTAAGGCCAGAATTCTAACGTTTGGAAAGATAAAATAAGAATTCCATTGTTTGGACAGATAAGGCCAGAATTCCAGTAGTTGGAAGGATAAGGTCAGAATTCCAATGTTTGGAAGGATACGGTCAGAATTCTAATGTTTCGAGGGATAACGAGAGAATTCTAATATTTGGAAAGATAAGGTCAGAATTCCAATCTTTGAAGGAATAAGGCCAGAATTCTAATCTTTGGAGAGATAAGGCCAGAGTTCTAATGTTTGGAGGGATAAGGTCAGAATTCTAATGTTTGGAAGGATAAGGCCAGAATTCTAATGTTTGGAAAGATAACGCCCGAATTCTAATGTTTGGAGGGATAAGGCCAAAATTCAAATGTTTGAAGGGGTAAGGCCAAAATTCTAATGTTTGGAAAGATAAGGCCACAATTCTAATGTTTGGAAGGATAAGGTCAGAATTATAATGTTTGGAAGGATAAGGCGAGAATTAAAAATGTTTGGAAGGATAAGGTCAGAATTCTAATGTTTGGAGGGATAAGGTCAGAATTCCAATGTCTGGAACGATAAGGCCAAAATCCCACTGTTTGGACGGATATGCTCAGACTTCAAATGTTTGGACAGATAACGCCAGATTTCCAATGTTTGGAAGGATAAGGAGAGAATTCTAATGTCCGGAAAGATAAGGCCAGAGTTCTAATGTTTGGAGGGACAAGGCCAGAGTTCTAATGTTTGGAGGGATAAGGCCAGAATTCTAATGTTTGGAAAGATAAGGCCAGAATTGTAATGTTTCGAGGGATAAGGCCAGAAGTCTAATGTTTGGAGGGAAAAGGCCAGAACACTAATGTTTGGACAGATAAGACCAGAATTCTAATGTTTTCAAGGATAAGGCCAGAATTTTAATGTTTGAAAGGATAAGGCCAGAATTTTAATGTTTGAAAGGATAAGGCCAGAATTCCAATGTTTTGGGGGGGATAAGGTCCGAATTCCAATCTTTGAAAAGCAACGGTCAGAATTCTAATGTTTGGAAAAATAAGGTCAGAATTCTAATGTTTGCAAGGATAAGGGCAGAATTCCAATGTTTGGAATGATAAGGTCAGAATTCCAATGTCTGGAAAGATAAGGTCAGAATTCCAATGTCTGGACGGATAAGATCAGAATTCCACCGTGTGGAAAGAAAAGGACTTAATTCCAATGTTTGGAAGGATAAGGTCAGAATTCTAATGTTTGGACGGATAAGGTCAGAATTCTAATGTCTGGACGGATAAGGTCAGAATTTCAATGTCTGGACACATAAGGCCACATTCTTAATGTGTGAAAGGATAAGGTCAGAGTTCCAATGTTTCAAAGGATAAAGGCAGAATTCCAGTGCTTGGAAGGATAAGCTTAGAATTCCAATGTTTGGACAGTTAAGGCCAGAATTCTAATGTACGGAAGGATAAGGTCAGAATTTAAAGGTTTTGAAATATTAGGTTACAATTCCAATATTTGCAAAGATAAGGTCAGAATTCCAATGTTTGGACGGATAAGTTCAGAATATCAATGTTAGGACAGATAAGGCCAGAATTCCAATGTCTGGAAGGATAAGCTTAGAATTCCAATGTTTGGACAGTTAAGGCCAGAATTCTAATGTTGGAAAGATAAAATAAAAATTCCAATGTTTGGACAGATAAGGCCAGAATTCCAGTAGCTGGAAGGAGAAGGTCAGAATTCCAATGTTTGGACGGATAAGGTAAAAATTCCAAGGTGCGAAAAGATAAGGTCTGAATTCCAATGTTTGGAAAGATAAGGTAAGAATTCCAATGTTAGGACAAACAGAGGAAGAATTTCAATCTTTGGAAGGATAAGGTCAGAATTCCAATGTTTGGACAGAGGAGGTAAGATTTCCAATGTTTGGAAGGATAAGGTCAGAATTCCAATGTTTGGAAAGATAAGGTGAGAATTCCAATGTTTGGAAGGATAAGGTGAGAATTGCCATGTTTGGAAAGATAACGCCAGAATTCCAATGTTTGGGCAGATTAAGTAAGATTTCCAATGTTTGGAAAGATAAGGTTAGAATTCCAAGGTTTCGACAGAGAAGGCGAAAATTCTAACGTTTGGAAAGATAAAATCAGAATTCCAATGTTTTGACAGAAAAGGTAAGAATTGCAATGTTTGGAAGGGTAAGGTCAGTGTTGTCGTCGCTTCGCTGTTTTTGAAGATTCATTTGATACTCAGTGTCTCAGTATTTTCTAACAATTCAAGTTTGTTCACCATTCACGTGTCAAAATCGGGCTCGCCTCTTTCCACTTCTACATTATGAGCATTAACAGAATGACTAACAGAAAGATTCGTGGAAAAAGGAAAAAGGCAAATATCCTGATGAGAAATTTGCTAAAGGATGAAAAACTGTTGGAAAAAAGTACTTACACTAGGGTGAATTTTCTCCGGGTCTTCGGTTTTTACATCTCAATATTCTTCTCTTCATGTCAACTGCTAGCTCAAACTGAATTTTAAACATCACACTTGAATGCAAAAGTACCCATCAGGGAATTTAGGGGATGCCTTGCTATTGGCAACGGATTTCGTTCAGGTTCATACAATGTTCTTTAAAGTTCATCCCTATTCATCATTTACTCCTTCTTATAAGCACTACTTGGTCACTGGCCGTTTAAGTGTTGCTCCGTTTGCCTGCACTTCCACAGTCTCATGAATCCATCCGCTCTGGGAAACAAGTTTTCAATTCGTCCCAAGGTCCACTGGTTCCTTGCAACGTTATCATCAGCCACAAGAACAAAGTCTCAGACTTGACGGTTCCTTTTTTTCTGTTGCCTCTTGGGTCTTTCCTGCAAAGTTGGTACGTACTCTTTAAGCCAGTGTCTCCAATAGTCATTGGCCAGCAATTGTGCTTGCTGCCACCTTTTTCACTTAGGTGATCAGCTTCTTCCGGTGAGAGCTTACGGGCATAACTCTTGCCGATGTATTCTTCATCACTGCACGGTATCTCTGCTCGAGATCCGGGTCTCTAGAGACTCTCCTTTTCAGGCTGCACTTTCTCCTCTCTGCTTCACAATGGTTGTTGAGTAACCAGACGTCTTCATTACGCCACAACAGACCTGTCTCATAACGCCCGTCAGACAACCTAGTTGTGCTTTATATCTTCCATGGACCAGTTATGCGGTGTTGATAGCCTGTTAACTTGTTCACCCTCAGGGGCACCTTGCCTACCAAAGGCTTCTAACTTCCAGAAAGCTTCAACTAATTCACACAGTTTCTTTTTGCAGTTTGTAAAGTTCACACTGATCTCCTTGCAGGAAGGGTGTCCCGCAACCACTCCAGTTACAACCCACCCCAGAGGGCCTTGCAACGTCTTCAGACAGTTGTCAGGTGAGCTAGGCTTTTGGACTTCGAACACCTAATGAGCATGTTCTACATCCTTTCCTATGAGAATAGAGACAGCCTTGACCTGAACCTCGGGAATATCTATATCTTTCAGGTGGGGATAGCAACTGTTATCAATGTCCTCAGGAAGACACCTTTCTGGTATATTGAACTTTTCTGACACTAGCCCCTCTTCTACTTTGATAATTTCTCTTGCCCCCGTAGCTGACTGCAACTCGAAGCGCACCAACTGGAAATGTTAGCTCGTTTTCTCTACAACAGTGTTCACGCACACAAGCTGTGGCAGTCCTTTGAAACCCAGACTGTTCGCTTGACTGTTATCTTGCTGATAATAGTTCCTCTAGAAGCATTGTCTAGTAATGCGTAAGTTGTTAGTGAAGAACCACTCGGCACTATTACTTTAACTTGCACAACGTGTAGTAAAACAGTTCTTGAAGGAGCTTCTGTGTTGGTCGCGTACTGTTCCATCGCTCTTGGATTTTGAGGAAATTGCGTTCCTTGATCCTTGTACTGGATGTCGGTCTGTGCTGCCTGTATCTCCCTTTGTCTGTCCAGATGGGGATCCTGTGCAGTAATGGCATCTCTTAGTCTAAAGGGATGAAACAACAATCTGTGGTGTGGTCTGTCACTTCCAGAACTGCAAAAGATTCTCGATTCACACCGACCTCACATATGACCCGATTTCAAACAGACATGGCACAATTTGTTCTGCTTAACTATATCCAACCGAGCTTGAATTTCATCAGGTATAAATTGCTCACACTCAGCAAGCTCATGGTCCTTAGAGCAGCGCAAGCATCGCCTAAGGTTGCATTTCTCAGGGTTCTGATAATTAATGCTTAAGCTTCCGTCTTTGAGGTCTGTATGAAACGCATTCCTGTGCCCTCTTGAATTTGAAGTCGGCCCCTTGATACTCCTTCCATTTTGCCTTTCCGGCTTCTTGTCAGTGGCAAATCATGAATCATTTTTAATTGCTGCCTGGCGCCTGACAAACTTTGAAAGATCTGACAGCCGTGGGATTCTTCCCTTTTCCCGAATGCTGTATGAAACTTCTCCCCGTTTATTTACTAGATAGTTTGGTAAGAGTGTAACTATTTGTCTCAGGTTCACCATTGTACTAGCTTCTAGTTCATAATGCCTGGAAAGTTTCTTTGAGGCAGCCTCGAGTTGCTCAGCGAAATTACGTAAACCAGTACAGCCGTTATTCTGCAGCTTTGGCCCCTTTGTCAAACTTTCTATACACGCGGCAGCGACAGCGGCTCCCTGACCATAATGCTTGTGTAAAATTCTTAGGATTGAATCGTAAGAACATCCCGAGACTCTCTCGAGTACTTCATATGCTTTGCCGGACAAAAACTTAGGAAGAAATTCTAATTTCTGACTATCATTCAAGATTCCATCCTCCAAATGATCTCGAAGTCTGTTTCTGAAGGTTGGGTAATCACTTGGGTTTCTTGAGAATTTAATAGGGTGCATCCCCTGAAGCATTGTTGGCTCAACAGGATAGCTGAAGTCTGGTTACCCTCAAAAACGGGCTTGTCCCTTTGAGCTTCGTTCTTAGGCATCTTGCACCCCTCCCCTAGTGGTTCTTTTTTCCCGCCCTGCTCAGGGTCATGTTTGGGCTTTTTATTGTTATTGGCACAGGTCGCTCTCCATTTCTCAATCTTTTCTTCATCACTCATTGTCGGTAGAAACTCGAAACCACTTTTACCCCCAAGACCGCGTTGGCTGCTGCTATCGCTCCTATCATCTTCTAAAAGCTGGGCCTCTTTCTTGGCTATTTGCATCGGAAATTTTAGTTCGCATACTCTTTTCTTCTTTTCAAATTCCAGTTCAATTTTCTTTCTCTCCATCTCAAGTTCAAATTGTCCCAGTTCTTGCTCTTGCTCTGATATTAACTTTTTCATTTCGATATCCCCTCTTAAATCGTTTAATCTTGATCATTTCAAAGAAGGCGCGGATTCAACTGACTTTCCTTTAGTACTCGTTTTCTTCATTTGCATTAAACAATCATTAATAATGTGCATTCTTCATACTGAACTACTATTTCTGTGTACCTGTCTTTCACACGATCAAGTTCGCCTTCTGGCAAGTTCTTCACGATACAATTCTCATAAATTCCTTTCAAACACTCTCTAAGTCACCGACTCTCTTATCCGCGATGCATGCATTTGCGTTCCTCATCCACGTGCTAACTTGAAAGCTTCAACTAATTCACACAGATTCTTTTTGCAGTTTGTAAAGTTCACACTGATCTCCTTGGAGGAAGGGTGTCCCGCAACCACTCCAGTCACAACCCACCCCAGAGGGCGTCGCAACGTCTTCATATGGTTGTCAGGTGAGCTAGGCTTTCGGACTTCGAACACCTCATGAGCATAATGTACATCCTTTCCTATGAGAACGGAGACAGCCTTGATCAGAACCTCGGGAATATCTATATCTTTCAGGTGGGGATAGCAACTGTTATCGATGTCGTCAGGAAGACACCTTTCTGGTATATTGAACATTTTTGACACTAGCCCCTCTTCCACTTTGATAATTTCTTCTGTCCCTGTAGCTGACTGCAACTCGAAGCGCACCAACTGGAAATGTTAGCTCGTTTTATCTACAGCAGTGCTCATGCACACAAGCTGTAGCAGTTCTTTGAAACCCAGACTGTTTGCTGGACTGTTATCTTGCTGATAATAGTTTCTCGAGAAGCACTGTCTAGTAATGCGTAAGTTGTCAGTGAAGAACCACTAGGCGCTATTACTTTAACTTGCACAACGTGCACCAAAACAGTTCTTGAAGGAGCTTCTGTGATGGTTGAGTACCATTCCATCACTCTTGGATTTTGAGGAAATTGCGCTCCTTAATCCTTGTACTGGATGTCAGCCTGTGCTGCCTGTATCTCCCTTTGTCTGTCCAGATGGGGATCCCGTGTAGCAATCGCATCTCTTAGTCTACAGGGATTATGCAACAATCTGTGGTGTCACCTGTCACTTCCAGAACTGCAAAAGATTCTTGATTCACACCGACCTCGCATATGACCCGGTTTCAAACAGACATGGCACAATTTGTTCCCCTTAACTTTATCCAACCAAGCTTGAATTTCATCAGATATAAATTGCTCACACTCAGCAACCTCATGGTCCTTAGAGCAGCATAGGCGTCTTGCACCCCTCCCCTAGTGGTTCTTTTTTCCTGCCCTGCTCAGGGTCGTGTTTGGGCTTTTTATTCTTATTGGCACAGCTCAAGTTCGCCTTCTGGCTAGTTCTTCACGATATAATTCTGATAAATTCCTTTCGCACACTCTCTAAGTCGCTGACTCTCTTATCCGCGATGCATGCAGTTGCGTTCCTCATCCACGTGCTCACTCGACCGAGGAAGCCAGCAAGGGATTTCTATTGATGTTTAAATTCGTCGGCTGATTCTTCCATATTTTCGCCGCAGGCAGGACCTTCAGGATCTTTCTTCTGTTCCGCTAGTCAAATAATGTTGTCGTCGTTTCGCTGTTCTTGAAGATTCATTTGATACTCACTGTCTCAGTATTTTCTAACGATTTTAGTTTATTCACCATTCACGCGTCACAATCGGATTACCTCTTTTCACTTCTACATTACAAGCATTAACAGAATGATTCGCTGAAAAAAGGAAAAAGGCCAAATATCCTGATGAGAAATTCGCTAAAGGATGAAAAACACTTGGAAAAAACTCTGGGTCTTCGGTTTCTATATCTCAATTCTTCTCTTCCTGTCAACTATTAGCTCAAATTGAATTTTAAACATTGCGCTCAAATGCAAAAGTACCCTTCAGGGAATTTAGAGGACACGTTGCTATCAGCAACGGCTTTAATATGTAACAGTCAGAATTCCAATGTTTGCAAGGGTAAAACCACAATTCCAATGTTTGGAAGGATAAGGCCAGAATGCCAATGTTTGGAAGAATAAGATCAGAATTCCAGTGTTTGGACAGATAAGGCCAAAATTCCAGTTTGGAAGGATAAGGTCAGAATTCTAATGTTTGGACAGTTAAGATCAGAATTCAAATCTTAGGACAAATAAAGCCAATATTCCTATGTTTGGAAGGATAAGGTCAGAATTCCAATTTTGGAAGGAAAAGGTCAGAATTCCAATGTTTGGAAAGATAAGGTCAGAATTCCAGTGTCTAGACAAATAACACCAGAATTCCAATGTTTGGAAAGATAAAAAACAAATTCCAATGAGTTGACGGATACGATGAGAATTCCAGTGTTTGAAAAGGTAAGGTCAGAAGTCCAATATTTGCACAGATAGGGTAAGATTTCCACTGTTTGGAAGGATAAGGCCAGAATTCCAGTGTTTAGAAAGATAAGGTCAGAATTCCGATGTTTGGACAGGTAAAGCCAGAAGTCCAATGCTTGAAAGGATAAGGTTAGAATTCCAATATTTGGACGGATAAGGTCAGAATTCTAATGTTTACAAGGATAAGACCACAAATACAATCTTTAAATGGATAAGGCCAGAATTCCAGTGTTTCGAAAGATAAAATCAGAATTCCAATGTTTGGAAAGGTAAGGCCAGACTTCGAGTGTTTGGAGGGATAAGACCAGAAATCCAATATTTGAAAGGAGAAGGCGAGAATGGCAGTGTTTGGAAGGATAAGGTCAGAATTCTAATGTTTGGACGGATAAGGTCAGAATTCCAATGTTTGGACATACAAGGTTAGAATTCCAATGTTTAGAAAGATAAGGTCACAATTCCAATGTTTGGACAGATAAGATCAGAATTCCACGGTGTGGAAAGAAAAGGACTGAATTCCAATGTTTGGAAGGATGAGGTCAGAATTCCAACGTTTGGACGCATGAGGCCAGAATTTTAATGTGTGGAAGGATACGGCCAGAATTCCAAGGTTTGAAAGGATAAAGCCAGAATTCCAGTGCTTGGAAGAATAACAAGAGAAATCGAAGCGTTGAGCGGATAAAGCCAAAATTCCAATGTTTGGAAACAAATTCAGAATTCCATTGTTTGCACAGATAAGGCCAAAATTCCAATGTATGGAAGGATAAGGTCAGAATCCCAATGTTTGGACAGATAAAGTCAGAATTCCAATGATATGATTGATAAGGTAACAATTCAAAGGTTTTGAAAGATAAGGTCAGAACTACAATGTTTCCAAAGATAAGGTCAGAATTCCAATGTCTGGACGGATAAGTTTAGAATACCAATGCTAGGAGGTATAAGGCCAGATAAGTTCAGAATACCAATGTTCGGACAGATAAGGCCAGAATTCCAATGTTTGGAAGGATAAGGTTAGAATTCCAATGTTTGGAAAGATATGGTCAGAATTCCAATGTTTGGACGGATAAGTTCAAAATACCAATTTACGGACAGATAAGGCCAGAATTCTAATGGTTGGAAGGATAAGGCCAGAATTCCAATGTCTGGAAAGATAAAAGCAGAATTCCAATGTTTGGAAGGGTAAGGCCAGAATTCGAATGCTTGGAGGGATAAGACCAGAAATCCAGTATTTGAAAGGAGAAGGCGAGAATTCTTGTGCTTGGAAGAATAAGGTCAGAATTCTAATGTTTGGACGGATATGGTCAGAATTCCAATGTTTTGAAGGATAAGATCAGAATTCTAATTTTAGGAGAAATAAGGCCAGAATTCCAATGTTTTGAAAGATAAGGTCACAATTCCAATGTTTGGACGGATAAGATCACAATTCCACGGTGTGGAAAGAAAAGGACTGAATTCCAGTGTTTTGAAAGATAAGGTCAGAATTCTAATGTTTGGACGGATAAGGTCAAAATTCCAATGTTTGGACAGATAAAGTCAGAATTCCAGTGATTGGATTGATAAGGTAACAATTCAAAGGTTTTGAAAAATAAGGTCAGAATTCCAATGTCTGGACGGATAAGTTCAGAATACCAATAGTACGAGAGATAAGGCCAGAATTCCAATGTTTGAAGGATAAGGTTAGAATTCCAATGTTTGGAAAGATATGATGAGAATCCCAATGTTTGGACAGATAAGTTCAGAATACAATGCTAGGACAGATAAGGTCAGAATTCCAATGTTTGGAAGGATAAGGTTAGAATTCCAATGTTTGGAAAGATATAGTCAGAATTCCAATGTTTGGAAGGATAAGCCCAAAATCTTAATATTTGGACGGATATGGTCAGAATTCCAGTGTTTCGAAGGATAAGACCAGAATTTTAATGTTTTGAAATACAAGGTAATAATTCCAATGCTTAGAAGGATAAGATCAGAATTCCAATATACAATATGACAAAAGTCAACCGACTTACCCATTCGTACTCAGTGCTCTAAAGGCTCCAGCGAGCGGTTGTTTGGAAAGCTAACGCCAGAATACAAATGTTTGGAAAGGTAAAATCAAAATTATAATGTTTGGACAAATAAAGCCAGAATTCCACTGTTTGGAAGGATAAGGTCTGAATTCCAATGTTTGGAAGGATACGGTTAGAATACCAATGTTTGGAAAGATATGGTCAGAATTGCAATGTTTTGACAGATAAGGCAAGATTTCCAGTGTTTGGAAGGATAAGGTTAGAATTCCAATCTTTGGAAAGATAAGGTTAGAATTCCAATCTTTGGAAAGATAAGCTCAGAATTCCAATGTTCGGACGAATAAGATTAGAATTCCAATGTAAGGGCAGATAAGGCCAGAATTCCAATGTTTGGAAAGATAAGGTTAGAATACCAATGTGTGGAAAGAGAGGTCAGAATTCCAATGTCTCGACGGATAAGGTAACATTTCCAGTGTTTGGAAGAATAAGGACAGAATTCCAATTTTTGGAAAGATAAGGTCAGAATTAATGTTTGGAAACATAAAATCAGAATTCCAATATTTAGACCGATAAGGCAACAATTGCAATATTTGGAAGGATAAGATCAGAATTCCAATGTTTGCAGGGATAAGGTCAGAATTCCATTGTTTGGAAAGATAAGGCCTGAATTGCAATGTTTAGACAGATAGGGGAAGAGTTCTTATGTTTGGACAATAACGTCAGCATTTCCATGTTTGGGAAGATAACATCAGAATTCCAATGTTTGGATAGATAAGGTCAGAATTCTAATGTTTCGAAAGCTAAGACCAGAATTCCAACGTTTCGAAAGATAAGGTAAGAATTCTAATGTTTTGACGGATAAGGTCAGATTTCCAATGTGTGGACGGATGAGGCCAGAATTACATTGGTTGGACAGAAAAGGGCACAATTCCAATGTTTGCAGAGATAAGGTCAGCATTCCAGTATTTGGACAGATAAGGCCAGAATGCCAGTGTTTGGAAGGGTAAGGTCAGAATTTGAATAGTTGGAGGGATAAGATCAGAATTCCAATGTTTGGACAATGAAGGCCAGAATTCTAATGATTGGACAGATAAGGTGAGAATTCCAGTGTTTGCACAGATAAGGTCAGAATTCTAATGTTTGGAAGGATAAGGCCAGAATTCTAATATTTGCACAGATAAGGTCAGAATTTCAATGTTTCCACAGATAAGGCAAGAATTCCAATGTCTGGACAGATAAGGCCAGAGTTCCAGTGTTTGGACCGATAAGGTCAGAATTTCAATGTTTGGACAGATAAGGCTAGAATTCCAATGCTTGGACAAATAAGGCCAGAATTACAAAGATTGGACAGATAAGGCCAGAATTCTAATGTTTAGACTGATAAGGTCAGAATTACAATGTTTGGGCAGATAAGGCGAAACTTCCAGTGTTTCGACAGATAAGGATAGAATTCCAATGCTTGGACAAATAAGGCCAGAATTACAAAGATTGGACAGATAAGGCCAGAATTCTTATGTCTCGACCGATAAGGCCAGAATTCTAAGGTTTGGAAGGATAAGGCCAAAATTGTAATGTTTGGACTGATAAGGTCACAATTCCAGTCTTTGGACAGATAAGGTCAAAATTCCAATGTTTGGAAGGATAAGGCCAGAATTGCACTGTTTGGACAGATAAAGCCAGAATTCTAATGTTTGGATAGATAAGGCGAGAATGAGAAGGTCAGAATTGCAATGTTTGGACAGATAAGGTCAGAATTGGAGTGATTGGATGAATAAGGTCAGAATTCCCATGTTTCGGAGGATAAGGCCAAAATACCAGTGTCTCAAAAGAGAATGTCAGAATTCCAGTGTTTGGACAAGTAAGGCTGGAGACGGATAAGGTCACAACTGCAACGTTTGGACAACGAAGGTTAAAACTGCAGTGTTTGGAAGGGTAAGGTCACAATTCCAACGTTTGGAAAAATAAGGTCATTATTCAAGTGTTTGGACGCAAAAGGGTAGAATTCAGATGTTTTAAAGGATAACGTCAGAATGCCATTGCTTGGACAGATAAGACCAGAATAACAATGGTTTGACGGATAAGGTCACCATTCTAAAGTTTTGAAGGAAAAGGTCACAATTCGAATGTTTAAACAAGGAAGGTGACAATTCCAGTGGTTGAAAGGATAACTCCTGAATTCCGTTGTTTGGAAGGATAAGGTCAGAATTGCGATGTGTGGATGGATAAGGCCATAATTTCAATGTTTGGACGGACAAGGCCAGTTTTTAATTGTTTGGATGGATAATGTTTTGACGGATAAAACGCCAGAATTTCAATGTTTGGAAGGATAAGTTCTGAATTTCTACGTTTGAAAGGATAACGCCAAGATAAGAAGGATAAGGTCAGAATGTCAAGTTATAATATGATAAGAACAGAATCTTGGGAAGGATGAAATCAGAATTGCCTTAATTCCAATAGTGGAAGGATTAGGTTAGGATACCAATGTTTGGAAGTATGAGGTCAGTCAAATGTTTGGAAAAATTTTATGCAGAATTTTTAAAACTATTGTTTTGAAGAAAGACATTCAGAATTCAAATGTTTGGAAGGATTTTATTTAGATGTAAAATTTTTGTATAAATAATAATCAGAATTTAGATATTGGGAAGGAATTTAAATATTTTAAGTCTACTCTTACACTATCGGAATTATGTTGACAATTGGTACAAACAGGGTTTACTGAGAAGTATGCTGGATCGAGCATATCGTTTATCTTCTTGTTGGTCACACTTCACAGACGAATGTAACCGATTGAAGACAGCATTCCCGCGTACCCCAAACACCTCGTTAACTCTACCATCAAAAATTTCGTTGACTCAAAGGTTTTTGACCAGTAGCGACCTTTATCACAGATGACACGGTTTCGAGTGGTTTTACTATTTAAAGACCAAATCTCAGCAGATATCGTGAAAGAAGAACTTAAGGATCTGAGCCTAAAAGTAAATACCACCATCCAGCCTGAGTTTGCCAGCCGAAAAATTAAACAAGAACTGAATGTGAAAGAAGAAAAGCCACCCATCGTAAATGAACAGTGTGTAGTTTATAACTTCCATAGTGACCTGTGTGGTGTAGGCTATGTAGGTTACACACGTAGCCATTCACACAACCGTGTAAAAGGACATAACCAACAGTCCTCCGCCATTGCCAAACATTACAAGAACGTGCACGGGACGATCCCTCAGGACCCGCTGAAACGTTTCGAAGTGCTTAAGAAACGCAGGAACAAATTTGACTGTTTAGTGTACGAAATGCTTTTTATAAGAACCTTAAAGCCAAATCTCAAAGTACAATCAGACTCTATTCGTGCAAAAGTATTTCCATAATCTTTGCGCCCTGTTATGTTAATTTTCGCGCCACATCGCTTTAAATGGTGTAATTTGCATAATCAAAAACATTTTTCCTTGATAATGGAGTCATGACTATTCCTAAACGTCAGATTTTATCGTTCGTTTTTACCGTTTTATGTCTTAAGGACAATATTGGAAATTTTAATTCTTGGAAGCATGACAGAAATTTGAAATGCAAATGTTTGGAAGGACGTCATTTTCAATTCTTACACTTTAAGTTCAAAATGATGAAACATGACTACAAAAAAATTTCTGGAGTGATGACATTCGAAATTCAAATGTTTTAAGTTACATGTAGCTTATTATTCTATGTCATTACCTGAATGGTAAACTGCATTCGACTTTGTTCTGTTTCCCTAACCACTGTTGTGTTCATCGAAGAGTGAACACCGCCCTTGTAAGTTATATATCCAACTGTGTGTTTGTCAAGTTGTCGAGCAAGCACTATGTGAGGTGACAAGAGAAAATATTGTTAGTATCCAAAACTAACTGAATGAAATTGCGGCAAGTTCCAACACTTGTCGCTTAATAATTAAATGACAAAATAATGATAATTTTTTAATAGTTGGTAATTAGTTTTAATTATTTTTAAATTTTTATAATTTTCTTACTTTTTGTTACTGAGGGTAACAAAAGATACCAATTGCATGAGAAAAATGAGCCAAGAACTAGTTGTAGCTTGATTTCTAGATTTCCCCCAACAAATACTATTAAATTTCATGTAATTATTATTTTAATAGATTTTCACTTACTGCCATTCATTCCTACAGACATGCCTTTTCCATGACTTCCAATCACAATTCCGCCAATGCAATAACTAAGAGCAAGGAAAGGATTGGTTACACAATAAACTGCATAGTGGTTACATTTGTATAGACAGTGATTTTGTTACCTCCGCGTGCTGTGTTACTGGCGCATAAAAATAATTCATTGGCATGTGTCCTGTAGAACTCAAAGATGGATCGATTGATCTGAAGAAGATGTTGTAGAATATCCTGTTCATGTGACTTCTCTGGCTGTTGTTTAACAATGCATATTTATTTTATTCTTGTTTGTGCTAAGGACTATATTTTAATTTCAGTATACTGTACGAAAGAGTTTTGGAGTATGTTTTACAGTATGTACGAATTACATAACGGCCCAAGCGTTTTCAATTTAGGACTTGTTTTCTTAAACTGGGTCTTATTGGCTCTGGACTGGGACTGGTAATTTTTCATAAGATGAGTCCCACGACCCACCTTAAAGGGACAGTGTCCCGATTGTGCGCACGTGCGAGCGTCATCTGTTTTTTTTCTTCAAAAGACAATAGAACTGTCATATTGACTCGACAAGATTTCCTTCCGGATTGCACTGCCGACGGAGATTTGTTGTTTACATTCTCAAGTAATATTTTAGACTTTCGAAGAAGTGTTTCGTCTTATTTAAAATTTGGCTCGCGGCACGAAGACTCATCACTGTGGTAAAATTATGCATCAAGTGATGGAGGGGCTAGCTATTTCATGCTGTTTGCTATCTTTTAATAAAGCTAAAATGTGTCTTTGCAGCAAATGCTACAAATGGCTAGGATTTGTATGGATCGAAAGTTGAAAAAAGTTAGCCTAACTTTGTCAAGTGTTTACAGTGTCTTGGTCTACAAACATCTCCTTAAAACGTTCGTGGTTAATGCCCCACACGAAATTTGTTTCAATTTGTCTTCATAACTTTACCGGAGCGTAAATTAATTTTTGTGTGTGGGTGAAGGCACTAAGTCATAACAGAGCATTATATGCTTCTGGGAAACTGCCCACCTACCCTCCCCCCTTAAAAAGCCAACATTTTGCCGTAAGTGAGAAATTAGTGTTTATGTTGGCTTAGGGGAGGGATAGGTGGGCAGTTTTCCAGAAACGTATAGTGATCCGTAACGACTTACAGTGTAAGCACAGAATTGATCTAAAACAGCAATATCCTTATGAAACAAACTGTTTACAGTAAAGATAAAAAGACCACCTTCTCTGTGTAAGGTTTGAGAATGCTCGTAGGGTAAGTGTGGGACCATTTCCAGCTTCAAACGTTGCCTGGAATGAAATCAATATTACGAAAAATTATGTCAGAGAAACTTTACTATTCCAAATGTATCAATAACAAAGTTGGCTTTGGCACAGCAGCAAGAATAATAAATAAAGGCAGTTAAATCTTAAATACCACATCAACCAAAAATACATCGTACCAGCCTTGGCTTCTCAAACTTATGCAAGTAATGTTACTTGATCTTTTTATTCTTAAAGTGACACACATGTATGCAATACACATGTACATGTAGTTCTACATGTAACTTGAGCACCTGGATGAAATCCTATGATGTGACTATTCAAATAAAAACATAAATTGCCTTTACCAGCTTTTATGTCAGAAGTAATACTACCTAGTTTTTCATTATCTTGTATGACGCACAATTTGATATCTTTTGTAATGTGTTGATATAATCACAGTAAATTTTGAGAGAAAGAGAGAGCACAGTCGAGTAATTTAAAATAGATTTTGAGAGAAATGTGCCTAAGGACTTTGTTCTCGGATTCGTTCTCGGTAAGCCCTGATTTCAAATCCTTGACCACGCTGGTAAAATAGCCAGCTGGTTCACCACCTTCCAGTTGGGATTTTTAACCAATTGTTATGTTCCATTTGAAAATATTAATTTGTTTCATTATCCCTGAAAAGCCCCATAAGGGTAGAGGATAGTTATGTATTTATTATTATCATTAATATTAGGGACTTTAAGATTCAATGACACGATGGCAACAAGAGTGTTGCTTAAAAAGTCAGTTAGTGTTCTTTCAGTCTTAATCACGATTATTCCCACCCACTTACATTGTCAAATGTACGCGAACCCTCCTGAAGTCTAATTCCATGGGACCATATGCAAGTTCAGAAAAAGAAATAAAATTTTGGCATTGCTTGTTGGCATTTTCACATTGTAGTCTTCCAAGAATGGTAAAAAAAATGTACAAAAAATTTATGCACTTGCAAAGTTGTTGTTTTGGTTATTAAACCTATTGTATTTCAGACATTCTCATTGCCGTGGCGTCATGGGATCTTAAAGTCCCTCTTATCAAAATCAAGCAGTGCAGACTTACTTCTCCCCATGCTTTATGTGATAGTATTCTTCTCTCTGACAATGACACACTGCCAGTGCCATTTCCGTTTTTGATCTTCAGAGAACCAGCAAGAGTGAGTGTGTCTGTACGAGTCAAAGGGGCCTTGAGAAAGAAATGACATTGATCACTTCAAAGAAATAGTAATGAAACACATACATAATTATGCATACTATGATTTCAGCGTTCAATTTTCCTGCTGTTTACCTAAGAATCGAGTGTCCATTTCCGGGACTAACCCCAGTCACCAAAGAATTGTCAAAAGTAAATTCAGGGGCCAATTTAATACCACTTTGAGCAGTGTAATTTACAACTGTAGCTGTTGTTTTCAAACTCCAAAACAATAAATACACTATGATATGTTTGAACCCTGCAGTCATCACATAAGTGAGTGGAGCATGATTGTCCGGGTGAACATGTCCTGAATAGGGCTGTTGTTGTTGGCTACAATTTTAAATTACACTTACAAAACATTTTATTGAAATTGACCCCAGGTTAACATGGTTTCAAACTAGATAGATTCTATATTTACTTTGTTTCCTAATCCTAACTATAATTATTCAGAATCATGAATGTAAACTAGGGATAGGAGGAAATGAAAATAAAGTGCTGGGTAACAATAAAGACATTTTTTTTCCTGTCTCTTGAGCCCCCAAATGTTTCATGAAAATTTGCTGGAGATGAACAACAGTATTAATTTCATATTGAATATAATATACTCTTAAAGATCAAAGAAATGACATTAAAATGAATGTGAAACTTTGTGAGGAAATCGGTCACTTCAGCTCATTGTTCCAGCTGAGTTTTACACATTATATCAAAGATGAAATCTGTTTTGGAAAAAGACAGCAATAAATATTGTCTCTTTCTTAAATTAATTTTTAAATTTTTAAATTTCAATTTATGCAACAAGAACTTACTTCAATGGATTGAGAGATGGACATTGAGTTCACCTCAATGTTTGGTAAGAACCTGAAATACAATGACGACTAGACTTCATCACAAAGAAAATTAACAAATGCAACTGACAGTCACAAGAACATGATTGTATACTACAAAATACTCAAATTAGAACCTGGGGTGCTTATTTAGTTTGTTTTTTTTTAGCCCAGACGGGTGTGGGAAACTAATTTGATAGAACTGCACTGTCTTCAACTCTAATGAACAAAAAGTGCAAGATCATACAGTAGGAAATTTCGGTGTGTGTGGTACATAAACCAATAAAATTAATTTGCAACATCCACATGTTATCCATAGGTTATGCTGCCATCATCAAGCACTACTAAAGAGATAGTGTTTAACACCCAACAGAGTGATTTTTTCAAATGGGTCATTCCCTTGTGACTGTATCAGTACTGTGTATAGAGAGGTGGGGTGGAGGGTATTTATACGAAGGGCACCCATACGATTATAGCAAGGAGGCGCTAATTCAAAGGTGAGAACTTATTTGAAACTGGCACTATTTCAGGCATTTACACTCAGTGATGTCTCTTAAGCTTCAAAGCTTCTGATGAAAGATCAGCCAAAAATCTCACCTCCCTTCAAAGGAATCTTCATAACCGTCAAACAAGTTTGTGGCATCCACTCCAACAGAAATACTGCCCTGCAAACAGAGCAAAAAAGTTTCAAGTAACAACATTAGAGATCAAAGCAGAAGCAATTTAACATGAACAAAATCACTTGCAAAAAGACTCCATTCACCGTTGGATTTGTAAGTTGCTGTAAGCGGCGTTCTTCTTTTTCTCTTTGGAGACGCTCATATTCTTCACGGATCTGTAAAAAACAACCCAGTGAAAAAAGTTGCCATTACTACTTACATGTACAGTAAATGTACTACTATTTATCTACAATATTGAGCTTGTCAACACAGTTAACACAAACACAGTATACTGTATTTCCGAGAATACATGTAAGCGTCTTGGTGCTTAAATTTCAGCTAAAAGGAGAGGTGTTTATTGGAAGATGGATACTTAATCTAGGGGTGCTAATTAAGTTATTATTCTGTTGGTAATAAAAAGACCAATCATAAAATATACATGTTACATGTCCAATTTGAGTCTAGGTTATTTTTTATTTCACATGGGTTAAATTTTAACAACCTGGGTTATATATTTGGTACTGTTATATAGTTATGCAATAAGCCATATTACCAGTACATTGATATGTTTGAACTAAATCTAAGGTAACACTAGCCACTCATATTTATAAGCACTGACCATACTGATTAGGGTTAAGCATTGACTATACTGATTGGGGCACTGGCTATACTGGTAAGCGTTAAGCAGTTACTTGAAATGGTTCGCATTTACTTAGGGTTAGGTTTGTCACCATATGTACTATTATCAAACAAGAAAGCAGATATTCACAGCTTATTTGGGAGATTCAAAGTTTTTTAATGGACTTGTGACTCATTCACTTGTTGACTCATTTACACTCTATTCTCATAAATTGGACACCAGCAATGTAACTTAATTCGTGGCCTTTTTGCAAGCTGATGAAAAAGAGATCTCTTTGGAGTAATCAAAAACATTATTTGTAGCAGTACATTTGTTTAAGTGATTGGTGGAATAAATATGGAAATTATTCCATGGCTTGTAACTACTTTAGTGTAATTATTTTCAACATGGAGAATTTTGCCAATAAGGACATTAGGGTGAAGAGGGGAGGTCCTCTCAGCTTTATCAATTTTTATCACTACTATCTCATCCACTCTAAACAGGGGTGGTTTTCCTCTTGCTGTTTTCATTTTTGCATGATTATAATGCTCTTGATTTTCATTTACACTGTTTTTAACTTTTTTCTTTGCTCTGAACTCAACTCTTCAATTTTTGTCTTGAATTTTCCCTGCTGCAGAGTCCACTGTTTTTGCTTGATAGTTGCAATATCTTTCTTAGACATTGACTTAAACGAACCTTCTTCTTGGCCTAGCCAGATTTTGGCTTGATAGTAGAAGTCATCAGAAATAAACAATGTTGTTTCATTATCTTTTCCCTTGCTTGATGTTTTTAAGGCATCTAGTTTCTTGTAAAATACTGTTTCATCTGCACATGTGGCCATTTTGAAATCAATGTTTCAGAACTTAATTCTGTGCACATGTATGAATAAATTAAAACTTTGGCTGTGGGGAGTCTGGAACCAGTAAGTAATAATAATGCAAAATACTCCCTCCACCGCAACGATCGCTTGCTTGGTCAAGTGGAGATAATGGTAGACTTCTGTGCCAAAGGTTGTGAGTTCAATTCTTGGTAAGTGTAAACTTTATTCTCTAATAGTGTGTGATATGTGGTAAGGGGGTGTAAATACATGTACAATTCGTGGGAGGGGAGGGTAAGGAGAAATAAGAAGTGGTAAGGGGATGTACATACAAATTGTAGGAGGGGAGGGTGGTGTTGATGTGAGAAGTTAACGTTACAATTGCATTTAATTCTTTTTAACAACCCCCTAAAAAGCCACGCCCCAATTTTTCAGCTACACCCCAAAAAATAAAAAGCCCTTTTTCAGACAGTTAAAAAAATAACCTAGGTTGGAAAAAATAACCAAGACTCAAATTTGATCTGTCACATACATTTTATTATAGTAATGTGATAAATTCACATATCACAGTATTTTTTGCTCTAAATCACATCTGTTCAATTAAAATCGCATAATTCATGTTGCAAATCACATCACAAAATGGGATGCAAAAGTCTGTTTATTTACGCTTTTCCACAAACTGGCTACTTTATCAATAAAAATATTCGTACTGACTGAATTCTGTGATTTGAAAGTGACTAATAAAGTGGTAATTGAACTTTGTAACGTGCAATTTTGGTCTAAAATCATACTTGTGATCGTGCTGCGTGCTTGTCTGATCAGTCGTATGATTTCAGAACAAATTGCACTCCACTCAGTTCAATTACCATTATTTACACACATACATACAATGTATGTATACGTATGTGTTGGTATAAATTAATGTTGAATGGTTTTTTAAAACCTTAAAATATATAAATATAATTATAGAGCGCCTTTATGGAAAAAGTGAGACCTTTCACGGGACATGATGTACTAAACCCTCTTGGATGGGAAGATGAGTCATCAATGGCTTAACCATAGAATTATGTCACTTGTTCAGACTAGGATTCTTTAGAAATGACAACAACAACATCCCCTGCATCTGCTCATTTCATTTTGTGTTTATAGTAGCAGAATGTGGGACAGGTCAGTCTATTATTAATGTAATCTTACTTACTTCAGCAGGTGTTCTTTGTCTTTCAATAATCTGAAAAGAGAGTAAAATTGGCTTATTTCAGTCTTTCTTTTTTCAAGAGGCAAAATGTCTGTCTCTGAACCATTCAATCTTACCTCCCAGCCTGCATCCAGTCCCTTCTGTCCATAAACATCATAAATACTTCTTGTTTCAGGATTACTTAGGACTAAAAAACCACGAAAAACGATAGGGTTAAAGGTCTTTTTCAAGATAAATTGTTTTCTTTCCCATCAATGCAGAAAACCAGGGCCAGGTTGTTCAAAGCTGGGTTAAGATGACCCAGGGTTAGTGCAAAATCTTAATTCAGGTATAAAAGCTTAAAAACAAATTCAGTTTAATTCTTTTTTTCTACAATTTAATGATTGGCTACTCTAAAAAAATTAGAGAAAATCCTCTGAGAAAATGCTTTTGATGAAAAAGAAAAGAGATGCGGGTTAAAATTTAACCCTGGGTTCAAGGCTGCTGCTTAAAGGGCACCTGGTCATCAGGGGTGCCTACAATTTGCCACAGGTGACCAAAAATAATTTCAAACAACGAACCCGAACGGGCACCTAAAACTTATGATTCTCAGGCTAACTTCTAGTGAACAAACGGAAAAATTCCCTGTGCATTCTGCACTTTTGAAACAAAAACGGAGAATGTTTGGTCATCGGCCATAGGCAAAAACATAGTTCCGCCCATAAAAGGTAAACAAACAAGCACTTGTTTTGAAATTCGCTTCTGTGACTTCTGCTGCAGTGCAGTTGAAGTTTCTCGTCTGACAATGGTGTCAAATGAATTTAATAGTCTTAGAAAAACCTTCAATATTAGCCCTCGGACGTACATGCAAATTCATAGCCCCACCATAGTATAAGGGGGGCATGGATGGAACCCTTTCTATATGTTGCAGTAGCTCGAAACGATTTTACCTTCAGTAGAGAGCCTTTGATCTTCTCTACAAGATGAGGTATATTTTATGGGTGGTAATGCTGCTTAGGGCCTGTGACATCACCACACATTTTCAGCGACAACATTATTTTGCATTTTGTTTGCGATGGATCGAGATCGATTATGCGCATTCGAATGCTTTAATTGCTAGACTCGTTGCTGCTGTCAGAAATAAAGAAAGACCTTGGACGAAAGTAATGTTCAATATTATACTCGAGAATGTCAAATGATAAATTATGTCGTGCCAAGACGAGAAAAATTCAGCTTGACACAATGATCAAAACATCCTGTCGGAAAGAGACTTGCGAAGCATTTGAATTTGAATAAAATACACTGTAAACAACTTTATGCAAATTTAGTATTTTAGACCGATGCATATCTTGCGAGCCGCATCCAAGGCAAGAATGAGAACTTACATTGTTGTTACTGTTTTTCATGACCAGTGCTACGTGACTCGTAGACCAGTTCATGACACATAACCAGTGTTTACTTTTTCGAATAATTATTTTTCAACCAGATTTTTGTAATGTGTTGGTGCAGGAGCCATAATTAATTGGCTCCTGATTGGTGATATTCAGTAGGGTCATAATTTATCAATCAACAGCACAAAACAATCGTCAAATTTGCTAGACGTACAGTAAAGTCATTTGGCTTATTCTCTCGCTCATCATCAGTCTCTTTCGAAACCGTTACAATTTGTTTAGGATACACGCCTACGAACGAGAATTTCGCTCGCTCGTCTGTTTCGTGAAAAACAACCATCAAATTTACAAGACGTACAGTAAAATAATTCGCCTTATTCCCTCCTGCGACTTTATCGCTCGCTGATGAACAGTCTCTTTCGCAACCATTACGACTCTTAGGATACACGGATGTTTACCGATACATGCCTATGAACGAGAATTTTGCTCGCTTGTCCATTTCGAGACATGAAAAGCTTGCTTCGTTTGCCGAATCCTTACTATTTTATGGTACAGTGAAACTTCTGACTAAACTGTATGGCTTTTATCCATTTAACGGAAGGTGTGATTTTTTCTAACACCTTTGCCAGCCGTTCTAACGGATACAACTAATGCTCTAACCCTCTGATGCTAACGGCTAACGGCAATAGAACTTTGGCTAACGGGTACACTTTTCGTTCTAACGCTATGACGTTTAAAGCTAACGGTTCTGTTAACGCCTCTAACATTTTTGAGAGAACTTTCTAACGGGCAACTAAAGGATGACTAATGGTTTTGCCCATTTAACGGATAAGCGTTGAAGTACGTTTTCCCATGTACGGTCACATTTTTGTCCCTTCACGCAATGACTTAGATTTCGAGAAGCATGAATCAAGTTTCGAGGATCTGGTCAAGACTGTCAACTTAAGATACAGGCACTATTGATAGGGTCATTCTGGTGAAATAATTAAAACTAGCTTTAGATACCCTGGCTCCACTGTTCTCGAAATACAATGAAGTAAAAAAACCTCTAGTACAGAAAAAAGTAAATTGACCCTTGAATTCTAGCCGACCCTTTACTATGCTGCTATTTGTGCATGTAGTCGGATAAATGATAAATTTGAAGCTTATCAATCAACCGATTAGTGCACTAGTTGTTGCACATTTAACAAAGTTACTGTAATGGCTGTAATCTAAGACACACTTGAGTATTAGGAGATAAAACAAAGTCAAGTACCAGCAATCAATATATGGTCAACGGTAAAACATTTCCTGTAATACTACACCAAGCATGTTATTATTTATTAACATTTTTTTTAATGGCAACCAATATTTTACATGTATGTCTGACAACCATTTAGAATTTTAGATCACCAAAAGGTGACTTTGCAAAAAATTGAGCTTGGAGCATTACTTTGCCATACCGTAAACTGCCGCTTATAAGCCCTCGGCTTATACAAGTTTGTAAGGGGTTTTTTGGTGGGCTTATAAATGGGGGGGCGTATATCGGGATGGTCTTATAACCGGACAAAAAAAACGTTTCGAAATGAGCAACAGCACTGTTGATCGACGTATGATTTAAATTTATTACTCTTACAATTGAAGCCTTAAAAAGGCAGCAATAAATCAAATTCAGTTAAATTTCAAAACAAAATCAAAACTGTAACAACACAAACGTAACTGGAACCCAACAAAACGGAAGTTCAGAGCTCATTCCCGCCGTCATTAGTTAAAGTTTTAATGTCTAGTTCACAGCAGAGAAGCTTTTTGTACTTATAAAATAAAGAAAAACTGGAGGGGGGCTTATATCCGGATGGGCTTATAATTCGGATGTAGTTTTTTGTTTGCATGTAGGTGGGCCTATAACCGGGGGGGGCTTATAAGCGGATGGGCTTATAAGCGGCAGTTTATGGTATTTACTCACCTATTATTATTGCCATGGTACTAATTAAATTTTTCATCCAATAAATGTGGTGTTTATTCAATGTGGTGCTAACACTGTATCTGAGGGTTGCATTTATTTATAAGTTTAAGTTGCCGGTATAACTAACACAAAGATTTGATTGCATTGGCAAAGTCCTTATTTGATGGGCGGCGGAAATACATACAGTGACTGTAGTACATGCATACCATACCTTCATAAGCCTTTTGAATTTTACTGAATAACTCTACAGCAATCTGTTGAAACAAGTGCAAAGAAACGGTTATGCTATCAATTTTATGAAATGGCAATTATTAGCCATTATAAGGATAAGCAGGGTTACTTGCAAGATTTTTAAATACCGGTATAAACTTAATCTTGCTGCTAAATTACAATGTCTACAGTGAAATAATCCTTCATGCAACCACCCAGATGTCATGGAACTCTGGTGATGTTAACCTATTCACCCTTGAGCTGCCCCCACCCCCCTTGCAGATCTATTTAACTTCTGCTGCTTGTGACATTATCAGTTTTAATGGTCAAGGACAACTTTGTCTGCCAACTTGTGCAGGGTGAAGAGATCTTTCAAACCACAAAAGAATGAGCATGATTCAGTCAACGAGGCCGAAGAAAAAGGCAAATAACCATACAACGTTAACCCAAAAATTCTCACGAAAATCATGTTCTAGTATCCACCTACTCTTTCTTTCATGCAATCCAAGGATCCTAAAAACTTTCCCAAAAAACGGTTCCCACCAAAATGAAACCTACTAAATGCCTAGCAAATGGCTCGACTACAGTAGCTCCAAAACACGTTTTTCGGCAAAATTCCCAGGATAAGATGGTCATATTAACAGGGTTTTAAGAAAACGGCTGCGTGTTGGGTCGAAGAACCTTGTTGTATAACATGGTGAAGGAAAGCTGTCAAGGAACAAAGGAGTTTGTCGCCTGACAAAAAATTGTAGGCCTCCAAATCGATCTTCTCGACGGCATCTTTGAACTTTGGTGACAGTTGAGAAAATTTTGGCAAGTGAAAAAAATCGTTCGCTCTAGAAGTGGCTCCCTGTTGACAGATTGTTTTGCAAAACAAACAAAATTTTGCTTGGTGCGAACAAGGCGTAAGCCTTTAACCTTACTTTCTTTTTCGCGGGATCTTGATGTTTGTCAGGGTGATACAACATGCACATGCGTCTGTAAGCAGCTTTAAGTTCATTTTCGTTTGCCTGAAATGCAATAAAATGCACTTAAAATGATTGATCAAATATTTCTTTTCTTCTTTCTCTCTGAAAGACTATTTTTACCTCTTTTCTGACGTTCAAAACAGCGTAATAATCTACTGAATCCTCGGCCTCTTCTGATTCCGCCATTTTTAAATTTTTACCGCTGGAAAATCGCCGGCTTATGATTTTAAAGACATCCCGCTGACTAATAGAACTGTGGGCATTGTCGGAAGCCCTTGATTGGTTCAAATTAAGATGCACACCCCCTATTTGACCATATTTAGAAGAACAGCGTGCCTGTCAAAAAAGATACCGAAGTATTCGTCTATGTACGTGCCATTCCCTGACCGGTGATTCTTGTTCGATTTTTGTGGGGCAGGTTTACGTCTTTAAAGCTTTTTATCATGTTGTCTGTACGCACAGCTTTTAGCAGTCAAGCCTGCAGGTAAGTTGATTTCGTTTCATGCGCACGATTTGTATAGAAAGCGATGCGAACATGCGGCAAAAACAAAACACTCCTAAAATGTCCTTATGCAATACGTATTATAATTTTTTTTATACACGTTGGAGGGTGCAGCGTTTCGGTGTAGCTTGTTCAGTTTTCTTTCATACATGTTTTTCATTTTCTTTCTTGAACATTTCTTATCGACCCCTAAAAAGTGAGCCGACTCAGTGTTATTTTTCTTCAAGTTAATTTGTTGTCGATTTAAAAACAACAGCGCGCCAAGGGAATGAATGAATGAATGAATGAATGAATGATTTATTTAATGTCGGAGACGCCAGAGGCTCGTGTTAAAAACGCTCGACAAACTAAAAAATACAAAACAGGATAAAAAGTGAATTATGTATATACAAATATTAAGAAAAACCTAAAAACATCGTAATTTTGGGAAAATGTTTTAAGAAACTATTTTCTGAAAAAAAAAACACTAAAAAAACCTAAGAACATGCATTAAAAATAGTTTAAAACGGACTAATCGTTATAAACTGATTAAAATACTAAAAAATATAATTATATCAGTATAATTATATATGTATATAAACTAGCCCAAGAGTATGTAAAAATGTAAAAAAAGATAAAGTTATATACAGTTCATACACTGGCACCCTGTGAAATTGACATTATTAAGGAGAGCACGAAATTGCGCTAAAGTGCTTGACAATTTGGTAACAGTTGGTAATTGATTCCATATGTGGGCAATCATGTATAAATAAGAGTTGTGCATGACCAGGCTGTTATATAGAGGCTGCACAACTTTTAGTCCACATGAGAGTCGACTTATGTTTAAACATACATGCACATGTCAACCTCCCTCGGCTGTTGTTTTTAAATTTGCGTGGGTCCGTCTGAAAGTCATGACTAAAAAACATGTCTGAATTTGGAGTTTAAAATTTAAGCTTTGCTCACTTGAATGACTGCAAGTTTTGTAAACTTTATTTTAATAGACTAGTTTGATCAGTTTTATTGAATTCAAACTACTTGAAGTAAACCGTGTGAGACTTTTTCTCTTTCGTTTAACCGTGTGAGACTTTTTCTCTTTCGTTTAATTATTAAAACTTGTCATTAGTTTGGGTGGAGTCAGAAGTAGATGATCCTTAATTTTTAATGATGCAGGTAATTTTTAATCATTTATTATATTAAAAGCTCTTTAAATGACACCCTATAAAGAGCTGTTATTGTGTCCTAGATGTTCTGTGTATTTGACATACAAAACATAATAACACAGGATGTGATTAGTTAAGCACATTAGTGTATCTGTTGTGGTTCAATTTTATCCTTGGTTTAAATTTTATTTTCCTTTGTTTTGGGGTATAGTAATGTATGATAATGAGTTTAAACATGGTCATGTGATAATTTTATTGCCCGTGCCATGTTGTCCATGGCTTTACATGCAGTTACATGCACGCATGACTGTAGCAGGACATTTCTGATGTTAATTTTTAACTCATTCAAAAATAATAGCTGTTGCAAAAAATAATAACTTGGTTTATGTATTACTTATGAATTGAGATTGGTATAGCAGTAGGGGAAAAAAGGCTTTTGAAACCAACTCATGCTACTGTAATATGTACATGTAGCATGGCAAGCATATGAGTTGTTAATAAGAGTAGCCTGATGGTTTTTTTCCAATCAACCCTTAATTAATAAGGTGGCTCAATAGGGTTTTTTGGGGGCAATAACCCCCAAGTTTGATCAAAAACAATGGCACCATTAACAAGGATTTAGAAAAACTAACACAACACCTGTATTAGATAAAGGTGAAAATTTGTGATGATCAGGGTTACAATGAAATAAGAGTTGTCATAGCAACAAAATGACACCAATGCCTAATTTACTTGCAGCCTTATTTCTCGGCACTGGGAACTGTTCCCCCAAAATTGTTCACGAAACTTTTTCCTTTGATAGCCGCCTCAATGTTCGTGAAGTTTAAGCGAAATCTGTAAGAGCATTATCAAGATATTTTGGGATGAAGTTTTTATGGTTAGAAATACAGTGAAAACTGAACAACTTTATTTTCAGCAGGTGCTTTTGAAATGCAATTTCACCTCATAGGAGTTTCAATCTGTTTAAAAGTGTGCGTGAAAGATCATGGATCATTCTCAATTTCCTTTGTCTCTTAGTCCTTATTACTCATGAATTAGGGCTAGGAGACAATGGAAATTGAAAATCAACCTACAATCAGGGACAAAAGTAGTTGACACACTTGTTTAAAGTGGGTGCTTTTATCAAACATTTAATTCATTTATTATTTCATTCCTTTCAAACATCGTAAATCCCCTCACCCCGCAAATCAATGTTGTCTGAAGTAAAAGAAAGATCTGAGGGTCCAAAATACAACATTGATTTTGGGGGGAAGGGGTTGGGGTAGACAGGGGAAGGGGATACATGTAGGTATGTCCACTATACAAAAGGGGCCGTTTTACGGAAGTGTGTCAACACTTTTATCCCCATTGTCTGAATGCAAAATTGTGCTACTGCACACAAGTTGAGCACTGTATGACAATGATTTTAACTGAAATTAAAGGAATCAATGACATAATTATGTTATTGGTGGTGGGGGTGACATTGACTCATTCACGACCAAATTAAATTGTAGGTTAAAAAATTTTAACCTGAAATTAATTTTGACTTGTAACACATACAAGCTGGGAATGGGGACAACATTGAATTTAACCATTATTGTGTTTTAATGTAAGTTGATTTATTCTGTTTGTTTAAGAATTCTTGGAGTAAGAAGCTTATCTCTGCCTCCAAATGAACCACCTACAAATCTTGAGAGGAACAGTGCTGATCTTCAAAAGTTAAAAGCAGAAATCAAAAGAGTGCAAAATGAAACGGTGGAGATTCCTTGCATTGTTGGTGGAAAGGAAGTACTCACAGGGAACACACATTACCAAGTAGCAGTAAGTAGACTGTGATTGTTGGTGCCTTAGCTACAATCGTGGACAGAAATGTTAAGAAAAATGCACCTTGTATGTCTCATTTTCTCATCCTTCCCTCTAAAGCCCAGTTCACTCAAGATACTTACCCCGCCCTCCCAAAAAGTAATTTTGAAGTGTGGCCGGAACATTTTTGCTCCTGACTAAACAACATTGACCAGGGAGGAGTGGGGAAGGGGTCACCATGGTGCCAAACTTGCAGGGTGGGTCTACTATGCATAACAAAACTGTGCAGAATTCTTATCACTTTTTGTCCAAGATTGTAGTGAAAAAAGCCAATATTTTGCGATTCTACCACTGGTTTTCCCACAAAATGATATCTGACAAAGGAGCATGGAAATTCTATACTGATGATGCGTCACTTCCCCAGGTCCCAATATTGCTTTTTATGGTCTGAAAAATTGCTTCAACCAATCAGAAGCACTTATAACCTAGATATGGGTAGTGACGCATCATCAATATGGAATTTCTGCACTGTCTTATTTCTGAGATATCATTTCATGGCAAAGCCATTGGTGGCATCACAAAATACTGGCTCTTTTCCGAGGCTATTGATGACTAACGTACAATTTGGTATGTGTTTGTACTTGTCATTTGCTACTGGTAATGAAACTTCGAAATAAATAATAATAAATTATCATTAATTTATTCACAAGTTTTTGGGTGTTAAACAGCAATCTTTTTGCAGTGATTACTAATAATATTCATTCGTACTGTGTGCTCAATCCACAGCCATACAACCACTCCCTGAAGATTGCAAACTACCATATGGCAACTGAGGTTAGTAAAAACCTTTTCACCTACTTCAGGCTGTTTTTACATCTATTTCTTGGTTAACACCCTTGGACATCTGTCTATGGGAGTAAGAAGAAGGGGCTGTACTCACTAAGGTGGACTGAGTACTGTACTCATCACAGTGCAGCCAGGAAAACCATGAACACTTGAAGTATCTCAGGACCAACCACAGCAAAGATTTAGACACGTGAACTGGCCACAAAACTGCAAATTAATTAACATTTTTGTTTGAGGTTTAAGTTTCTCACATCCAATTGGCTTTTTTCTTGTAACACAACAAAATTCCATAAATATTTCTGGTGTTCATGGTTTTCCTGATTTGACCGTAAGATGTCAAGTTGCTGGGTATATGCAATTAGTAGTCAGGGAATTGGACATAGGAAAACTAGGAAAATATTTTGGTTCTGTTTGTCTTTTCTTTCCTATGAAAGTAACTGGGGGTCATACTCATTAAAACCTGGGCAAATCCCTGGCCTCTGCTCTCCTTTTATTAGTGAACTTACACAACAGGATGGGAGAGGAAAGAAGAAGGAAAACCTTGTGTGATGAGTGTGACAATAATTTTTTTTGAAAAAAATGTTTTGCCAAACTTCACCTTCCTTTAAACAGATCTTTTGTAAAAGATCAGAAACTTTAATGTGAAGTGAATATCACGACAAAACTGGCCAGTAATAGCCCTGTCATGTTTGTTGCACACAAGCATTTTGCCGTCATCCTCTTTCTGCAGTCCTGTTGTGTAAACTCACTATTATCACTGTCATTTTAGGAAGTTATTAGAGAGTCAATTGACAGCGCAATGGAAGCAAGGAAAGAATGGGACAGAACACCCCATGAACACAGAGCAGCTATTTTTCAGAAAGTAGCAGATTTGATCACTGGAAAATACAGAATACAGTCTTTGGCTGCAACTATGGTGGGGCAGGTATACAGACTGCTGTTTAACTTTGTACTTTTGTTGTTGTTTTTATATTTACACTCAGACAAGTGACTTATCTCAAAAGTATAATAAAACTGAAAGTCAACATATACATGATAGTTTTCAGATTAAATTACGTCAGTAGAGTGGATGTCTATACAGTACGTACTGTAATATATGTTATTGTTATTATTGAAAATTTTTCGTTCTTGATCATATTGTGGACAGTTATGATAGAGTAATTTGGCTTTTTACTTTGTTCTAATCAAAATCTTTCCAGGCAAAGACTGCGTTTGAGGCTGATATTGACTGTGTTCAAGAGATTGCTGACTTTTACAGATTTGGAGTCCATTATGCCAAGGTAACTTTCTGTTCTAAGGAAACTATAATTCCAAATCCAAAATCTGTTTACTTTGTGGATTTTGTAGTTTACCAGGAAATTCAATGATCTGCTTCATACATTAACCCTCTAAGCCCTAAGAATGATGAGCATCAAATTTCTCCATGTAGTATCAATGCCTTGTAAAACAGAATGGTCATGAGAATTACAGAAATGATCACACAAGATAAATTTGCTTGATATTTTATCAACTTCTTCCCACTTCTTCTGTAGGAAATAAATAGGGGCAATGAATGAGAATCCAAATTTTGATCTTAGGGTTTAAAGGGTTAATAGTTTCTATACTGAACCACTTCTATTAAATATTTTATTCAGCACCATGCTAATGCAATGACTTCCTTAAAGTGGTTATCAGAGAAGTCATAAAAAACTTATGGTAGGACTCACTTGTTACGCCGCAAAATGCAACAATTGACGCAAAATGTAATGTGGGTTAATGTTACATTTCGCGTCAAAAGTTGTTACATTTCGCGTTAATGTTACATTTTGCGTCAATTGTTACATTTTGCAGCATAACACTCACTATTACCATTGGGATGAAGTTCTGCTAGGCCTCTGCAATGATAGCCTTACAAAAACTCAGGAAAATACAAACTAAATCTAAATTTGATTAAATTAGGGACTTTACGAAGGACCAGAGCTTCACCAGCCTCGCGGTGTAATCAACAGACTCATATACAGGGGACTAGAGGTAAGAACATTATTTTGAAAACAGCGGACATGACAGTGTCATAGTTATTTAATAACTATGTTACAGTGTGCACGATACTGCTATCTAATTTCAGGTTGCATACTTCAAGATTCGATTGCACATTTATTCTTCTAGGTATTTTAAAAATCCAACTCAATTCCTGACTAACGGCATAATTTTGCTCAGGGTTTTGTAGCTGCCATTTCTCCTTTCAACTTCACTGCTATCGGAGGAAACTTGGCTGGCACTCCCGCCATAGTGGGTAATGTGGTGCTCTGGAAACCTGCCTCAACATCAATACTTTCATGCTATCTTGTCCAAAAGATTTTCCAGGAAGCTGGTGTCCCTGATGGTAAGAAAATAAGCACACTTTAGTGATTTTCAATTACCTTAGCTCTTTATCTGTTGACACTCCTTGTCTCAAGGAGGGTCTGGACAGGGCTCTTCAATTCCTTCATTCTGCGTGAAATTTCTCTGCATCGTGCCATCCTGACATCTCCTGTCACATGATTTTGTTAAAAGTCCCTTGGCTTCACCAGTTCCTTGTTTGAAGACCTTACACTTACTAACACTGCTACTATATTAACATAGCTATTCCTTTCCCTCTGTAGGGGTAGTGAACTTTCTGCCTTCAGCTGGGCAAACCTTTGGTGACACCATAACAAGTTCACCTCACCTTGCAGGAATAAACTTCACTGGCAGTGTTGAGTATGTTTTAATTGTGTTTGGCTGGGGTGGAGGTGGGGGGGTTGTTCCCTTGCGGGAGGGTGGACTATATTATCAATGACACCCCGAAGCATTAAATTACTTTCTGGTAGCTCTAATGTCTTCTTTTAACTAATGTTGCTTCTCATTGTTCCCCAGGACATTCAGACATATATGGAAGAAAGTTGCGGAGAACATTGATGTGTACAGGTAAGGGTTAATATTAAATTTGTACCGTACATTTTACAGTATTTTACATGGGAAGTGCCTCAAACATAAATTTAAGCACCCTAAAAGCCAGCAAAGCATAATTATCTAGTAGTTTAATACGTTTGTCCAGCAAAGTTATTTTTAAAACTACAACAACCATTATTATTTTTTATTGTTATTGTTACAGAACATTCCCAAGACTTACTGGAGGTTTGTACAATGTACCGAGTATGCCACGAGCACCTGTTGGATTTAAATGGTTTCTTCATAGTTTTCAATAAACTAATATTTCTTTGCATTTTTTTCTTCAACAGTCAGAAAAAATCCGAATTCTCTCAAAACGTTTTGGAATATTTTTTACTTTACCAGTTCACAAAATAAACGCAGCTACTGTTAATAGTACCAAGTTCTTGTGTTTTACTCTCCACTTACCTCTGTACAGGAGACAACTTTAAAATTAGAAACTTGTTGTAAGTTTTCAATAGTCAGTTGCATTGTATATTTAAAAATACATGCACTAAACCCTTAGCTCTTGTTTGAAGCTAATTGTTGCTTATTGTTTAAGTTATTTTGTATTTTTTTTTTAACACTTGCAGAATGTGGGGGAAAGAACTTTCACTTTATACATACATCTGCCGATATCGGTAATGTTTCCTCAAAATAATTCTTTATCCTAACTTGCAGAATTATCTACCTGCAGCTGTATGCTATTTCTGTAACATTTTCAGTTAGTACAAGTTATTTATTTCTGTTCTGTACACCAGACACAGCTGTTAACTGCACCATGAGAGCGGCATATGGTTATGGAGGACAAAAGTGTTCTGCTTGCTCAAGATTATATGTTCCAGAGTCACTATGGGGAAAGGTAAACTCTGATACTAAGCTTGTTTTATGGAAGATCTTCCTGAATAGTGATTAAGGGAACTAACATTTTGTCAGGTTTTTTCACAGAATAAAGTTGTTTTTCTACCCCTTGTCAAAGACCTTCAAAGATCAATTCTACGTGTGAAAATGCTGAAGAGCCTAAGCCCCTCTATAGAAATTTAACTTTCCTGGAGGTTGTAGATACCATAAGAGCTTACATCCTTTTTCCAAGAATACAATAATAGCAACCTTGCTTCAGATGTGTTTTTTAGTATTTACCTGAGATGGGAATGACGATAATCAGGTACCGCTGTTTTTCTTTGCTATCCAGGTGAAAGAAGGTCTTATTGAAAAACTAAAGGAGATGAAGCTAGGATCGGTAGGTTGTAAACTTGACGTTTGTACTTGAGACACTTACATGCACTTACTCAGCCTAGCTTAAAAGTTGTAAATTCTCTATTAAGACTCCCCCCTCCACTCCCCTCCTCATTTAATAGTAAATGATAGGGAGTATCAACCTATCACAACTGTGACACTTTACGCATACTTACCCAGTATGGTTCATTCACGTGCTGGAGATTCAGATTTTTGTTATCTTCAGCTGCAACTTCGTGTGCTTGATCTTTTCCACTTTGTGCTGAAGTTTTTATGGAGATGTGATACTACAATCTTCGTTAAACTAAATGAGCCTCACCTCAAACATGCTTGAGATAAATAAACCACCCCCGCCCCCGGGAGGGGGCTTAATAGAGGATTTGCGTTAAACTGGGAATACTTCTTGATCTCCTTTGCAGCCAGAGGACTTCGATACATTTGTGTCAGCTGTCATAGATGATAAGGTACATTTAATTCTGCTTGGCCATCATGTTTTAATATTTTTGTAATTTATTTTCCGCAAAAGTGGAGTGTTTTAAATTTTGCTCTGTTTTCTGACTTGTTTTGTCCTACCATAGTCGTTTAACACTATCAAAGGTTACATTGATTATGCCAAGGCAAACCCTGACCTCAGTATTGTAGCTGGAGGCAAATGTGACAACAGGTAGGTTTAAAAGTATGAAGTAATTTATCCAGCACTGTGTGCCTGTGGCTTAGCTCTCCATTTATGGCGAGGTATCAAAGCGAGCTGCGAGGAATTACGAGGCGGAGCGGTGTCTTTTCAACGTGCTTCTCCGGCGTGACTTCTGACCACGCCCCCAAATGGAGAGCTTGCCGCCAGGCTATGATCTGATTAATCTTGGATCATAAATCCTGGTTAAGATCATCCCAAATGAACCCATCCTTAGATTGCAGCTGTATATGCTATGCTATTTTTTCACATTAGATCGAGAGCACAGTCGAACATCCGTCAGGGGCAAGCAGCAAAGCCAGGAGGAACGAGGGCAAAAGCCCCAGGCCGTTCTCTCAGCCCCAATCCCTCCTCCTGTTTATTATTAATTTGACTAATCTTACTTTTTCGCTCGCCGCCTGTGGCCCTGTGGAAAGACGGACGACATCTCGTAGCCCACGACTTGTTTGATATCTCAGTAATGGTTAATTTTGCCTTGTTATTGTAGTGTGGGATACTTCATTGAACCAACGATCATTGAAACCAAGAAACCCGACGACAAAATCATGAATGAGGTATTAGCAATAACTTTCTTTTCAAAGTTGTTTCCGTAAAGAACAGGTGTGGAAAGTTCTCTTTTTCTATCCTCCTTGTCTGGACTCTGGTACGTGTCCAAAATTTCTTATAACTGCAGTGCTCTAATTTTTTTTCCTACTGTAGGAGATTTTTGGTCCAGTTCTTACCGTGTACGTGTATCCTGATGCAAAATACAGGGAGACGCTAAACTTGGTGAGAGATTCTATAGTGATAACATTCGCTCTTCAGTGTTAAACGATAAAGATTACGCTGTTAAATAATGACGCTCCTGCACCATTTAAAACATGCGCTGGAGTACAACATAATGGTATGAATCACGTTTCAGACATCTGTTTCAACAGTTATTTCACCAAGTGATCATGTGTGCAAAACTCTGTAAAAAAACACGCTTCTCGTGTGTTAACTGTTACAAACGTAGCAGTTAAGCCGTGCTCGAAAAAAGTCCCGTAGTAGACGTAGTAGTAGTCCGGGTTGAGAAGATTTCCTTGCCAGGCAACTAACTTTTACAGCGCACTTGCCCAAGGGGCAAGAGTCCAGGCTAGCCACCCTCCAACTAAATCCCCATTAGGCTGATTTAACAACAGAACGGAAACGTCAGTTGACGAACAGTTGACAACGGGAAAGCGCGCGAAAAAGACTGATTACGACTTCCGGTACCCAATTTGCCGCTCTGCCATTGGCCAAGCCAGCTTTTTTATTTGCGCGCGCCGTCGTCACTGACGTCGCGTAAAACGTCGCGTAGTCTAAAACAAGCAAGAAGTGACCCCGGGCAGGTAAAAGGTGAGAGCTGCCTGCCTGAAAGACGTGCTGGAATTCAAGTTTTTTCGAGCCCCTAGACGGTTGCCTTTGGTTAAATGTTGTCTTAAATGATTTTTTCAAATTCAATTAGGTGGATAAAACTTCGCCATTCGGGTTAACCGGAGCAGTCTTTGGAAAAGACAGGTAAACAGTTCTCTTTGAAATGAATTTAATGAAGTGCTCGACAGGGAGTTTAAAACTCGACTGGATGCGTTTATTTGTTCCCTCTTGAACTTCAGCCGAATAGTCTGTGCACAGACGTCCCCCTCCCCTCAGAAAAAATCGAGGAGAGAGACGTCTGTGATTCGCCGTCGTCCCCAATTTTTCTGAGGGGAGGGGTGCGTCTGTACACAGGCTACAGCCGAATTTTTTCCACAATGAGACAGAGTAGCCTGCGAAAACAGCCATCTCTTCCCGCTCCTAGCCGCCAGGGACGTTTTGCCTGGGGAATTTCTCCTGGCGAAACTTCACTAGCGGCGAGACGGCTATGTTCGCAGGCTAATGATAGAGGGAGTTTACGCAACGACGACGGCGACGGCTAGGAAAACGTCACTTAAAAAGTGAATTTGGGCTGCCTCAAACTTTATCGCGCTTATTCCATCTCGTGTAATGTGTCAAATGTTGGCAAATTTGTTTGGAGTTGAATTGTAAAGGACTGCATCGAAGTTCAGGCAAAGAAAAAGAAAGTTGTTGTCTTTTGTTCCCGTCCCCTACAAAACGTGAAATTAGGCAGTTTCACGTTGTAGTCGTGCAACGATGGCAGAGAAATGTACAAAAAAGCGTGATGCACGTGCAAAGTTGTTGTTTTGCTTGTCTAAACCTATCGCTTTTTTGCCGTTCTTGTTGCTGCCGTCGTCCTCGTCGCGTAAACTCTCTATTGAGGGATAAGAGGCCGCTTTCGGAAATCGGCCCTTTTAGAGAGGTTAAAACCACAGTGAATGTACCCGCCTGGACAAAGGAAGTGTTCATTGGTAAAGGTTTGACTGCACGGTAAGTTACGGATTACCTTTAAAAATCCAAGGCTGCAAATAATTTGACTTTACCGAAGAACATTTGGCTGGCCAACTGGCTACTTTGATCGGAAAAAAACAAAACTGTGGTCAATGAAGATCGAGTAGGCGTAAGGCTTCTTCAGTGAGAACTGTGTTTGGTAGATGCGACGTTTGCAAGGTAAGACCGATCACCGTCTTATTCACTGAAATAATGTTACTTTGTTGGTACGACAATTCACAATTGCTTAAGGTATATTTAAATCATTTTCAAAGTGATATTCATCGATTGGCAGGAAATTGTGTCTAACCACATACAGCTGTTTCGAGAAAGGTTGTCGCGAAAAGTGCACGCGACAGTCCTGAAAGGCATTGTGGGTGGTTTTGAGTTCTCTTTTTTTCAAAGGAATTTGAAAGAATTGGTACGAAAGGCCATGGAAATGTGTTTGCGAGTGCTAAAGGAAAGCAACAGAAGTAGGTTCGACAACTACAGTCGTCAGGAGCAGTGTATTGATCATATCCCATATTACCTTTCGGGATTGTCGCGTGCACTTTTTCCGACAACCTTTCTCGAAATAGCTGTATATGATTTCGTCGAATATGGGCCAATTTTGTGGGACATTGTCTGATTATTTGCAGCCCGTAAAAATTGGGCGTTTCATAAAATTTATGCAAACTGTAAATATTTCATGTTCATTCACGATGCATGGACATTAATTTAAACGTTCTTACAGACACTTTATTCAGGAGGCTTCTGATGTTCTAAAAGATGCTGCTGGTAACTTCTACATCAACGATAAATCAACGGGATCAATTGTGGGACAGCAGCCTTTTGGAGGGGCTCGCCTCTCCGGTGAGTACCAAGACGCTACTTGCCGAGAACATACTTGTATCTGATTTTTGTTCAGAGTACATTAATTTTGTTTTCGATTTTGTTCTGTTTAGTAAGATTTAAACCCACTGAAGTTCACTGCCAAGATTTAGTCATTGAAAAAAAAGTTTGCTTTGGGAAGGGGTTCTAACTTTTGATTATGTGGACGAAATCAAACAGTGTGACCCTCCATTTAAATGAAAGCTAGTGAGCAGCACTTTCCTGTAGTAGCTTGTGGTACCGTTTGTTATGCCGTGCAAGGTGGTTCTAACTTTTTGAGTCTGTAGATGAAATTCTAAAGTGGGATCATTCAAATGAAAACTACTGAGCTGTATTTTCTCTGTGGTACTGTTTATTATACTGTGCACGGTGGTTCTAAGTTTTGAGTCTGTAAAGGAAGTTCTAAAATGTAACCACTGAAATGAAACCTCATGGACGGTACTTTCGCCTGGTTTTATTTGTATATCAGGATTTTGAAAAAAAATCAAAATTTGCCCTTTTTTTTCTTGAATTATGACTTTTGCCACCACCAGCAATGAAGGTTAAAGATTACCCACAATGGCGGATCCCTAGCGCTGAAGGAGTTGGTGGGGGAGGAGGGGGGTCACTCTCTAACCCGAAACGAAGTATCTGGTAAGCTTCGACATAGGGATGAGGTTTAAGGGTGAGGGCCCTCGGTCCTCTCCCTTGGATTCGTTCCTTGTTGATTGTCACTCTCTTTAACCGGTGTTTCATTGGCAGGTACGAACGACAAGGCCGGGAGCTCGCATTATATCATGAGATGGGTGTCGCCGCAGAGCATTAAGGAAGCTATGTTGCCGGTAGACGACTACAAATACCCTCATCAGAGCTGAGAACTGTTAAGGGACAGAAAACAGTGACATGACCAATGACGTTTATACATGGCACGGACACTATAACGTGAAGAAACAGAGAATGGACCCTTTTTTCGACGTCCTCATAATTTTATTCATCCTTTAGATCACGTTTTAAGTACGGAGAGTCGAAGGGGTGGGGAGTTGCTTCCCGATAATATAAGATAACTATGTGTCGCGAAGGTTCTAATTCTTAAAGTATAATATATTGATACCCAAAAACAGAAAATGACACCGTTTTACTGACAGGGAAAAGTAATAACAATGTGGATTTTAAATCGTACCATGCGGGCTCAAGTCTTACTATAAGTAATGGCCCTTTGATCTTTCCGACTTATCTGGGAAGATCAAAGAGCTTCTGCTTGCAGGATAAACCCTTGCATGCACTGATATCCTCTTTTTCTTTCCCTTTTTTACTTACTACTTTACGTTATGACTTTTTTTCCAGTTATTTTAAGTTAAGGTGACAAGCGGATTGAGGGCCATCCATTCTAGTCACAACTCTTTTGTTTTTGAACTGTTAGGTTTAAATTGCTGTCGACGATGCTGGACGCTAAACGAATAATTGATACTTTTTGTGTTATCTTTAATGAATATCGTTGAGCAGGGGGGTATTTTACATCGGGGTAAATGGACTACTTTAATATTGTATGTCAGGTTTAACGAAATTTATGTAGATAGCTTATTTTAATTGCAAATCATCCCTACATTTGAAATGACAAAGAATTTTCAAGAAGTATACAGTTCGACTGAACTTACTTGTAATAAAATAATTGCTTGGTGTAAGTTGACGTGGGAGCTTTCTGAAGCAAGCTGTTGAAGGGGGAAATCTGGGTCGAAAAAAGTACTTAAATTTCCATTGTACATTAAAAACGTTTGAGCAGTTATGCGTTATTTTGCGTTTAATACTTCAGTGCAGTACTCGACTTTTTTCTGCGAACGACAACGTCAAGTAATCCCGCCCATTCATATAAAAAAATTCAGAAATTGCCTATCGCCTATATTAATCCTTCAAGTTTCTGTTCGTCGCCATGTTTTAAATCTCCGTCGGCTGCCACTAGACTGTTGCGAACATGAGGACAACCAACATGGCGTCATAGCATACTCAAGATGGCTGCGCGGCAAAAATTCTCAAAGCCAATAGAAAATAGGCGATATCAATATCCATAAAAACGTCATAAAACATAAGAAAATGTTATAACATGTTAGAAAACAATTTTGCAAAAGTTTGTTAGAAAGATATACGTTCCCTTGGTGGGTATTTTGTTATGCACTTCGACAATCTCGTATCTCCAAACTGCCACCTTATCCCGACTAAACCCAATTTTCAGTAGTATATACATTGGCGACCCAGTGTCAAGTAAGATTGCTTTAGTCGACTACTAGAAAAGATGCCATGAATTTATTGGAGCGCTTTCAATTCTTAATGACCTAATAATACACCTGTTAAAACGTCTGATACAGCGATTTGAAAACGCTGACTCGATCAGCAGCTGTTCTAGACGACGTACGCATGGCTTAATACAGCGCTTGTGAGTTTGCTTGACGGAATTCTGGAATGCCTGCGCCAATTTAAGTCTCAGACAAAACTGTTGGCACACTTTTTTATTTCCCATGTTCTCTCTTAAAAGAGTTTGAAACTGTAGAGGAAATAGAGCCGAAGCCTACGCCAGAATATTCTTAAGTTTCTCAAGGATTGTAATTGAATAGATGAGATCAGTATTTTTTGTTTTAACCATAGTTAATTATGTTTCAACTTATTCTCCCGTATCACACGTCTTCTAGTAGGGTAAAAGGAAAAACGTCAACAAACAAGATTTCAGTTACTTGTTTTATTGTGCATTGTAGTAACCCAAAACGCAGTGAGCTAACAAATGTCTAAATCAACTAAATGATCTGCTTGTGACCTCGGTTGCTTAGCAATGCCACATCCGGGACATAGCAAGTCGTTCCCAGGCTTCTCAGCAGTAAAAGGAAAACCCGATTTTGCACATGCAGACTCTGTAGCGAGGTTGGCAAATCATTCGACAGTAGAAGCGATGCAACTGACAAACCTTACAGGAAAATGAAAAGAAAAAAGTTATTTTTTCCATTTTGTTTTACAAATTAGACGTTCTTCTGTCCCTAAATTACCCAAAAGCAAAACAAAAGACATTTGGGAGATTTGAGTTTATCTAAAAGGCCTTCGTAAAGGTCTTTCCGGTTTAGTTCCTCTAAATTGGTGCATGAAAAGACTTTTCAAAAAGAGATGCAAAAACCCGCCATTTTAGTATTATGGTTCTTGGAGTTGCCTGACTCAGTAGTTTGGAACAGAGCTATTTTGGCTCCTTGAGAGGTTGAATCATATCAGCCTCCTCCTCAAGTGCTTCGTTTTTCGCACAGAGGCGAGCGCGAAACGCGAGTGACACGCGAGTGACTGGTGAGGAAGCGCAAGGGACCATGGGGAGGAAAAAGGTTAGAGGCGAAGCCAGTTTTCTCCTTCCCGCCTTCCTATGCGCGCAAATTTTCATCAAGAGAGACTTCTGGGTACAAGGCAGGAATCAGATCTTATCGGTATAAATCGGTTGTTTAGAGCACAACTTTTGTCAAACTTATTCACGCCAAAGATGAAATCAGTTTAATTTGCTGCTTTGTTTGTTTTGATTTTTCATTGATGTTTTTTTTGTTACTAATAAAACTGATCTGTCAGGGATTCAGTCTATTGAACTCATTAGTTAAACGTACAGTCCATGCTCTTCCACAGCACTTGGGTCCAGCCTTATAATCCCGTCTGAATCTGCTGTTTGTCAAACAAGTGGAAAATCTTTTCTCGCACATGCGCAGCACTCTTCCTCGCCGTTTTTGTACCTGTATTGTTGGTTCAAAACAGGACAAAAGAATCATGGCCACCACGATTATTGCAAGCTTCATCTAAAACAAAAGATTACAAGGGCATGATGAAACGAAAAAATGCTTCAAAAAATATATGAGCTTATTGTGCAGTCTATGTTTGCTATAAATTTTTTGTTTGTGATAATAGCCACGAAAGCAAAAGAGTAGCAGCCATTTTTCCAGCAGAGTTTTATACAAAAAGACAAAGGTGCGCGCGCGTGCGCATGCGCGCGGGAAAAAAAGCAAACGCGTTTTTGATCCACGCACCTAAACAGGACGCGGGGCCTTTTCTCCTTTAATATGCGTTGCTGCTACCAAATTTGCGTGACGTTAGGAAATAAGCTCGTTTTGCCTTCCTGTTTTGATTTCTTCTTTCTTTTCCCCGAGGTCTAGAACTTGGCGCGTGTTATTTTGCAGATTCTTGTATAAATATAAGTTGCATTAAAACGTGGCAAGCTGAATGAGTCGAAACTCGTTTGGTTGATTGGAATGCCGTTATGCCCGGTATATCTTCCAATGTAATTTCTGAGTTGCGCTTGGAGGGATTGTTACCAACACAATGGCTCATTCTCAATGCATTTAGGAGCTGAATGGTCCCAAATTACTGCGTACAAAATCTTTCAGTCAGTTCAGAGAAACATTATATGACGGGAAAAAAAACGACTTGAAAATCCTTTGAAATGGGTCGGAGTGTGCAAGAGCTTCTAACTAGAAATACAATAATCTTTCCGTATCTTATGGTCGAAAACTGTCGAGTTTATTTTGTAAAGTTCGCCTATTTACGGTTCCAGAAGGAGATGAAAGCTACATTATTTTGTGGCAGAGGATTGTACAAAAACATTTACAACCTTGCAAAGGTAAAGTAAATATACATACAACTTACAGAATACGCTTGCACTTTTTGCAACGACTTCGTCAGCTTGAACTCTTTTCATTTCTGTTCTGCAAATGGTTTACTCTGAGAAACACTGCTCCACTAATTGTTGGTCTATCCCTAAAGGTTACCTTCTTATATTCCAAGCTTCGAGGAAAATTTACTTTACGACTGCTTGAACGAAATTAATTAAGTAGCTCTAAGCTCACCATTAGTGTAAAGTTTATTTTTTAATATCTCAGACCGGCAGATGGCTAAAACTTAGATGCTCACCTTTAATTCCTTTAAGCAATCTCAAAAGCTCTTCAAAAACAACTTCAGTGTGACTCGTAAATATATTAGATGTCTATGATGCGTCACGTTTAAGTTAATTGTGCATCAAAGAAACCGGATGGCTGAACGAAACAAGTTCTCGTGGTTTGTAACATGTTAAAAATTCAATCACAAGTGCCTAACCTTGTCGTTGTGGTTTGACGTATCAATAAAGATTAACTAATTCACTTCAGGCCAAACAAAAATTTAAAAAATCAAATTTCTTTTTGCAAAATCCGAAGAAATATGTAGCACCATGCAGAAGTGCTGCGAAAGAGGTTTCATTTAAATGGTAACACCACAGGATAAAAGTTAGAGACAATTTCTCCATAACGTGGTCTAGGAGCCCTTGAAAAGGTTTTAAAATTTCTTACGAACCCTTCATAGATCAATAGCACAGCTGATGTTACTTACATAGCAAGAGATAAACTTGTTCAAAATAACGCTGTGTTAATTTCGCACAAATTTGATCGCAAACCAAGGAAATAAAGTTCTTCGTTTTCCTCTGTTTGGACGCTCTCAAATGCGCTAAAAATTGCAAAATGTAGGAAACGTTTTTCGCGTCAAAGAAGTGATCAATTAACTCGCAATTTTGTTTGTCAATAAAGTGTTTGTTTAAAAATGAATAGCTTTGATGGAGGTGGCACCACTGAACGCGACATTTCAATAAGAATGACCTTGTTAGAACTCCGGGTTCCGCGAAGAAGAGCTACAAATTCCGCTCTCCGCCACCGAACTGAGTTCTGGCTTGGCAAATACTAGATTAATTTCGAAACTGCCGTCCGAACAGGCACACATTACATCTCAATCGGTATGCACTTTGAACCGTCGAAGTTTGGCTGCGGTTAACTAAACGAGAGAAAACCACAAAGCTACGAAAAATATTTGAAAAGATAAGGTTTATAGCATTTTTACTGTCAAAAGTTTAATGTATCAACAGTAAGGTGTTAATTTACTAAACTTATTCATCCCGGGTGTTTAGAAACAGTGAAACTCATCGCAGAATTGGCGCACCACTGACTCAGACGCAAAGTTTTCAAAAAAACTGAAAGAAGTTTAAATCACTCTATAGAAATGAGAAGATAAGTTAAACTAACTATTTATTTTATACATGCTTGCTAATACCTCTACCCAGTGTTAACAGAAATTCCAGCATTAAATCACACACGGCTTGAAAAACGCCTGGTAAGAAGATTGACCGCGGTAAAGAAACCTCGGAGTAGGAAGGCAATCAGAATTCCCCAACGCGTTCAAACGTCTCAGGCGATCAGTTTTATATTACTTAGTACGATACGTTTTCCATGACGTGAGAACATGGGCAAGGATATGAAACTATTAGTTGATGGAACTGTCTTTGCATTTTTCCCAAAATAATCGACAAATGGCACCGACGTGGACAGTAATTCAAACAACTGTTCTAAAAAACTTTCAACTCAACTGTTTGGTAAATGAACAGTGTATAAATAATATACTGCACGAGCTTTTAACAGTGAAAGTAACAACCTTAATAGCTTTAAAGTACTTTGCTTTTTGCCGCTTCACCGCGGTAAGCCGCAAAATCCACTTGTTTATAGCAACCCCTACCCATCAGTTCCCTTCCCCGCCACCCCTCCCTAGAGGAAACGCAATAATACGTGCATTAACCAGCCAGCGCAGCTGGTTCTCCTGACAACTGTCAATTCTGATGTGTTGTTTAGGTTGTGGAATTTGGTTTGAAATACAAGAACGCATTTTAATAAGTCTTTCAGCGACCATAAGCAGTTTTTTTCTGGCCTCGCGAGTTGAGGAGAATTACAAGTTTATATCAACAACGAGGGAATACGGTGATAACACTCGAGTTGCATGTTGTAAATTATATTATTTTATTTCTCTATAGGATATAATCTTTTGTCTCGTATTAAAAGATATTTTAATTTAATAGCTACTACATTTAATTTGCATTGTATGCCTTCTAGAGCCAAAAACGTCCTACAAGACAATAGAAGTCTTCGTTCTGTGTAGCATGCCCGTAAAAAACAAAATTATATTCATAGCTGCATAAATTATCATTGGATATTCTTAATAGATGACTGTTCGAAACAAACGAACAAGCCAAACTGTTGAAAAACGACAAAATTCAAAACTACGAAATTTGTTTTCTCTTCCTGTATGCATTGCTTTATTATTGTTAGTATTTCTTTGAAGCCTGCGTACACAAAGTGCGGATGTGAAAGACGGGGGTTGCTAATTAACTGACAGGGTATCTACGCAACCTCCATGACAGAAGTGAAAACGTAGGCATTCGCCATCTTTTAAACTTCTTCGCGATTTTCTGGTCACCTCGCGATATTGTAGTATATTGTCAGATGAAGTGTTCTATCACTAAATTGTTTGGACTGCATTAAAGTTTCTTACAGGCAGTTTACAGTCCCTTAATTTTCCTGTAATATTACAGACCTATCCTCTCTAAGTCAAATGTAAGTAAAATGACCCGCAAACAATAGGCATTCTGTCCGATGGGCAGCACAGAATGTTCGTCTTTATGTAAAACTCCTGATCGTCCACTTAAAGGATTAACATAGTCGTTTGTTTTGCTGCAGTCTTTAATTTCAAAAATTTCGTTCCGACGTTAATGAAATTCATTTCCCAGTAAATTAGATGTAACTTTCTTAAGCAAAACGTTCGCAGTTACTAAAAACACATGTGACTTATTGTGCAAGGTCCAGACTTTGAAAAAAGGTGAATTCCCTCTTAATTTGGTGCTGACAACGTCGTCTGTTCAACAACGGGAAATGCAGAAACAATACACAAACAAACCAAAGGAAAACGAGAGACTAGTTCTGGGCATTCCGACTCTGTCTTTGTTGATTATTCCTTTTTGCTTTCGTTACTACGTGCATTGTCGGCGGCTTTGTCGGCAAAAAGTGGCTCAGCAAACCACAGGGCACCCAAAAGCACAGCATGACAAACGTGCAGGGAGACAGAGCTGACCACAGTGGAGGGATACGTATTCCAACATAGTTCTATCACACCCAAGATAAGGAGCCTAGTGAAACAATTAGACAGAAGTTAGTCTGCGCATGGGTGCAAGCTCTCCATTTCAGAATCGCGACGCGGCGCGTAAAATGTGGTCATCAGCGTGAGAAGGAGAAGGAAGATTTCACTTCTCTTCTCACCTCACGTTTCTATCTGCCTTGCCGCTCACCTCCCTTCTCCCGCCCGCGTGATCATATACCCCACTAAAAGTATCTGCGAATAATAAGGAACTTAAGCAATGACGACGGCGACGGCGACGGCGACGGCGACGGCGACGGCGACGGCGACGGCAACGAGAACGGCAAAAAGGTAATAGGTTAGATCAGCAAAACAACAACTCTGCACGTGCATCACGCTTTTTTGTACATTTCTTAGGCGTCGTTGCACGACTACAACGATTTCACGTTTTATCGAGGACGGGGACAGAAGACAACAACTTTCTTTTACTGAACTTTGATACAGGCCTTCAGGATTCAACTCCAAAAAAATTTGCCTACATTTGACGAATTAAATGAGATGGAATAAGCGCGACAAATTTTGAGCAGCGCGAATTCACTTTTTTTAAAAGTGACATTTTCGTAGCCGTCGCGGTCGCTGTTGCTTAGACTCCCTAACAAGAGATCGCCAGCATTCTTTTGAGTACGAGACTGGGGTATATCCTTTGTTTTGACCATTTAAGTTATCTTCTTAGCAGCGCTCTTGGTGACATTAACTTGGGTATATGGTCCACTTCTTTCCAAGATTTACCACATTTATTTTTATTTCAAAAGAATTAAGAGCAGGTCACTTACTTTCCAGACACCCAGAGATTTGTTTTCCATAACAGGAAGGGTAGCGTGTGAAAATACCACACGTAAAACTGGTAATGTAGGGATCGTGAGAAAGCCATGCCAATAAAATTAGAAACAAACAGTATATAAACAATCTGTATTCATAGTTAAGGAATATAATAGTAATAATAATATCAATAATAATAATAATAATAATAATAATAATTGTCTGGCGCATGCGAAAAGTCATTGTAGTGCATATTGCTATTGGGGCCCTGGGAGCCGTATCAGTCAAGAGTTCATGAAGCGAATAGGAGTGAACGTGAGGTTGGAAGTTATCCAGAAAACGGTATTGTTGGCGACAGCAAAGATACTAAGGAAAGTATTGTCCCTGTAAGAAGAAGGAAAAGAGAGACCTGGGACCCATGGTGACTTATTGTAACCCGCTCCCAAGGAATATGAACCAGGACGAACATCCTGCCTGAGTCTACAAGGAATGGACATAATCATAATAATAGCAATAATAAGCAAATGTCTTTACTTGTTTTCTTTTCCCAGGCTTAAAGCCCACATACACAAATACACCAGACTGAGCTTCATACATTTCCTTAAAAAGCGTAGTTGAGAGAATTAGTTTAAAGATCAGAGCATTTTCCCTTTACTGATTAATTTTTTAACTCTTAAAACCTTTTCTCGAGATAATATATTGAAATTGTTAGGAGAAAATTGATTTTGGTCACTCTTTCTTGAACCCCAACAGACCTGGTCAGGCCTGCAAATGATCTTTCTTTTCAAAAAGGACCGTCAAACCAGGTTACAGCCACGTGAGGTCACCATTGAAAATGAAAAACCAGAAAATTAGACAGGAACACATTATGTTGACATTTAATTAAATTAATTTTTTATCTCTTTTTGCATATCTTGGAATTCAAAGAAAGGCATCTCTGTAAAATAGCACCTCCTTGAAGCATCTCTCTAAAAAGGACCCTCCTATCTGATACCTTGTATCATCAAAGGATATGATTTGCAGTTACAGTAGCTCTTTGAAATGGCCTCTTGAAATAACTTTTCAGTGTTTCTGATTTTCTGTCAAGCAAAATTGAAAACAATAAAACATGCATTTGAACTAGCAACACCTGGGTCATAAAAAAACAAGATGAATAATAATAGTTATTATTAATAATTAATAATTATTATTGTAATAATATATTTTTTATATTACTAGTTTTCACAATACATGCCTCCAAAATATTGATTGTGAAAGAAAAGGTGGTAAAAGTGAACATGATCTTTTGCCATTCAATTGACATTTTTCACCCATCGGGTATGTCACAAACTCACAATGGCCCGCTCTCCAGTTGGCTTGATTAGCCGAATGGATAGGGCTTTGCATCCGGTCATCACAAAGGTCAGGCTTCGATTCCCGGTCCGGCCTGAACTTTTTCAGATTCTTTTTCAACCGCTTGGGTTGTTATTCAACTGCGAAGATAATGTTCACTTTCTATCATAATCCACAGTTCAAAAATGATTTGTTTCAAATATTTCAATTCAAGAAAAGGTAGTGTTATATTTACAAGGGACAACATACCTAGTCCACTTGCAAAGATAAAAAAGCAACAAAACTGTTAGGTGACAAGCAAGAAGGGTAATGTGAAAATAACGACCAAGGAAAAGCCATTCAGGTAGAAATCTCCAGTTGACTGTCCACTTAAATAGAAACTGTCGTCCTAAGTTGAATGCCATGGTTACGTAGCTAACGGGATTTTCTAACAGAAAAGGGAGACCAAGTACAAGCTGAAAAAAAAGAGAAAAAAAGCATGTTTAAAGATAAAAATACACCACATTTTACTTCAATAATTGTAAGTTTGAGGGATAATAACGGGGAACTTGAAAGAAATGTATTAAAATTTTAAGATGTTGCATAAAATGATGCCATTGTGGAAACTCCCTACAGTATTTTTCTTACTTGTACTACAGCACACAAAGCTAGTCTAGGAATTGTCCACCACACACCAAAGGATTTAAAGAGAAGAAGCAAAAGGCCAGGGGCGAACAGCAAAATGTTCATCTTAATGCTGACAGCCAGGCTAATAAAAAAAATGGAACAAAAAATTCTCTCATCAATAATGTTATCATCTAAAAACAGAGAGTTGAGATTGGTGTTTGAAAAGAGGCCTTGGAATGAAATGCCTTACAGTAAATACATGAAATATACTGCAATTAAATGAAATTTAACAAAGTTAACAACAAGGAACCTACTTTGCATTGGTTACCAGAGGTTTTTTCCTCGCGTTCAACATGAGGCAAAAAGCGTTATCAGCCATAGGCCAACGTGTCTTTGGCAAAAGGCCAAAGACATGCATGAGCGAAAAGACTTGATAAAAACCGGGAACTGCACATGAAAAGCCTCTGGCACCCTGAGTACAAGGATCCCTAACTCAGTCAGCCATCAGTTTGGAAGCACAGGCATGGTCAGCCCTGTTTGTATCAGCTCCCTGTCCTTGGTACAGCCCTTCATGGCTGCCACTGGGCTTCATTTAGCCTTTGGATCTTAAGCTTACCCTTATGCCTAACCCTCTTTATTTTTCCACTGATTAGTCAGAGAGATGGGGGCCTGGTTCTATACGGGAGCTCATGCCAGGAAGGCGTGGGTCTACCAGCTTAAAGGGGGAATAACTCTAACTGGGGGCTGACTACGCCAAAATCGAAAGCCCCTGGGCACCGCATGCATCCTCTTCCACTCTCTTTACAATGAAGTTGTTAACTTTGCATAGCCATGCATGTTACAGTTCCATCACCTCATAGGAACTGTCAAATGATACATAAAATTTCCATGTCATTACAACTTGTCCATAAATTTATTTTCATTTTTGGGCAGTGAAATCCAGCATTTTTAATCTACATATTATACCCACAAAATGAAGAATTCCATGCTTTCTATACTCCATTGTTCCCACTTATACAATTTTAAAATTACATCATACCTGAACATAAGACATCCAATACTCCACCAATTAAATAAAAAACAGTTCACAGCAAGGTAAAGGAAGAACATTGCCACTGGATCATTAAAGAGGCGTAGAATGTAAATTGAATGAATTCTGTATGAGGCACAGCACATAAAGAAAAAAGCATAAGGAGGAACCTAAGGGAAAGCAAAATATGAATCAGTGTAAGATTCTGGGAAACTACTACCTACCCATCCCCTAACTCAACATTTTGCCTTAAGTAAGAAATGAGTGTTAACCTTAGGTTAGGGGAGGCGTATATGGTCAGTTTTTTAGAATCTTATACTGGTCCTATGATTCTCGGGAGCTGCCCACCTACCCCTCCCTTAACCCAACACTTTGCTCTTTTGTTAGTTAGGGGAGAGGTGGGTGAGCAGTTTTGATGTCTTACAGTAGTTTTGGTAACCCTCCACCACATGATTTTTTCTTTTATTAATGGGGATTTTATTCACCATTTAAGCAGAAAAATGGACAAGGATGTTCGTTGTCAAAGAATAAGTGAATTGAAATATCTTTGCATTTTTATCCAGATAAATATGTCCTTCTTTTCATTAACCCTTCACGCTCAAGTAAACTATTGTTAGCAAATTGTGCCATAAGTAACATGAGTTTCAGGGACAAGCTGGAACTGTTTCAAGCGCTGACTAAATACCTACATATTCTCTAGGCCCAGCTGGATAAAAAGGTCATACTAAATAATGGTTCCTTTTAGCAGATCATGAAATATCCCAAGGGACTCGTATTTTGTTGAATATTGCGCCTCAAAACCACTGCATAACTTCATGTTTATAGTATTCACAAGTAATTCCCAAATGTCAAAATAATTTTCGAGAAAAAATGTTACGATTCCATTTCTTCAAAGTGCTGAGAAATTAATGGTATTTCATCATTCCACGACAGTAAAGATATTTCTGACACTGTAACGGTAAAAGAATAGCTAGCTTGTTATCTAGTTGTAATTTCAAGACTTACCGAAGAAGTTTTTTGGTAAATTGCAAATACACAAACCAGCGTGAGAATATAAAGAGCAGCAAAAATATACTGAGCAGTCCTGATATCTGTTCCATGACCAGTCAGGTAATACAAGCCAGTGAATATGTATACAAACCCAGCTGGGTAACTAAAGGAAATAAAAATTAAAAATATATACATATATCTAATTTCAACACTAAGTGGCTGATCCCATAGGAAACACAGTAAAACCCCATTATGTAATGAACCGTATGTAATAAACATTTGGGGATAATGGACGAAGTTCTTTGCCCCAGTTACAGTGGAATGTACGGCAAGGGAAACATTCTATAACGTATTGTATTTACTCAAAAACATGCTGTGGTACTTTTTGAAATTTTCCAAATTTTCAATGATGCACTTTTTGGTTACAGAGCCACAAGCAACTGGTCATAGAAAGGACCTATGACAATAACCTCCCTGGCTGACTCTGATTTTGCAACGTTATTTTGTCATTGTCATTGCAAGATGTCATGTCACCTTTACCATCTGTTGGGGGGAAGAAGAAGGGAGAAGTGGATCCTCAAAATGCTGACTGCCTTTTAAAAAGATATAAATTCTCCTGGAGGTGGGGGTACTCCTGTAAGTAAGGTACAAAGCTGTGTGCCACCCAAAGGATGTGGTTTTGGAACTGTTCTGGTTTAAATGAGTATAGATTTCACTCATTAATAGGGTCTGACATAGGTATTCTTTTCAAGGGAACCAAGAGACTGAGCATCAACATATATTTTTGCTTAAAACAGTCTTCAGTGTCCAATATTACTAATAAGTTTAATTAAATAGTTGACTTCACTTGGACAAGATGATGGGTTCGCAAACTGAGCATAACTAAAAATGGGTAGGGATTTTAGACGCAGGTCACCACTGTGCAAACATTAGATAGCAGTATCTACTGGATAAATCACTATCCAGCGAATATCTAGAATATTTGGGAAACCAATTGCATTATCCACCAGATAAAGATTGATCCAGTTGATAGCATTATCCACATTTCATACATTATTCTCAAACTCATTAATAATTCATTAAGAAAATACAAAGGAAATTAATGTTTAATGAGTGTTTGGAAATCGGATGAAACACTGCTTAGTATTTGCATCCTTAATTTCTCCTTCAAAAATGATTTTGTTTGAGAAGAAATATCAAACATTCGACACAGTGTTTCATCACCAGATGAAACACCTCGAAGTTCGTCAAAAATACTCCGCTGCGCGTCGTATTTTCAACTCTCTTCTCGGTGTTTCATCTGGTGATGAAACACTGCATCTCATGTTTGATATATTACTTGAGCCCACGCCAGAAAACAGGCGCAGTGCAAAATAACATGTTTTGGTCTGAAACAGGGTAAAGATTTTGAGAACTAGGGAGTGCACCCTAACCAAGAATTCCAAAGAGTACTTCCCCCCCCGGATTACTAGACTGATAGTAGAATGTGCTCTTACACTAGTGGTCCGGTTTCTCCTTTCAGGTAGGTGTAGTCATATGTCCCATTTATCACACCTTCAACTTCATCCATATAAGCTTCCCAATCTATCTCTGTATCTAAAAATTGAAGTTAAAAAACTGAATAAGTGAAGAATATTAATTTTTAAAATAATTCCATGAGTCCATGTTGGATGCAAGTTGGCTATAACCAATCTCATACCCCCTCAAGGCCAATTCAGAATGATTATCTCGTTACATTACATATATCATACAAAATGCCCTCTGTAATTACACAGGATTCTGGCTGATACAACGTCCAACTTCACCACTGTCACCAGGCCCCGATCTACACCGATTTCCACCATTTTTCGGAAATCGGTCAGATTTTTCACAATAAATATATTTTTAATAAAAAGAAAACACTTTCTAAGTTGAAATCTGGAAAATGGTTTGGTATTAGACATGCTGTGAGATTTCAGCTGGAAAATCAACCTTATTGTGTGTATCCACAGGCAGACCACCCTCTGTTAGTGGGGGCCGTTGTTGATTGAAATCTGAGCAACGATCTTTTGTTATTTATAGAAGAAATACATATGAACAATACGGTGGCTGTAATTTGTTCCAAAATGCAGAATTCAAAGCAAATTTTTCAATAAACGTTTGAGGAAAATGCTAACTGAGCCATGTGTCATGTTTTTTTCGCCGTGTGGTGCTGTTTTAAGCGCTATTTTGCGAGATGAATATTTGACCTCGGCGGTTAGAACTAAAGAAGGAGACAAGGCAGGCAGCAATCAGCCGCCCGTGCGTGACCCAGTCCAATTTACGCTGGAACTGACGCCAAACTATTTAATTTCTTACCTCGAAAATACCGGCTCCCGATCCAGTAGATATGTATCCATGCCCCATCCGAATGAGAGCTCAGTCCTTCCAAAATTTCTTGAGAAAAGTGATCCTGAAGTTGAAAGACCAGCTTTCTCAACATGACCGGTGCACAAAACTCAACCAAAGGCATTTGAGGTATGCGCGTCGATTCAAATCCACCAATCAGTGTATCACGACCAAACAAACATCCCTGTGTGGGGTAGGGTTGTGGTTTTGAACTGCCAACGGTCGTGATACGCTGATTGGTGGATTTGAATCGACGCGCATACCTCAAATGCCTTTGGTTGAGTTTTGTGCACCGGTCATGTTGAGAAAGCTGGTCTTTCAACTTCAGGATCACTTTTCTCGAGAAATTTTGGAAGGACTGAGCTCTCATTCGGATGGGGCATGGATACATATCTACTGGATCGGGAGCCGGTATTTTCGAGGTAAGAAATTAAATAGTTTGGCGTCAGTTCCAGCGTAAATTGGACTGGGTCACGCACGGGCGGCTGATTGCTGCCTGCCTTGTCTCCTTCTTTAGTTCTAACCGCCGAGGTCAAATATTCATCTCGCAAAATAGCGCTTAAAACAGCACCACACGGCGAAAAAAACATGACACATGGCTCAGTTAGCATTTTCCTCAAACGTTTATTGAAAAATTTGCTTTGAATTCTGCATTTTGGAACAAATTACAGCCACCGTATTGTTCATATGTATTTCTTCTATAAATAACAAAAGATCGTTGCTCAGATTTCAATCAACAACGGCCCCCACTAACAGAGGGTGGTCTGCCTGTGGTGTATCCTGTCTGAATGACTAAGAAACCCAGGAAAGGGGACTATAGGGTGTTAAAATCCAATAAAATTTTGGGAGAAGCATGCCCCCAGATGGTAGCCTGCGTAGTAAGCGTTTCCAATCGAGTTATTGAGCGAAAGGTAGAGCGGAAGCAAAAAAAGGTTGAAGGGGGAGGGGGAGGGGAGAAGAGAGTTTCCCACCCCCTCCCCCGTCATTCATTTTTTTTTTTGCTCTTGTCCCAGCTTTCTAGACGAACCTCGCGAGGAAACGCTTGCTACGCAGGCTACCAGATGGAACCCCCTGAAAGCTTGTGCCTCTGGCACTCATTTTAGGAAATCAGTCAGTATTTATCCTAGATCAGCACCTAGTCACTGTCACACTCACTTTACATACAAGGTCAAAAGTATGTATATAACAGCTAATTAACAGGGATCCAGTGAACTAATAACAAAGCTAGACATGCATTATCCAAGGCTGAATGGTTGATATATGAGATATTAAAAAAATCAAATTTTTCTTACCACCAACTTTTCACACAATGATGTTAGAGAGATTAAGATTCATGTTTACCGCAAACGGCAACATCAGAATAGAAAATAAGCAGATAAAAACAGTCCCGAACGATTCCTATGGTTAAAACTGGCATAAACCTACTTATTTTTGTGTAGAAGCAATAAAGAGTAAACGGAAAATAAGGGGAAAACTTGGTCACGTGGTACAAATTCATATCTGCTGTTTGGCGTAAACGTGAATTTTAATCTCACTCTATTACTTGAAAAATCCCTTCACTTTGAAATTTACAATCCTCAAAAAACCTCCAAAGGCTTACTCCTGTCTGGAACCCTGGTCAGGAGGGTCCTCCAGTATACCCCATGGGGATAGACCAAAAATAAATAAATCTAATAAATAATTAAATTATAATAAATCTAATAAATCTAATGCCAGACCTCTCCCCTCCCACTTACTCAGTGCTGGTCACATCAAACCCCACACCTTGACTTGGTCTCCTCAATATTTTTTGAAGAAAAAAAAATGAGATGAAACGAAAGCTGTAAGAACTAAAAAGTCAGCAGAAACCTGGCAGGACAGGCTACTCACACTTAATTTTCCATATGACCACAATATTTACCACCATCTCTGCAAAGAGGAGACCAATGCCCACTATCCAGGTCTTAGAGGGATCAAACAACAGATTTTTTACCCACTCGAATAAAGACTGCAGATCAAAATCCCTATCCTTGGATTTTCCTCTCTTTCGAGGAACCGCCATTTTGGCCATATGCACCTTCGAACATTTCCTACATTTTGATTGGCTACGAGGACATTCGGTGCGGTTCGGAGATATCTCGATTTGGCCGGAATTTTACGAAGTTTTCGCAGTCACAACATGGCGAATTCTTTGCTGCAGCTGGGCTTGCTTTTAATCACAGCTCTCTACGCAGGATTCCTACCGATAGAAACCTCTGCACAAACGCAGATTTGTTCATATTTTGGTATGAATTATTGATTTTAATATCTTGCTGCTTCTATCTTTTCAGAGAGGGTTTAGAACGACGCGTTTGTGATTTCCTTAAGCTATCATTTAAGCTTAATACATTTGAGCTTTCAATGTGTATATCGAATGGATGTGGAAGAAAGGTTTAACTTCAGCTTTCTTTTGTCAAAAAGCTAAAAAAATTCATTATTATTCGCATGATTTAAACAGGAAACAGGATAGGATGAATAATATCACCAGTTTGTTACTACGTCACTCGAACTTCTGCTCGAAGTCACGATTTCGTTTTCGGGGAATTCCCCAGATACGGAATGTGTCGAATATGCTACAGTGTATTTATCTTTTGGGGTGTAAACAATCGTGCATAATCTCATTTACGTACTGAATACTTTCTCAGATAATTTATTGTCAAATACCGACAAAACTCAATTTTAGCTGAATTTAATTTTGTTTACATGAATAGCTTGTTGTTGAGTCTGCAAAAACTGCTGTGGCCATAATATTAGCCAAATTTTCAGTGAAAATCCCCAATTTTTTAACCTTAACAAAAAAACTTCTAGACTTTTTTTAAGGTATTCTTTTTGCAGGTAGAATTGACCTTTTTTCCATTGCTGAGGACATATGGGCAAAACAAAATAATCATGATTTTATTGTGTGTGTTCACTCAAGTGGAATGTGGGAAAGGCCCAGGGAAGTGGGTACTCTAGGAATTTTTAGGTGGGGGTGTGCCACTGGGACTGTGTAAGCGTGAGCCTATACCAGACCTAGTTGCCTTTCTATCCTAGACTCACAATTTTCCCGGTTTCCCTGGTCTAACATCTTTAACTGACTGATCAGTTTCCTCCATAATGCTACCCTGCATCTATCCTAGACCCAAACCTTTAGATTTCTGTACCCCATACTAGACTAAACTGCTTGAAAACCCTTTCTTTCACAGCAGCACATACCCATAGGGCCCATATAAGGCAGTGCCCCCTTCGCCGGGGCAAAAGTCGAAAGCCAGTTGAATGTACCATAATTTTACATAAGCTTTTAATACAGCATTGAGAAGAGCCCTACTCTAAATGCCATGTGGAATAGATTTTCCACATTTTGCCACAATGAACACTCTCAGTGAAATAGGGTCGAGGCCACCGTTTCATTCACATCACTGTGTCTTGTAACCTTAAGCCCTGGTGGAATTTGGTATGAAATTGACGGGGATGCTCATTGAAAAATTAGGCTATTTTACCCCTAAAAGCAGACACGGATCCAGGATAAATACTGACCGATTTCCAGAACGAGCCCCAAGGCGCAAGCTTCTATTTTTTGGATTTTAACTCCTTAAAGTCCCCATTCCTGGGTTTCTGAGTCACTCAGACAGGATATTGGCCAGATTTAAACTTGGAAAGTGAATTCTGTTTTTGAAAATATATTTATTGTGAAAAATCTGACTGATTTCCGTAAAACGGAAGAAACCGGTGTGGATCCGTGCCTGAAAAGATACTAATCTAGGCATGGCTGAGGCTTTTTTTGCTCATCTTTTAACAAGTATGACTGTATTTGTTTTATTTTTATTTAGGTGTATTTTTATTTGTAACCCGAAGCAATTCCTTATTGGCTAAAAACATTGGTCTTCCATCCTGAATACCCTAAATGAAACCAAAATCTGCAATTTCTACAGCTTAGTGAGACAGCAACCGTCTTGATCAATTTTTATGGGAGTAGCCCCTTACCCCAAGCTTCCGGTTAGTGCCTTTGTTCATCAGACTGGGATCAATTTTTTTGTGCTTTTAATTATGATCAGGGGCACCCAACGACTCTTTTCTGTAAAATAACTGTTCAAGGCAGCAAATATTGCCTAGAAATTTCTGAAGCTCGAAAAAGGCCAAAAATTTCTGGATAGCCGTTCCAGTTGCCTAAGATGTTTGGAGTTTTTCTACTTTGTTACCTTTGATTTTCGAAGGTTGTGTTCTTCACATTTTATTACCAAGATATTGAGAATGGTGCTTAAAAAAACGTCTCCTGAATATTTCAGTATAAAGACAAAGCACCCCTAGAATTTTCTAATGATAGTACTGCTACTCCATTTCCTCGAACTTTCAGTTGGACCCATCAGGAAAGCTAATAGTTTTGGATGAGAGAAAAAATCCACCAAAAACTTTCGAAATGACCAAAGTTCCACTAAGACAGCAGAACAGATAAATAGTTTTTAGGGCAGCTCCAAATTAACCAAACAGGCCTCTAAAGTACAGAGAAAATCATTTGAGATACTTCTGACATATTTGGAAACATTATTTTGGTTGTTGTTTGCCCCTGTATGATTTTAATATCAAATCTGACCCAATTTGTAGGTACTCAAAGGAGGCCGAAAGAGGCTTACAGCCTCTCCAACTGCACCTGGTTCAGGGAGCGCTCTTGCTGCACAAGAACGGAGGTAACATCAACATTTGCTGGGATGCCACATCTTGATACCTCAAGTGATGAATGCCGCAATCACTTGAACTACATGATGTGCTATTTCTGCAGTCCAGACCAATACCTTTGGTTTCGACAAGACAAACTACATATCTGCAAGAGCTTCTGCGATGATGTCTACACACACTGCAAGGATGCAAAATACAATGGAAAAAAGATTGGTTCAGCATACTTGGATGGTGGCGACTTCTGCAAGGGGCAGTCCTTCAGTGTCTTGGATGAGGATAGTGACCTGTGTTTCAAATATGATCAAACATTGTTTGGAGCTGCGTCATTGCTACTCCCACATGTGCACATTGTGGCATTGTTGCTTGTTTTAGGCCTGACAAACTATTTTCCCTGGACTTGATGTACTCCCTTCATTTTATTCACTTTATTTGAGAACATTGTATATTCAGATGTATATTATAAACTCTATAAAAAATGTAATTGGCTAACATAGAAGCAAAAATTATCCGTGATGCCCAAATTCTTTATTCAAAGTAATTACCACTAAGGAGACTAGCCTGCGTGGCAGGCGTTTGAAAGGGAAGGGAAAGGGAGTTTTGGGAAAGGGAGTTTTAGGCGCGAGAGAAATGCGAGGGGCGCGCGAGGAAAGAGGGAGGGAAACCCCCTCCTCCCTCCTCCCTCGCGCGTGGTCTCGCGCCCTAATTCCCTTCCCCTTCCCTTTCGAACGCCTGCCACGCAGGCCATAAGGAGACCTGATAATAAAGCAATAATTATGGTATATTTTTATTAACTTTGAGCTTAAACTTCAAATTGTGAAAAGAAGCAACTTTTGTTGAAAGTCTGTTGAAAAAAATCATGTCTACATTACAATTATAGATGATTCTCAAGCATTGTAGACATGTCCGACGTCATTCATGTAATAAGTTGAAGCAAACTTGAAAACAGTGGGCTGCCATCCAAGTCTACCAGAAAGCAATCCTTTTTAATCATCCTTCAGTCTTAACCTATTTACACTATTGTATCAGGAGCCGATTACTCCTGATTGTATGAGTTTTCTATTTCTCTTGTGTTGTTCTACAGCTTGAATATTTCAGTCAGTTTTGTGTGTTGTAACTTGAGCATGCACAAAACAAAAACAAGGGCTCCAAAACTCTATTTTTTGTGCTGCTGTTTTATTATCGATTTTTTTTAGTGATAATGCATATCCAGTATCTGAAAACAAGTAGAAGAGGGGGTATTCAATATATCTGACATGTGTGTGGGGGGGAGGAGGGAGAGGGGAATAGGGTTTTCAAACAGGGAGGGGGGAGAGAGCAATCCTACAGAGCAGGAAGAATGTACCTCTTCAGCCTGTTTTTGCGATATAACGAGCCTCGATTACTGTAAAACCTGCAGCCAAGAACCTGTTTCTTTTTTAACTGTTAGGCTAAAATGTGCTAACAAGGCCCTCTCTATAAAATAACCTGTTTACCGTAAAATTTGAAACAGGTTCTTATTTGATCTAAAATCGCTCTAAAAAATTCTTCACACTTGGGCAAGTAAGTTAAGGCAACATTCAGGGTCCTCTTTGGAGACACAGGTGCCTAATTATCACTCCAACTGCAATGTAATGGTATGCAGAATTTATATGAGGAATAAGCTGCACACCACTAAATACTTTTACTCCTAGCTACAATGTATTTTTTCCTTCGGAAAATAAGAACCTAAATAGCCTAAATTTGTCATCGTTTAGACATCGTTAGATTTTCTTAATTCGAAAGATTTAAATAGGTTTTTTTTCACTTGCGTGTATGCCCCTTGCCCTATCACCCTATCATACCACGTTTTTTGACGACTAACGCTTTCGTTATGTAACAAATTAATTGTGGCCAGCGCGCGGATATCACGAGTTTTTTGTCCGAGTGAAGCGTGAGTACTTCCTCGTGACTCGAGAGCCCGCGCCCCCTCTGAAGGAAAGGGCAGAGAAACGGTTCATTATGAAAGTTTCAAAACGAAAAAAGGTAGACTTCTTGCAATCCGCCTTTTCTCGTAGATTCGTCGAGCTTGTAGTGACACGTACAGTGAGCCAAAGTGTGCGCGTAGGGACAAAAGACGCAGTCTACAAAAACAGGTTACATTATATAAGGTTTTCAAATTATAATGGCAGTTTTCGGCGTGGCCATTGGCTGAAACTGGAGCTGAAGCTCACGTGACTGTGGATACACGGCATGTCTGCTGAACACAAGTTATTTTAACTGGCCATGTATCAAACTGTAAATATAACTTTGGGAAGAGATTCTGCACAGAAGAATGGACCTCAGCTTGCACATCCCAAAGTCCCAAAGATTACATCTAGTGTACTGCCCCGTGAACTGCCCGGCTGCTTGCTTAGGCTCCCACCAACAAAACAAAACAAAACAAAAGAGTTTATTCCCCTCTTGATCCTCTTTTTCGTCTCGTAGTCTCTGTTAAAAGCATCAGCATTAGTCAGTTAATCAACATAAGCTAATTCCGAAGAATATTTTTCACGCCTTATGATTTCTTTCGCCGTGTATAGATAGACAATAAAGTTATTGCATTGTGTTGTATTTCTAGTTATGTTATGTAATTTTTTTGGCTGTTTCAGGGGAAAAACAACTGGACAAAATTATTTTAAAAACACTTCAATCTTTTTGTTTACGCACCATCTACCCCCTTGACTTGACAGCCTTGACCTCCGCGAAAACAAACAAAATTGCGCTGTGACGTGCATTGTGGCTGGGATTTCGTCACGGCCTAGAGACGCCCGAACATCCTTTTACCAACTAAAAAAATCGACGTGACGCTGTGCCAGAGCCTTAATCTGGCTCTAGGAAATAAGGACATTGTTAGCCTTTTCACTCGGTCAAAATTTCGGCAAAAAAATAATGATAAAACGCCAAGTTTTGGTTTTGCTAGCTTCCCGGGTTGAGGTCAACCCAGACTTGCAATTTAGATCAAGCTGCCTAGTAAAAATTACTTAAATGAGATGATCAAGATTTATATCTTTGCTTAATATATTTTTTATCTCCAATTTAAGCGCAGGTGTATCTTCTCTACAGATATAACTCTTCTTTTGGCCAATTACAGTTCAATCAGCCATAAACCTGTATATAAAAAAGACGTTTGTGGAGTCGGGATTTCAACAAGGCACAATATCACTTATACCGATTGATGTAATTATCTCTTTTTCCGATGACAACCGCATGATTTGGTAGTGCATCGTAATCACAATTTTACCCACGCAAATGTTACGGTAATGTGATTTTAAGGGAAAAAATACTAGAGAATCAATAGAGTGCTCAAACAGGTAATCAGTGTGTTCTTTATGAGTTGTAGCTGCTTGTTGCATTAAAAAATCGACGCAAAGGCCGCTTTGTCAGTTTTGTTTTGGCTCTGGGAAGAAATGTCAGGGTCAAAGCCAGACAATGTCTACTGATAATCCTTCCTTCTTCCGGTGGGGCGAAAACAATGCCTTTTTGCGAATAAACGTGCTCTGCTTTCGGCCTACGCTGGACGCATCCCCGAGCAATTAAAGTTTATGAAAAAAGCCTTCCTATAGGAGGCTTAATCGAAATTTTTATCCTAAATTTTGGTGTCATAAGGTGAAAAACATATCATTATTTTCATGTATCATTGCGTATTTGTGCCTCGTTTTGTGCATAAAAACGTGAACCGGAAGTAAAAGATGGATTGCCCATCATGTATTGCGCGCCCCCTTGGCTACCCACGTCACATTCACTGTTTTGAGTTGTTGGTATTCGAGAATATGGCGTGTGTTGGGTGGATGTTTGGCTGATTGCACAAGATTAAGTCAATTTTTCCCGTGAAAGAAACGATTATTTCGCCATGGCTTGTAGTAGCAGTAGTACTTCGAGGTCTGAATTTGTAGTTGGTGGCAAATATCGTCTTGTTCGTAAGATTGGAAGCGGTTCGTTCGGCGATATTTATTTGGCAGTAGTGCTCACATCTGCGTCGACTTCGGAGGAAGTCGCCGTGAAGTTGGAGTCTCAGAAAGCTCGTCATCCACAACTTCTTTATGAGTCAAAGCTCTACAAAATCCTCCAAGGTGGCGTTGGAATCCCAAATTTTCGATGGTATGGCCAAGAGAAAGAGTACAATGTACTGGTTATAGATCTACTGGGCCCAAGTTTGGAAGATCTATTCAATTTCTGTTCGCGTCGCTTCACAATGAAAACAGTTCTCATGCTAGCAGACCAAATGATAAGTCGAGTCGAATATGTCCACAACAAGAACTTTATTCACCGAGATATCAAGCCCGATAATTTCTTGATGGGTATTGGAAGGCAGTGCAACAAGCTGTACTTAATTGATTATGGCTTGGCTAAGAAGTATCGCGATTCAAGGTCGAAGCAACATATACCGTACCGCGAGGATAAAAATCTAACGGGAACGGCTCGCTACGCCAGCATCAATGCTCATCTTGGCATTGAACAGTCAAGAAGAGATGACATGGAGTCCCTTGGCTATGTCCTTATGTACTTCAACCGCAGCAGCCTTCCTTGGCAAGGCTTGAAAGCGGCCACAAAGAAACAAAAGTACGAAAAAATCAGCGAGAAAAAGATGTCAACTCCAGTCGAAGTCCTTTGCAAAGGTTTCCCGGCCGAGTTCGCAATGTACCTTAATTACTGCCGTGGACTGCGCTTTGAGGAGGGCCCCGACTACATGTACCTTCGCCAGTTGTTCAGGATTTTATTTAGGACTTTGAACTACCAGTACGATTACATTTTTGACTGGACAATGTTGAAACAGAAAGCAGCCCAAGTTACGGCTAACACTTCGACAGCCACGGGTGGAGTTCCGACCCCCGCCAAAAAACCTGATCATGGCCATCCACATCATTCTAAAAACAGAAACGTTTTCGATGGATTAGGATACGAATACTAGACTCTCAAGCTTGCTGTACAATTGGGGTAAAAAAATCTCAGAAAATGCACGAGAAACGAACGCTGATTCATCAAAAAGTCCGTTGCGGAGAAAATTATTACACCCTCGTGATTAAACGTGTTTTCAGCACGGCCGCCATCAAAAGCAAAGGGAAGTTTTTTATTTTTTGTTTTATTCGTTTTGTTTTTGCCTTAACTCTCAAGGCAGTACCGAAACATAACAACTCGTCAGAGTTTTCGATGAATATGAAAACACACTGTTTCTTAGGCCGAAGAAAGTCGCTCGAGATGAAATGTTACAGTTTTTGATAAAACGTGAAGACAACAAAGGGTCTGCCCATGCGCGTGACCCTCGAGCGAACAATACTCAAATTATTTCACGTTATTTTTGTCCTATTTTCACTTGTGTAGTTCTATTGCGTAGTTTTTCCATTTTCCCAGTAAACAGAATATTCGTGTTTTTGTTTTAGGAAGTAGTTAGTAGAAAATTTTTCGAAATTGAATTGTTTGTAATCAGAACAAGTGATTGCAAATGAGGACATTTTCAGTTTGTGCTTCATTAGTATGTAAATATGCAATTACCAGTGTTAAACAAGTAAGCTTGCTTTTGCGTATGGTTTATTCAATTAAAACTAATATAACCCTCAATTTTTTCTATTATTAAACTCTTTATTGTAAAGTTTTAAGCAAATGATTCTCTTGTGTTTTTTAGTCAATTCAGGCATAACTGTGTAAATTAATAATAAGCTTCTAAAATAAAGAGGGTAGAGAGGTTAGTATGTAACAACTATGGTTAGTCTCTTTTGACCCAGAGTTTTCAAATCTAATGGTTCATTGTTTTTAAGAATCTCTTTAAAGGGGTTTTTGTGACACTACTCGCTATCCTTCATTTGCTCAAGGCTGGTTTTCACCAGCGTCAGAGTCATAATCAGAAGTGTAGAGCTTATGATCTAGTGAAAACAGCGTTGTGATTCCTGCCTACGACTCCATCACTTAAGTTCCACTTATGATCCAGTAAGAACCAGATTGCTGGAGTGAGAAACAGAAGCGGAACAACTAAACCAATCACAAACGTGCATTGTGATTGGTTTATCCTTCCACTTCTGCCTCCAACCACGACAATCTGGTTTCCACTAGTTCATAAGCGGAATGTAAGTGACGGAGTGTAAGCGGAGTTGAAAGAAATGGAAATGTTCTGATTCTTCTGACTCCGATTCCATTGCACTTATGACTCCGCTTGCA